TTATTTATTTTTTTTTTTTAGTTTGATGTATTTGATGAACTTGGATGAGGAATGCAATTACGCACGAACCGCTTGGATTGTAGGCTTCTCGCTATGTTGGAATTCAGGCTTCCTTATAATATCCTTCTCAACCAACTGAGAAAACCCATTCTCCACCACGGAACAGTGTGGGACTCGCCTCTTGTTGAGGAATACCCACTAAAACTCAATTTCCAGCTGGTTCAATATAAATTAGCATTTATGTTGCTCAACTCGCTACAGCTGGTGGTTCAGTCATGTCACCTTACTAGCTGAATCAACTTATGATATTTTATATTAAAAAGTACAAAGTACTATTAGGACCACTTCATCAAGCTGAAAATATCTTATATTAGGATTAATATCTTGGTGATTTCGACCCCAAATTTATTTACAATTGTTCCAAACTATATAACAATGGGGGCCTGCAGCTTTTTCAGTTCATTCTTAATACCTGTTTTTATTCTGTTTTATAATCAGCTTATAACTGATCATTTATAACGTCGTCATCATGGGTATGACCATGAGCAGCTAATTATATTGTTTGTGATATTAAATGTATAATTAATAAATCTGCTGATCCTATTAATTATAATTAATTAATAATGCAGTTATAATTGAATAAAATGTATATTTTAATTTGAAAGCTGCCAAGTTAGTTATAATATAATAAACTGCAATATGTATAACGAATATAATGCAGCTTTATTCATCATTTACAAGCCTTTGCTTCTTCCCTAGTTTGACAATAGGCTGGATACTCATCAGAGCAACCAAAAGGACCCTCATTGAAGACCTTAAATTTGGTTTTAAAACGCCGGAAAGTATCACCATAATTTTCAATTCTATCACTAATACACTTATGGAAAATCTTTTCACCTTCCCCAGATCTGTATATAAACCCAACCACATGATTTGTGTCACACTTTTGGGGCCAATATGATCTATAACTGCTTAGCTTGCAAGAGCACGGTACTTTCATCAAACAAAAATTGTAAGAATCCGTAGTTTTGAAGCAGGCTTTATCAAAAAGAGTCTTTTTAATGGCATATCGAATTTTTTCACACAACTTTTCGTCACTTTCTGAAGCAGCAAATGTCAGCATGCCGTGTAAACTAATATACTTTTGTGAAGTTAACTCGTATTGATCCCCAAGAAGCTCCTCTGAATCATCTTTTCTCAAACTATCAAAGGAATAATGCATCATGTCTTTATCAAAATATTCATAACGCGTATTAGAGAGAAAAAACACAGGGTTTGAAGAATACCAATGCAATTTTTCCTGAAAGAATTTTACCTTCAAAGGTGAAGAAGGCTGAAGTTCACCTTGGGAGATGATTTTGAATGTCTTTGCCAAATTCAAAGTTTTTGTTGAAAGGATATAACATTCACCTTTTTTAGCTTTATGCTTCCATACACGAAGACCAGAGAAGAACTTGGGCAACAACTCTGGAGTTTCTGATTTCACAGCTTCCTTCTTGTCTTTTCTGTAAAGAGACTTTAGTGCTTCCTTGAGTAACACAATAGGTGAGTCTCTCAGGTGAACATTGTGCAAATGCATTATCGAAAGGTCTTAATTAAGGGGCTTCTCCATTGCATATAGGCTTCCCCGAAGTTGCAAAATAATTGAACAAAGCTGGACTTTCACATTTTGCTCAAAAGTTTTCTTTTGTTTCCACAATGTTGTTGCGTTTTATAGTTTTGTTAATATGGCTCATGAGAAGATTACGAGAGCATCTGCCAAAGATGCAGTGACAATGTTTCTTGCACGGCCACATTTTTTTTCTTATGGAGTCACGTGAAGATTTTTAATTTTGTGTTCATCGTACGGTGTAGAGAACTCTTCAGTTATCTAAACGAAGCATTGACAATTGTAAAACAACTGACTTGCCTTATAATTTATCCATTATCGACTTCCAGTCCAATCAGAATTAGTTGAATTTCCCATATAATATTGTTGTTTACGATGTCGTTTATTAAGGATTTCTTATTCCCATCAGTGAAGACTTCAGACCCAACAGCTGACGATTCCAATACAAGTGCCAAAGACCCAGTTGTGGAGGGAGAATTCACTCCAAGAAAGTTATCAGTATTCAATGGTCATGATGATGAAAAGATATTCATAGCTGTTAAAGGAAATGTCTTTGATGTTACTGCTGGTAGACAATTTTACGGTCCAAGTGGTCCTTATTCAAACTTTGCTGGTCATGATGCATCAAGAGGTTTAGCCTTGAACTCATTTGAAATGGGTAAGTATAGAATATATTGTGGTTATGTTGAGCTACTTACTAACAATCCATAGAAAATGTCAGAACATTTGACCAACCAATAGACAATTTAGAAGGTTTGACTCCACAAGATAAAGAAGCCCTTGATAACTGGGAAGAACATTTCAGAAAAAAGTACCCAATTGTTGGTAAACTTGTACCAGAAAAATAATATGACGCATATCAAGGGGGGAATGTATCACTTTCTAGATCTTTGGCTAGATTTTGAACCATGCTCCACTTGGATTGTTTGATGCTAATTTATGACTATTTATGAAAAGCAAAATGAGCGTAGAGGGTCCACCAATTGATTTTTTTACAACAATGCGAATGAAAATCATCAAATTGTAGCGCTATCAGGTAGTAATACTCATCATACGAGCTATCAGATCTTCTTTTGTAAGTGACTTTGGATGGAAAAAGTTGGTGAAGTAGTGTCCGTGTTCAAAAATTCCAAATTTCTTTGCTGGAAAAGCTCTTGAGCCCGAAAGCCAATACAAGATGAAACTCATTTCATCAAAAGTCAGTTGAACAAAACCCTGCTTTAACTGAAAATGGTTGCTATAGAACTAGATGATCTTACAGTGAACAATATCGGAGTCTTGAAGAAGATCAATGAAGTTGTTCTACCGACAAGATACCCAGAAGACTTTTACAAAAAAGCATTGGAATCTAATGACTTTGTTAAGCTAGGTGAGTAACCTCCATATTACCCAATCCCACATGTACTAATATTCAATAGCATATTATAGTGAAATACCAGTCGGTGCAGTTAAAGCGAAATTGATTGTTCCTCAACACCACTCAGTGCCAACTTCCGTGTACATTGAATCAATAGCTGTATTGGAACCATATAGACATTTTGGAATTGGTAAGAAACTCCTCGAACATATTGTTGAACAGGCAAAAAAATCATTCATACATGAAGTTACTGCTCATGTCTGGGTTGAACAAACTGAAGTTTTGGAATGGTACAAAAAATTAGGTTTTGAAGAGAAGGAAAAAATTGAAAACTATTACAAAGAGCAAAAATTGGATAACCCAACAGCTATTCTTATTCATAGAAAGTTTTAATTCGAAATAATAGATACCGATGATCAGCTACGTAGAATCTATGAAAGTTATTTTTTATTGAGTTTCTAATGTACATATAAAGCAAAGAGCACCAGCTCTAAAACGAAACTAATCACAGCGATAACCTGGAAATGCAAAATCAATTCTCACCTTCATCTTCTGTATCTGTGTTGATATCAGTGAAATCCTCTTCCTCATCCTCCAAATCACTTTCATCTTCATCATCATCATCACTATCATCAATCTTGTTAACTTTTTCACCCTTCAATTGAGCCAAAGCACCAGCGATTGAATCTTCATCAGGATCTGGAATATCATAATTAACTTCCTCCACTTTTGGTGGATCTTGAACGTGCATTACCACTGGGAAATCCACATCTTGTGTAAAGTAATCTGTTGATTTTAGAATAACTCTGAATTCATATTTCCCAGTTTCAGTTGGAGTTGGTTGAGGGATTGGGATTTTAAAAGTACCAACTTGGATCTTTGAACCATCTTTGAATTGATCTTCTGTTAATTCCAAATTAGATAGATCCAGGTTCTTGAAGAATGATGGAGCATCTGTAATCTTTGAATCTTTTTGCAAGACAACAAAAGCAACGTAACCACCTCTTCTCTCTAATGGGAAAAATGGAGCATATGATTTTGGTAGTTCTGGTTGAGAAAGAACCATTTTGAAAGGGTCTCTCAAAGTTTCTAAACTTTCTTCTTCTTCTAATTTGGTGTCATTAACACGAACAGTACCATGATGCTTTGGTGATTTGACAACAACTTTGATAGAAATATGAACAGTGGAATCTGGAGTAACAACACTTTCACCTGGAACTTTGTATTCAGCTTTAACTAATTTCAAATATGGGATTTTTGTAGCAACATCCAAAGCTTCTTTCAATTTAGCATCATCCTTAATACCCAAAACTTCTTTGATTTCATCATTCTTCAATGTTAATAATTTACCTAATCTAATAATCTTTGATTTTTCCACAGAAGCACGATCAACATGAGGCAATTGTAACAATTCATTCTTTGATGATTCTGGAACAGCTTGAATAAAATGCTTCAAAGTATTGACAGACATATCTGAGACTTCAGTGTTTCTGAAATGACTTGCAATTTCAACCAACCCAGTAATTAAAACAGGAATATGAGAAACTGCCTTTAATTGATCATCTGAAATCTTTCTGTTGAAATGATCTTCGAATAACTGTTTGATTTCATCCTTTGATTTCTTTGGGAAATCGATCTTGAATTCTTCAGCTTCGCTTAACCAATCAGTAATAGTGGAAACTCTAACAACATTTGTAGGTTTGTGATTCAATAATTTTTCAACAAATAAGTTTGCAGTTTCAGTATGAATACCTTTCTTTGTATAAGTTTTAGTTTTTGACCACCAATTGCTAACAATATATGGTAAAACACCACCGATTAAGACAATATATAGAACCAACAACAATGGAGAAGATTTACCTTCAATCAAGAATTTTGGTAAGGCAATACCATAGGAAGCCTGTTGAGGACCATCAGGATGTCCGTATTTTTCAAAGTTTTCTCTTGTAACTTCATCAGTTAAAGCTTTGTAAGCTTTTGTGATTAAAACGAATCTTTCTTCTAATTCTTTCTTTTCTTCATCAGATGCACCTCTAACTTTATCTGGATGGAATTTGATAGAGATTTTTTTATAGTGACTCTTGACTTCTTTTTCTGATGCGCCAAAATCAATGCCTAGCAACTCATAAGGATCAAATGCGACAGTTTCTTTTTTGACTTCAGTATTTTTGATATGGTAAATGATAAATGCAACAGCTATCCAACCCAACGCCAGGAATAAGTTTCTCTTTGTGAAAATTTTGGATCTCTTTCTTCTGCTTCTGAATCTCTTGATCTTTGGGTCTATTTTACCATCATATTTGATCTCACCAGCAGCTTCTTGTTTAGCTTTGCCATTGAATAATTTATAACCTTCTAATATTGTGAATGGAACAAGACCAGCAGCTAGCACCGAAAGGGCAAACACTGGCCATGTCTCTGCATTTTCGTCATAAGAGTAACGGGAATCCATTATTTGCCTTTAAATTTAGTGAACTCTCTCTATCAAAATTTCAAAAATCAACGTAGACAAAAACAGGATTCTTCTTGGGCAATGGAATGTCAAATCAAATATAAATTGAGCAAGCTAGTTTACCAGTTTTAACTAATCAAGCAGTCCAAGTAGCACCTCTTTCTGTCAATGATGGTTCAATTCCAACTTCAAATGAAAGTAATTGGGCCTTCACTTTGAAACTTGCAACTGATTCCAAATTAAACACGTCGAATTAAGAAAAAAAACCAAAATCGGTTCGCGGCACAACTGACACGCATTTTTTTGACAGAGCCAATTTTTTCCTTCAGAAAAATTAAAAAAAAACAGTGAACATTTCGAGATTTTAAGACGAAAACATCACCAAAAAACAGGATCAGATACTATTGAAAAGATGAGTTTTAGAGGACGTGGTGGAAGAGGAGGCTATGTCAGAAGTAGTGGCTCCGCATTTCAAAGTGACGGAATGATGGTTGAAGGTAATGGGCAAAGCTTTGCACCAAGAATAAATGGCCCTGGTGAACAGCTGAATCAATTGGCCAATCAAGCTGTGCAACAAAACTCTGTACCCGTCGAGATTAGGGGCTGGCAAGGTGGATCTCGTGATGATCTCGTTTCATTTATTTCTAGAAAGACTAGGATCCCATTGATGAATGCTGTTGTGGAAGGTGATGCCATCAAAGGCTTCGTGAAGGATAACAGAACCGCTGAGGAGTTGAAGAAATGGAGTGGTGTTAGATTTGCCGGTAATGCTTTGAAGATTGAATTACCAGGAGCTGCTCAATCTGGAAATGCGTTGGATTTCTTGAAAAGTTTCCTTTATAGACGTTACAACGCCCAAGCTAAACTATTGGATTTAACAAACATTGCAAGTGATCAAGATCTTCAAAGAAATGGTGCATTCAGCTCAATCTCGGTGCAATCCAAGATGTTTCCTGCATTAATGAAACTAGCATCTTTGGAGAAGTTTGATGTGGAAAGTGTCAATTTATCCGAAAATAACCTGGAGGATCTATCAGGTGTAACAACATTGGCTCAAACGTTTCCAACATTGAAAAATTTAGCATTAACAAACAACAAGATATCAAAACTGAGATCATTCGAAATCTGGAAAAACAAATTCAGACACCTTAGAGAATTAATTGTTGCTAATAATCCGGTGACAACAGATCCACAATATAAAGATGAAATTTCCAAAATCTTTCCAAGATTAGCAATATTAGATGGTGTTGTAATTCGTGATGAAAACAAATTATCATCCATATATCAATTTCCAGTCTTGAAAAAACAATTCTTTTTCGAAGATCAAGAGATTCAAACACTTTCCACACAATTTATTTCAAATTTCCTATCATTTTGGGATTCCGATAGATCTCAATTATTATCATTATACTCACCTCAATCACAATTTTCATTATCAGTCGACTCAAGTGTCCCAAATGATTCGCCAGCTGCTCAAGTCTCATTTGGTTTTTACATTCCAATTTCACGTAACTTGTCTCGTGTTTCAAGTGAACGTACTCGTCAACAAAGGTTAGGGACCGGTGCTGAACAAATTTCCAAAATCTTCAACAACATTCCAAAAACTAAACATACATTACAAGAAACACCAGAACGTTATTCAATGGAATCATGGAGGTTCCCACAAGTGAATGGGTTCATAATTACATTGCATGGTGAATTTGAAGAAGTTGGTCAACCAATACAAGATGCAAACAATATCAATAACCCCAGAGGCTCAAGACGTGGTGCAATTGGTGGTCCATCAAATAAATTGACAAAGAAAAGTTTTGATAGAGAGTTTGTTGTTGTTCCAGGTAATGGATCCATGATTATCGCTTCTGATTTACTAAGCATAAGACCATTTGCCAACCATAATGCATTTGTTGAAGATAGCATACCACAATCACAAGTTCCACCAAGCACTGCACCAGCTTCAGCTACACCACAACCACAGCAACCTGGTTCTACTGGTTCTTCAGTCCCACCTTCAAGTCAAGGTGCTCCTGCCGGTCCTGAAGCACAATTGGCCAATTTACAACCACAACAACAAGAATTCATAAGTCGGTTGAACCAAGAGACAAAATTGAACTTACAATTCAGTATATTATTGGCTGAACAAAGCTCTTGGAATTATGACTTGGCTATCCAAGGGTTTAAAGCATCTCATGCACAAGGACAAATTCCTAATGAAGCATTCATGTGATCAAAAATATCAAATGTATATAGTTGAGTTACAATAGGATCAAAATGTGTGGAGATTTTTGTAAAATAGAATGATGTAGTTTTTTAGACATGACCCCGAATATGTTGGAGAAGATCAGTACTTTATGATTGAAGGGCGTATGCTGAAAGGCTTATCTCATTGTTCCGTACTTGTAGGGAAATGTGTTTAGGCAGGTACATTCCCAGCGTCCAAGATCCCATGAGATCTCTACTATATCATTTGGTTCAATAATTATTGAAGGGTATCTATTAAATATTAATATGTTAAAACTAAACCTATGTTGAAACTAAAAAAAACCTAACCAAGTTCAATATAATGCAAAAATGAATGTTCATATGTAACCTTTTTTTTTGTTTTTTGAAACCAAAGTTCCAATAATCTATACTCTATTATGTGCCTTTTCATTAACATTTTCACTTTCACTTGAACTATTTTGAACAGTACCATCACCTTCTTTTCTTAAGAATTCTTCATCAGCATCATTTTGTAAGTTTTCCAATTTTTGTGATTGTTCCTTCTCTCTTCTAATCATTGCAGCATAACCATAATAAGATTTATTTCTTAAAGCTGGACCCCATTTTTCAAAAATCCAAGGAACAGGAACCATAGCTAATGCAATGAAGGCGAATAATGAAGAAGCCCAATCAATATGTAATTTTTGATACATTTGCACAGTGAATAATGGGAAAACAGAAGCCATGATATATCTGAACAAATTGTTGGCAGCTAATGCAGATGCTAAAGATAATGGTGGATAAGACATTGAGAAATATAAAACGACTGAAAAGAAAATTAAAATTAAACCAAAACCGAAAAGCGCACCTGAAATGATTGGACAAATCCAATGAACAGATTCTCTTGAAGACCAACCTAACCAGAATAATGATGGTGGGAGGGCAATTGCACCAACTTTACAAATGATTAATCTTGTTTCTGGAGCTTCCAAGATTAATCTATTTTGATCATCTCTTGGACCACGAGTACCATCTTCATTCTTTTTGAAAAATTTATAACGATCAATAACGATGTAGAAGATAGTACCACAGACTAAACCAACACCAACACCAAGGAAGGCCAAACCTGAAACACCTAATGACATCTTGTAAGTACCTCTGAAAATGATTGGATAAGCTTCAAAGAAACCGAAAAGGACAGCAAAAACAAATGCAATATAGATTGAGAAAACCATGACAATTGGTTCCACAACAAGCATCTTCATTGGTGTCATCAAAGTGATAAACATAATGAACTTCAAGAATTCTAACCCACTAATTTGTGGTTTTTGTAATTTTAATCCACGCTTCTTAGCTCTTTTCTTTAATAACACTGGTTTATAAGTTTCTGGAGATAATAGAACAGGTAATAGAATACCACCTGCAAACATTAAATTAACCCACATTGTCCATTTCCAACCTTCTTTTTCAGCAACAAAACCACCAATAACAGGACCTAAAACAGGACCCATGAATGGAGCAAGACAGAACCCAGCCATTGCAAGACCCATCATTTCAAAATCCCACATATCAGCAATAGTACCACCAGCAACAGCCATTGCTGGAGATGCAAAGAAACCTGCAAAGAATCTTAAAACTAAAATATCACGGATATGTGAAGATAAACCAACACCCATAGTGAAAAGCATAGAGACTGGTAAAGAAACAACATAGACGATTCTTCTACCGAATAATTCAGAAAATGGAGCAGCTAAGGCAGGACCAAAAGCAAGACCTAATAAATAAAATGTAAGACCGGAAATTGCCAATTCTTGAGAAACTTTCATCTTCATCATAATATCTGGAACACCACAAACATATAAAGAGGAACCAAATGAAACTTCTAGACAAATCATAGCAGTTGACATTGTGATTGCCCATTTTTTCCATGTTGGCCAATTTTTTGGATTTTCTTTATCATCTGGACCATCCCAATCCAATGTGGCTGGGTCAATTTCTTCTTCATCTTCTCCTTGATTACTTTGAATAGCTTTTAATGATTTCTCATCCTTTTGTAGCAAAGATTGACGAGTGACTGAACGTCTCGATAATGTTCTTTGTAAAGCCATTTGATATTCTTCAGATTGAGTTCTTGTAAAATCACGTTGTTCAGAAGTTGGTGGACCATAAGGTGATGTTTGATCATTAAAAGAACGATGAGAACGAGCGACTGATTGTTGTGATAGAGTTTTAGTCAATTGGATAGGCTCTGGGGCTTCATCTGAAGTGCTGACTCTTGGTGAATATGCAACTTCTTCACCATCCAAATCATCAACAGTGGCTTCACCTGTTGTTGTGGTATCTTGAAGAGCAGGAGCAGCATTTTGTTTTATAGTTGATACACTTGAGGCATCATCAGCACCAGCTTGACTTTCAGCATCACTTGAGAGTGGATTTTCCAGAGCACTTTCATAGTCTGTTGTTGTTGTTGTAGTCAGATTGGACGACGAAGCAATCGAATGAGATGATGGGAAGTTGTTGTTTTGGTTCAATTGTGATGATTGAGCGTTTCTCAACGCCTCTTCTTCCTCTTTGGAGGGACCTAGCAAACCCATTGTGAATATTGTTGTAACGTCAGCGGTAATCTGGAGTGGTTCGTGTAGAAAGGATAGTAGAAATGCTACTTTCAACGTCTTTATAAATTTGTTGATCGAGGACAGAAGAGCCTCGGTAGAAATAACAAAAAGAAAAAAAATTTATCCAAAATAAACACCGGCGTTACTCGGCAAAACCAGGCTTAGAGCTTGAAAGAGTCTGAGAATTCGATTTTGTATGAATAAGCATGTTGATGTTGGGATATTAGGAGTGATTATGGCTCTAAGAAATTATAAATTGAATTTAAAGCCAATTGGCCATTAGGAAAGCCAGATCTCATCCCATCGGTTTTTTGAGGAACCTCGTTTGAGATGTTCCGTAGTGGAACATCGGAGGGACACCTTCATTTGAAGTTTTAACCAGCAAAGGACAATTGATCTATTAGCGCTTAATTCTTTGCCTATGATATTTCCTGACCTCCATATATTCAGCTTAGATGAATGTCTGGATGCTATAACGTTTTTGGGCTGATTTATCAGAGAAAATGAATTGGTTGGAGCTTGACAGCCCGAAGCCCTAGAAAATGACAACATTCCATGTAGCTGCTAATATTGAGTAGCTTATAATAAAGTGGTCAGTTTTCTCATTTGAGTTCATGTAATGAATATATATAGATGCTGCTGAGCTAGTAAGTTCAAGCTTTGATCAAGATTTCCTCGAGTTATAACTACTAGATACTGTACCTGATATCTTGGTGTACTGTTCAAGCTGTCAACGGCTTTTCGCGCACTCAATCGGGGCGTGCCCTAGATAATTTCCTCAGTAACAGTCCAACAAATATTTAATTAGCTTCAAAACCTTGAAGAGAACAATATCAAAAGTTCTATACGATAATGTGAAGATTAGTTGAAAGCTGAAAGATCCAACATTCAGGGCTCAAAGTATTAGCTTATAAGTGCAGATTTTAATAAGCAATAATATTCATACCTGAAGATCTCAAAGATGGTTGAAGTTCTAATTCATTCTAGTGCAGTAATATAATTTGATGCTTATATTGCATTTTCGTTTCATTTCAATTAACCAGCCAACCAGCTGGTTAAGTGTCAAGTGATTACAAAGCGCTAGCTCTAATTGATTCACTGCAGCAGTTTTGAGTGGAATTTTTCAAGTTACAGTCGATCATATGCTAAAGCCATATCCATGTTTAAACGTTGTCGTTATTTTGCTCAAGAGTTATCAATAAAGAAGATTTCATACCATCATAAAAAAGTTTTTCAAGTGCATTTCATGTTGCTTTGTTTTTTCCAAATGAGTGTCAAACCACAATCTCTCAAAACACGTTATTAGCTGGAAGCTTCAAAGCCAACCAATTGACAGTATTAAAGCTACCGAGTGGACAGAGAAGCTTTATGACAAGGTATAGTCAAGTACACTGTGATAATTTACCGCTGCCATATAATAAGGCTGGTAATATGATTGGTAATGTGAAAGTTTTTAGCGGTCCAATGTTAACCTCTTAAAAAGATGGTAAATACTACGGAATGCCCCTTCTCATTCTATTTCTTTCGATTCTTGAAGGTAGAAGAATGGATTTAGTTTTGTTTCGTCTTTTTTAAAACGTTCAGTCGACACTGAATGGTGTTTCCCTGAAGTCTGGTGAAATATTGGGAAAGATCGATATAGACTAGCATGTATCAAAACATTTCCTTTGCGCGATTCAAATGACAATCAGATAGAAAAGATTGCCTTTTAAAGGTTCTCAGCGCTAGCACAAATGAAATCAAAGTAATTATGGATGGAGATGGTGCCGTAACATTAGTTGAAGGGTTAATGCTTCCCTTATAGACCCTTCAGATCTTAGCACTTTCTTGGTGACTAGGCTTCCAGACAATGAACAATTAGGAAAACAATGAGGAATTCAAAATAGTCAAGCCCAAAGTGAATTCAATCAAACCTACAAAGAAGCAGACACTAATTAATCTCCTCTTAACACATTGGTCCTCTTTTGATAATTCTCGTATTTTGTAGGGTTTTTTTTCCTGATCAGCACCACAATAAGCAAGTTGAAAAAAAAACAGTAGACACATCTCGTTACTCATCTTTTCACAACAACAACAGTCTCAAGTCGATTCATCAAGAGCCTGTTCCACATGATCAGTTAATAAAATGTCCATAAGGCTCGGTACTGTGATATACACAGCTGTGAAGCCCATTTTCAAGATCTATTTCATCATTCTTTGTGGGTTCTTCTTGGGGAAGAGAAACATCCTTACGGTGGAAACTGCGAGAAATGTATCAGATATTGTTGTATCTCTAATTTTACCATGCTTAGTGTTTAATAAGATTGTTACCAACATAGAGAACTCAGATATCAAACAGATAGGTATTGTTGTGCTGGTGAGCATAGTCCTTTTTGGATTAGGTGGGTTAGGTTCATTGATTATCTATTACACAACAAAAAGTCCCAGATATTGGAAAGGTGGTTGCGTTATGGTGGGATTATGTCCAAATATTTCAGATCTACCAATTGCATACATATCTACACTGGCTTCTGGATTGGTTTTCAGTGAAAAGGAAGGTGATATGGGGATTGCCTATATATGTATATTTACTGCTGTTCAGGTGTTTATGCAATTCAATCTAGGGAGTTTCAAACTAATAGGTTGGGATTTTGACCAGCAAAGAAAGCATGAAGACCTAGAACAGTCACCAAAATCCCCAGAGAACCCGTTGGAAGATGAAGAGGATACATCAAGTTCAAGATCGTCATATGATCCAAACCAAAATCAAGTTATCCCATTGGAAGATTTAGAAAGAACAAATACAACAGCAACAAATGCAACTTCAAACTTGTCATTAAGAAGAGCAAGATCTCAATCAATGCATGACGTTATCAATGAATATTCACAAGCCTCAAGAATAATATCTGGTAAATCTCAACCAGCACCAGGTGAATTCACAGATTTGAAGACAATACCCACATCAACAGCATCATCAAAGAAACAGAAACCCAAAATTGTTCAATTTTGTCTATTCTTTTTAGATAATTTCAAAAGACCATTATCAATTGCATTAGTCGTTGCCATTATAATCTCCATGATTCCTTGGGTTAAAGCATTATTCGTCACAACTGATCAAGCTTCATTACCAAATGCTCCAGATCAACAACCGCCACTATCATTCATTATGGATTTCACTGGTTATTTAGCAAATGCCTGTGTCCCACTAGGGTTATTGATCCTTGGATCTACATTATCAAGATTAAGTATAGGTGCTATGCCACCAGGATTTTGGCAAACTCCATTAGCTTTGAGTATCCTAAGATTAGTGATTTTACCAATCATTGGAGTATTGATTAATACAAGATTGCACACGATTGGATGGTATGATGATGACAAGATCTTACAGTTTGTTAGTACGATTGTTTTTGGGTTGCCCAACGCAACTAGTTTGATTTATTTGACTGCATTTTATACACCATTGGAAGGTGATCATAAACAAATGGATTATTTGGCATTGACTTATATCATTGAGTATCCATTATTGGCTATCAGTTTACCATTCGTAACGACATATACTATTAAAGTGTCTTTAGGTTATTGAATGTGTTAACCAACTTGAAAATTATTTGTAGCAGCCCTATCATATTTATATTAAAACTTGATACCAAATGATCACAGCACTCTGTAAAACATAGTTATCCTGTTGAAAAGAATATATCGAAAACGCAGTTACCAAAAAAATGCGGTAGTTTCAAAAAAGTTCCAAAAAGGACTAATTTGAATAGACATTACTGGGTATGAGGTCGTGTTCGACAATAAAATTGCTCTGGCGTTCTTTTCCCCTCCATTCATCAAACAAATTACAATAATGATGCAGTGAATAGAACGCGTTCGTATCAAAGAAAAGGAAAAAAAGTTGTAAAGAGTAGAAGAAAACTTTTCATTCAAAATTTTTTTTTATAGCTGAACAAAAAAAATTAAAAAAAAAAATTACTTAAAGCACGTGATATACACGTGATTCCATTATTTGCGGCTCGTAACGATTTTAGCCAAAAACACAACAAAAAATCAAAAGTGTTCAGTTTTAACCAAAACCCCAAAGTTTTTGATATTTTACTACTATTCAATCAACCAATAACTTTTCAAATAACCAATCATGGGTATCCTTATAACGTCAATCCTTTCACATACCAACGTCAAGCCCAAAAGAGTCAGAATCTCAGAAGATGACCGTCAAAATCTTCCTCCAGTTATCGGGTTTGGGTTTGATAATGATAGAAGAACCAATTATGGTACAAGTTTGAGCAGAAGTGGATTAGTTCGTCGTAATGCTATAAGCAGAAGATGGAGAAGTCGTGCAATGCATCACAACCCTTCACCGGCTGATGGGGGTACACCTGTTGATGAAATTGGGGTTGGGAGAGTGATACCTATGGAATCTCCAGAAATCAATAATACAAGACGATCAAACAGACCTACAATAGATGCACCTCCACCGCCTACAATGGTTGCACCACCGTCTGCAATATATAGAAATGGTACTGGGAGAGATAGCGGAAGCATCGATGGGGGAGAACTTGAAGGCTTGTCATTAGCAGAGCTAGAGAGAAGAGCTGATGAACTGAGAAGAACATTATCGGATAGACATCATATAAATATAGATTTTGGTGACCTGTCAAGATCAGAAAATGAACCAAGAGACTATACCATTGAAGAGGAAGGTGAAGAAGAGGAGGATACAAGAGGTGAAGTTCCTTTAAATGAGAGAAATATGGATCAAAGAGCACAAAGTTTGATGTATGAAATAAGGAGACGTATGAGGACAAGTCGAAGAAGATCTATTGGAAGACCTTTCGGTGATGCTGGTAATCAGAGAAGGTCCAATATTGATGAATATGATGCATTGATACAAGATAATGAACCTAATCAGAATTGGAGACGTCGTGCTTTTAGAATTTATAGAAATAACATTGGGGATAGAAGTTCTGATAATGAAGGTGATAATGGTGTTAATCATGAAAGAAGAAGAAGAGAACAAAATAGACATGCTTTTGTCACGTCTTTGGGTGACGAAGATGAAGATGCAGATAATAATGATAATAATGAAGAGGAGGCACCTTTGGCATTTGGGATATTTTGAGGGTTTTATAAGGAAGTATTTATTAATCATATGAATGGAACATACATTGGGAAATAGGAACTAATTGAATTAACCAAAAGTAGAGGTTTTAATTATAATGAACTTCATTATATAACCGATTCAAATTTAGCCAATCATGGCCTACCGGTATGACCGCCATAAGTCCTTTTAACTCCTTGAAATCACGCAGAATTGGCGTAAAAAGAGGCTGAAAAGTGGGTTTAAGAACGGGTAGAATCAAACACAAACAAATGGCCTCAAAAAATATTCCAATTACTCAAAATCATCAACTTTTCCTTCCAAAAATCTCAACCATTCAATTCCTTTTCGCTTTTCCTGCCGTTATCAGTTCCATCAGCGAGCTCGCGTTTTCGGTGAAAAAAAAACACCTTCGAGAAAGCTGAAAAACTCCAGATTTTGCACAAGCCATTCAGATTTTGTATATCTTCCACCTCGAATCCATCACTTTTTACCTTCATCTTGGACTATAGGTTGAACTTGAAAAACAGCACAGCATAACTTCTCCATAACCAAAACCAGTTCAGAAAGATATTCCCTTAATAATGCCCACAGAATCAAACACCTTCAAAGAGAACCCCATCCATCATCAACTACACCACATCTCAAACACACCTCCTCAAGAACCAATATTTAGCCCAGAAGAAATAGATTATGAATCCCTACCTGAAGGTACCACTCTAACTTCACAATGTATCGCTGGTGCCTTTGCAGGTATTTTGGAGCACACAGTGATGTACCCCGTGGATGCAATCAAGACACGGATGCAAGCACTACAATCATCAACATCAACTGCCTCTTCAAAACTAGAAGGTGTTGTTTCATCATTATATAGAATATCTTCCACAGAAGGCTGGCTATCGTTATGGCGTGGTACTTCCTCAGTGATATTGGGTGCTGGTCCTGCCCATGCCGTATATTTTGGTACTTATGAATATGTCAAGAAACAATTAATCCATGAGGAGGATAATTCTCATCAACCTATGCGTGTGGCAGTGGCCGGTTCTGCTGCTACTATTGTTAGTGAAGCTTTAATGAACCCCTTTGATGTGATTAAGCAAAGAATGCAATTACAAAAAATTGGAACATCTTCATTTTTAGATACAGTGGGGAGAATTTATCAAAAAGAAGGGTTTAAAGCCTTTTATTATAGTTATCCAACTACTATAACGATGACTATACCATTCACTGCTTTGAACTTTGTTGTTTATGAAAGTTCTGCCAAGGTATTGAATCCTTCAGGTCATCATGATCCTTTAAAGCATTGTATCGCAGGTGGATTAGCTGGTGGTGTTGCAGCCGCATTAACTACACCATTGGATTGCATCAAGACTTTGTTACAGACAAAAGGTGAAAGCTCAGATCTACGAATTAGAAATACAAATACATTATATGGTGCATCTAAGATAATATATCAAATGGATGGGATAAGTGGATTTTGGAAAGGTACAAAACCTAGAATCATATCAAATGTTCCATCAACTGCTATCTGTTGGACAGCTTATGAAATGGCCAAATACTACCTCACAAAGACAACATCAAAGCCATCATCATCACCATTAGTATAGCATACTGTTATGTCCTCTATCATAGTTTTGTTGTTCCATTTCCTTTGTCCATAAACAATGATCTTTAAAATCACAATATTTACAAATTGAATTGATGTTTTTGAAAGTTCCTTCAATGGGTTGAGGATCTCTATACCCTTTCCAAAATTCTAAACCTTTAGCAGCAACTGTGGCCATTACATTCTCGTCATATTGAAAATAAACGTCATGTAAATTTTTGCCTTGAAAAAAGTATTCAACTCTTAATTCTTCATGTCTTAATAATAATGCAGTATTGTGAAACATTTTAGATAATCTAGAAATAAAATATCTTGTAGTTGGTGCTCTTGACCATGGTTTCAAAAATGGTGAAATCTTTTCCAACATTTCTGGGTCTGTAATACTTGATTTCAAGTATGAAAGATCATAATTTGAAAAATGTTTATGGTTATCAAACCCTTCAATACCAACATCAACACCATCTCTTATTCTTTCAAAATCTTTCCAGAAAACATCATGTGTATAAATCAAACCCAGTGCAAACTCTGGAGTTATTGGTTCATTAATATCAATTTTCTTTCTTTTACAATACTCTTCAAGCCATTGAGCACCAAATCTACCACCCAACACTTCAAGAAATTTCCTATAAATCATAACTTGACTCTTTGCACCTTGTAACACACTTGCTTGACTAGGCAGAGTAGGCTGGCTTCTAGTCTTGACATCACTAACCAACAGGAAATAAGAGCTAGGATGTTTGGAAATGACTTCACTCCCCAGATCCACGATATCTTTCAGATCATTCATTTGTTTGAAAGCATGCTCTATTGGTCTTTCTCTATCGCTTGACTTCAAAACCAAATGATCAATAACACCAGTAACGATCATACTATCCTCATCCAAAACTTCACCATCGTCAATAACACCAAACTCGTCAATGAACCCATGCACATAAATCTCTCTCGCCCTCCCAGTTTGTAATAGAGTGACTAGTCTTAAAATAGCATCGACAACACTTTGACAATACACATCAACTTCTTTCAATTCCACCTGTGGGATATGTTCCAACACATCACTCATATCTATCTCCGGATGAGTTTCTAATTCAAGTTTTAAATGTTCTTTACGTCCCTTTCTCATTGCATCAGTCTCTTCACGAGGTGTTCTTGAATAAATTTCGAAAAAATCTCTTAATTCACACCATTGTTGCGTGAGGATCCTCGTTACGCTTAATCTGGGGAATTCACTGATTGGTGTATGACCAGGCACAACTTCAGCTTCGGGTAGTTTGTATATTTGGAATGGTGTTGGTGAGTTCTTGGGTCTATGGTATGTTAAAAGACCATGTTGTAATGGGATGTATTGTGCAACTGCCTTGACCCTATCTGGGAGTGGTCCACCTTCTGGAGATAATGATAAATGGGGCGGTAAGAGGTTTTGAACAAATGGTGAATTTGTTATAAGTTCAGTTTCTGATGTGGTTAGTGTGGAATCTGGGATTGTTGTTTCTGGCGTTGATGAAACTTTGGCCATTGTCTTGGGATCTTTTGGGATTTTGATAACTAGTTTTTCCAGGTTAATTGTGTTGATTAATCTCTTTATGGGTTTCATATATTGTCTTGACATTTGGTTCTTGGGGCTTTTAATTGTGAATGGAATCATTATGAAGGGTATTGAAAGTTTTTTTTTCAGTGGGTATGATTGATATTACAAATGTGATACATCAAGTTTTTAAGATGATGGCATAAGGAAACAAAAACACAAGAAGAATAAATAATTGAATGGATGATTAGTGGATGTAGATGTATGCATAAGAATGAATTTGAATGGCTCTTGAATCTATGATGTATGATCTATTTGAGATGTGAACTATTGCGATGAGATGAGATGAGATGGTGTATAATAGATTCAACAGCAACATGAAGTGGTGGCACACAGACAAACAAACAACAGCTTTCGATACCAAATCTTCCTCTATCAACCAACTTGACACAAAGCAGCCGTTGGATTCAATCGGATAAAACGCTGCTTAACCAAGAATTCTGCACTTTGATAAAATCTCACGAAATGTTTATGTCTCTCGATGATCAATTTTAATGCTGATAACACCGAGGAATTTGGCAGCAAAACAGCAATAAACACGCATTAAACGGCTTATAATAATGATTAAACATATTACAACACCATATAAATGACATTACATTCCCTAATAGACTAGTATTCAAATATTCTCACTCCAATGCACTGGCGAATACACATTAGCTTCCCAATTGGGAAGTCCACCTCCCTTTGCTGTGTCTCGAACCACTTTGTTTTTTCCTTTGAAAATTCAAAATTTCGAAATTTTAAGGACCGTAAACAAAAGTTATCGAAAAGGCGAGTTTCAAAGCCAAATTCTGGAAATACCGTGAATTAGTGTGTGGATATTTAGATTCTAACAGCTTGACTCTCACATTGCAACACATTCCACCAGGCAAACAACATCAACTGTCCCCAGCTGCTACTGCGAGGCCATTGCACACACACACACGTTTCAAACCGTATAGTCAACAACAACACGACAATTTGGTGTCTATCTGGCTTAAAATCAAAACAAAGCTGTGAAATTTGCATTGTCTACCATAAACACACATACTTTGAGAAGACAAACATTCTATACAAACGTTAATTGATTGAATTAGTTGAAACAATTGCTGGTCCATTGTTGTTTTTTTTTTTCACAGGAGCTTGCGTGTATTATATATCAAAACCATCAATATGAGTGAAGAACCATCAAAACAAGAGGAACAAATACAGGAAGAACAACAACAACCCATAGAATCCGGGGATGTTGCAGTACCTGATGCTAATGAAGAATCTAAACAAGATGAAACAGAGAACAAGGATGAAGAGAACTCACAAGATCAATCGAAAAGTGAATTGTCTAAGCAAGAAACATCTTCATCATCATCAGCTATATCTGAAATGAAGGAGGAAGATGCTGATCAACCACCAATTTCTGAAGACCCAAAAGTTATGAATGAACCTCCATCCTCCGAAGAACCAAAAGAAACAGATGCTGAAGACCATGAAAGAATTGCATTTGATACTGATAAACCAGAAGAGCAAGAGGGAAAACCTACGAGTCCACCCCAAAATAAAGACGATGAATCTAAAACTGATGAAGCACCTGCACCAACTGTGGATGAAACAGCTCAAGAAAAATCTGAAGAAGAAAAGCCGGAATCTAAAGAAGATGAGGAAAAGGATGAAGAACCAAAACCAGATTCAAAAGCCGATCAAGATGGTGATATTTCTATACCTGATGCAAATAATAGTGAATACGAAGGTGAAAGTGATCAAGGAGAGGAAGATGAAGAACCAAGTGACGCAGAAGAAGATGACGCAGAAGAAGAAGATGGTGTACGAAAATCCAAGTCTCGTTCAAGAACTGCTGAACCACCAAAGATCAAAGATGAAAATGATGCACAAAATGATGATGCCAAAGATCAAACAGATGTTAAAGAATCTTCAGATGCCACTGCAGTTGGTGGTTCCAAGAATGAACCTTATATTCCTCAAACTCATACCATTGTCATTCCATCTTATGCATCTTGGTTTGATTTCAAAAGTATTCATCCAATAGAGAAGGAATCATTACCAGAATTTTTCACAAATCAAAACCCTTCCAAAACTCCACAAATTTATGTCAAATACAGAAACTTCCTGATCAATGCCTATAGATTGAATCCAAATGATTATTTAACAGTGACGGCTGCTAGAAGAAACTTGGTTGGTGATGTTGGAACCATTTTAAGATTGCATAGATTTTTATCAAGATGGGGATTAATCAACTATCAAGTTGATGCTGTCGAAAAACCAAAACCTGTTGAACCACCATTCACTGGAGACTATAATGTGACATATGATGCCCCACGAGGCCTTTTCCCATTTGAATCTTTCAAACCTCCTTTAGAACCTTACAAGCTGGAGAAATTGAAAGAATTGACAAGGGGTAAAAGAGAATTGAATGGTGATGGGAATGGAGTTGAAGCTAAAAAAGAGGAGCAAACAGGAGAAGGAGAAATCAAAGATGAACCAATAGTCAATGGTGGTGATGTTAAAAGACCAAAGATTACAAAGAGCATAAATGATGGTTGGACCAAAGAAGATTTAAAGAAGTTGTTAGAAGGATTAACTAAATTCAAAGGTGATTGGGAATCTATAGCTACACATGTTGGAACACATACAGTGGAGCAATGTATTATCAGATTTTTGAAACTACCAATTGAAGATAAATTTGTTGGAGATTCTGCTCAAAATTTGGGGCCTTTGAAATATGCACCATATTTACCATTTTCACAAGCTGATAATCCAGTTTTATCCACTTTGGCATTTTTAGTATCATTGGTTGATCCAGATGTTGTTAAAGCTGCCACCTCTAATGCTATAAAGATTATTGATGAAAAAGATCTTGAGCAAACGCTAGAGAAAGAGGAAAAGGGTGAATCTTCTGAAGTAGCCGGTAATGGTGTTGAAGAAAGTGCAAGAATTTCATTCACTACAGTTGGTGCAAGAAGCCATATTTTCAAAACTAATGAAGAGATTGAAATGAATAAATTAACCAACGTTATTGTGAACACTCAATTAAGTAAGTTGGAATTGAAAATGGCTAAATTGGAGTCAGTGGAGAAAGAACTAGATCTTGAAAAAAGAATATTACAAAAACAACAAGAGGAATTATTCTTGGATAGATTATCATTCAGTAAGACTTCATCATTAGTCATTTCAAAATTGAATAATGCCGTTGAAAAAGCATCATCAGATCCACAAGAATTGTCGAGATTGGTACTTGAAGCTAAAGAATTATTGGCCAAGCCTGCAAGATCAGAACTGGCTTCATTTGATTTGTCTAAAAGAGATACTAAATCGGTTCAACCTGATCAAACTACAGATGAAGCTGAGAATGCCGCAACTACTGTTGCAGATGATGATCTCAAGCCTATCAGTATTGAGACCCCACAAACATATAGATATTGGTCTGGTTAAGCTGAATGTCAAAACCCACCCCTATAATAATTCTTCTGTCCTTTGTATAATTATAGTATGATTTATCATAGAATTTGTAGGCATTCGGTAGCGTACCACATAGATTTTAGTTTTCGCGAATTTCTAAAAATTGTACCTTTTTCTACGGATCTCCAAAAAACTTGAAACGACAAAGAAAAACACACGTCAAACAAAAGAATCATTGAAATACACCATTGGAATCATTATCAACATGACTGAAGTTGAATCCAGAGAGCCATCAACGTTTGAGAAAGCCCTACATTCATGGTCTGAGGTGAATTTGCCCTCTTTACAAGCAGAATTGGATGATCCTGCTACAAAGATTCAAACATTTCAAGAATCAACATTGACTTCACGTCGTGCATTGGCTCAACGTACTAAAGAGTTCAAAAAGCATGATGAAGAGACTAAATTGAAAGAAATCAAATCTTTGCTAAAATTATATCAGACAGAGATTGATTCTTTGACTGAAAGGGCTAAGTGTGCGGAAGGAGCTTTTTTCAATGTTTATAGAGCTATAAGTGAATTACCAGACCCCAAACCACTATTGGAAGTGTCTTTGGATAGTGTCATGACTGCTGGGGAAGTTGATGAATTGAAAGTTGAGAATAAAAGATTACAGGATGAATTGTTGAAATATGCTGATTATGAACAACTGAAGAGTAGACTGTTACGGATGGAGCAAAAGAGCGCTGAACAATTGGCAAATAGATTGAAATTAAAAGAAGGGGAAATGAGAGGTGAATTTGAAGAAAAGGAGAAAAACTGGGAGGAGAAAGAAGGAAACTTTCTGAAACAAGTTGATGAGTTAAAGAAACAAGTTATAGAGTTCAAGACTCAAACTGAAGTGGATGGATTAAGATTACAAAATCAATCAGATGCTTTTAGTGAAAATAAAGGTGAAGACTTGGAATTACTAAAGAGAGAAAACGAAAGTATTGAATTAAGAAACTTGCAGCTTGAAAAGAGAAATCAAGACCTTAGTAAAGAATTGAAAGTTGTCAAAAGTGGCTTAGCTAAAGAAGAAGCTCAATTGAAAAATGAATCAAAATTGGGTGAATTAGAAAGTGAAAATGCTACTTTAGTTGCCAAGTTAGATCATAAGAAACGTCTAACTGAAACAAATACAAAGCAACAAACTACAAAGATCAATGTTTTGAAAAGAGATATTGCAACATTACAAGGTGAATTGAAGAATTTGAGAAGCAAGATGATACAATATAAAGACTATGATGATTTAAAACAAGAATTGAACACATTACGTGCAATTTCATTTGGTCATGGTGACGATGATGATAACGAAGATAATGATGATGATGAAACTGATGAACAAGATCCAGTGAAAACAAGCTCCACACAATTGGATGAAATTTTGGTATCAAGAAACAAGAAACTAACTGCAGAAATTGCAGAGTTCAGATCTCAACACGAAGAGTTAATCAATGAAATCACACAATTAAAGAAGAGTTTGACCGATTCCAACTCTGAAGTTACAAGGTTAGTTCAATTGAGTAATAAGTTGGAATCTGATTTGACACACTTTCAACCTCCAAAACTGGATACAATGAGTATGATTTCTGGTGTCACAAGAGGTACAAATACGACTAGAGCTCCAGTGGGTAACAGAAGTGGGCGTATATCCCCAGCATCTTCAATTGCAGGTGGATCAATAAGAGAAGAACCAATAGCAGAATCAGAATCCTCAGTTTTACCAATCATTACATCCCAGAGAGATAGATTCCGTAATCGAAACATTGAGTTGGAAAGTCAAATCAAAAAGCAAAACAACATTATAAGTGATTTGAAATCTCAATTGAATAAATTAAAACAACAAAATACAGAATTATTCGAAAGAACAAGATATTTGGCTTCATATAAAGGATCTGTTCGTCGTTCAAGTCGTGATCAAGATAATGATCCAGAAAAACAATTGGAAGAAAGCTATGAAGAATCATTACATCCATTAGCGAAATTCCGTCAAAGAGAAATGGAGAGAGTCACATCAAGATTAAGTACATTGGAAAGAATATTTTTGAGTTTTGCAAAGGCTATATTGGAAAATAAAACAAGTAGAATGCTATTTTTGGGATATTGTGTTGGTTTACATTGTCTAGTGATGGCTATGAGTGTGTACGTGATGAGTTTACATGGTGCTTTGACACCTGAGGTTGGTATAATTGATAAGAGTGCAGGTTCTAGCAACCCTGGTATATGATAGCTTGATGTTGTTACTTTTTATAATATAATAGATCATTATTCTTCATATTGTTCATTTCTTTATTGTAATTTGCAAATATCTTTTCACTTTCAATTCTAATCATGTTCCTCTTTTGATAAAAAAAAACTACACCTCAAACTTTCTTCATGAAACCAAAATTAGTATATGTTACATTTCCCTATATAACCATAACATCTTAAGCAGTGATACGTTTTTGAGCAGCTAATCTACCTTTTTGTCTTGAGTTTAATTTAACAACACGGTCTTCAGAAGCTTTTTCAACAGTTTCTTCTTTTTCAGTTAAAACTAATTCAATGTGGGATGGGGTAGATTGGTAAGCATTGATTCTACCATGAGCTCTGTAAGTACGACGACGTTGTTTTGGAGCATGGTTAACTTGGATATGAGAAACATATAATTTTGATAAATCTAAACCTTTGGCATCGGCGTTGGCAGCAGCATTTGTTAATAAATCTTGAACAAATTTAACTGATTTGACTGGCCATCTAGCTTTGGTGACACCAAATTCTTTACCTTGAGCAGTTCTACCGATTGATGAGTTGTAACGACGGAATGGGATAGCTCTTTCATGTTTAGAGACTTGACCCAAGTATTTTTGAGCTTTTTCCAAGTTTAAACCATTGATGGCTTGAGCAGTTTCTCTAGTGTTCTTGAAAGAAACACGTAAGTATGAACCACGAGCTGAAGCTGATTTAGCTGGGTTGGTTGAAGTAGCACCGTAACGAGTCATTGTTGATGTATACTTTTGATGATGGTTGAAGGTTTCAAGTAATCTTTGTTCGTAGTATAAGTAAATTTGATGTTTGTAGATTTCAGGATTTCGAGTGTTTGGGAATTGTGAAAAATTTGTTGATGCGGGACACACGTCCATAGTGAAGAGTGACTCCGGGGGCGCTTTGTGCGAGCCGGAAATGCGGTCACCTGCCAGTGTGGCCCGATTCCAAAAAAGCTGAAAAGTGCGAAAAATGTTTTGTGTCATAGGAATATCAAATGGTGTTGGGATGTATGATGTGTGTCGCGAATGAATCTGATAGAGCCCTAAAGAGAGTCACATGACTGAGAGACAGAAAGAAAACTAATCTACGATAAAGCGTATTCGAATTTCGACACATGAGAAATGGATCATTTTAAAGTTCCCGATAATTTGGACTCAATATACATCTCCCAATTAGACAATAGCGATGTGTTATACTCTGAATCCCTAGAAGTTAATTCAGAAAAGCCATAACCAATGAAGTAAACTTCACCATTGTGCACACGAACACTAGAAAATCTGAGAGAGAACTTGTCAACACCAGCTTTCTGGAAGAGCTCAGCTTGTTTTCTTCCCTTCTTGAGATGTTCAGTGGTTGTCACAACTCCTTCCAAAAGATCCATAACTATATAACCACCTGAGAAGAAGTCTTCATTATCTTTAATTGTCAACTTGATATTTCCAGTCTTGTAAATAGTTGGTGCATTTATCTTTGGTGACCCCCGTGCTTGTGAAATATTGAATTCTCTAATTCTTTGATAAGCGTTCAATTCATTTTCTTTGTAATCTTCAATACCTTTCGCAACATTGTACTTCCTGAGATCCCAAGGTTCTTCAGTGAAGATTTTTCTAACCGGATCGTAAATCTTAAGGACCAATCTATGATCCTTCGATTTGATATTAAACTCCTCTTGAAGATTTTGCGAAAATAACTCTTCAAGTTGCTTCAATGTTAGTGCCAAAACTTGACAATTGCATTCAAAACCAACTTGTAATTCTTCATACTGGCCCCAGTATGTGACTTCTTCAAAAAAATAGCTCTTATCCATGTGGTAAACCTTCGCAGCATTTTGAAGTGTTTCTGCAACTTCTTTACCACTTTTATAAAAAGTTGATTTACACCTCTCCATTACTTCTTGGATTTCATTGAACTCACCAGTCTTCAGTTTTTTCAAAGTCGAATAAACTTTAGCACAAAGCATCATAGTTGCAGTAAAGTTCCCAGATTTGTTATCAAACACACGGACAGTCATAGGTGCAATCGAGTCTGGGTTATTTATATCCAACTTCATATCTTGATACTTGACAAAATTGAACCCAATCTCTGCAAAGCTATTTCCATCAAGTAGATAACCAACTTCAGATTTAGCAGCGAGCATGTTACAAAAGCATATATTAGCAAAATGACGAGATAATCCAAGCTTACCCAAGCATTCAAAAACTTTGCCAGCATTGTAAGGCACAACTTCGAAAGGAATCAATGGGCGCTCTTGGTTATCATGAAGCTTTTGAATTAATGTAAAGTCTGGCTCCAGACTCATTGATCTTAAGTGTCCAGTGGTCTCAATATCTGTTTTGAGTCGTGTGTAGCGGTCAAGGATGATCCCGCGGCCGAATAAAAGTTTCATAATCCTAGTTATAGGTTCCAAATGAGTATCCTCCACTGTTGCCAAACCTAAAGGTCCAAATCGGCCTCCCATTCTGTGAAAGGTTTTAAAATCGTACGTATATCCTATTGTATGTATGTCACTCTCGCTCATTAGTATTCTAGCACATTTGTGCGATCTGTATGCATCATGACTGGAGTGTTCGAGACTTGATAGGAGATTCTGATATAATTCATCGAAAACTTGCTTCAGTTCATCATGGTCACTGTTTAAAATATATTCCATTTCATATTCTATGTTGTCTTTCATAATTAATTTAGTGGCACGAGTTTTTGTCCGATCGACAAGACTCTCTTTCGTTTCAACATCACATAAATTACCTGTATCAGTGAACACTAGAAGGGGAAAGATGAAGAAGAACTTGACAATCATTTTGATCCGCTTTATAGCTGATTCACAGTCTTCATAAGGTCTTTCCATCTTTAGATAAAATTTGGTCCAGATAATTGATTTCCAACACTTTTTAATTGAATCATGTGAATCACCATCAATACCAAAGTCCCGAAGGTATTCCCTGTAATCAATATCATAGAGTTTCCGATCATCATTGTAAAATTTTTCAGTGATTCTTTCTCTTCTCTCTATTTCTTCTTCAGCTTCACGAGATACCATTTTAATGCTAGCAGTTATTGATGCTGGAAAAGCATATTGAAGTGGAATTGAAAGAAATCATGCAGACAAAGAAACAACAGCCCAAGTTTTTATATTAGTTACACGGGAATTTTGGCAGCCTGCACGAAAAGCGTAGATTTTTCTCATATTTAAGTTGCTAATTCATCAAACTTGAAAGAGGCAAACCGGGAAAATGCTTTGGAAATAGATAGTTCTTTAAATGGTCTGCTCCAATCAAATCTTTCTTTGCTTTTTTGAGTTTGATTCTTGGATTAAATAAACTAGCAAAAATCACCAGTTTTACCCGGTGTTGATCCTGATGATATTACGTAATATCTATTCTTCAAAATTCGTGAAATTTCGCCCCTATGAACAACTAAAAAAAAACGTAAAACGAAACGAAAAAGTGACATAAAACGGTTTATTGATTAGTACATTTCATCAATTATCAACAAGATGATCTGGTCATTGCCTTTATTATTGATAGCATCAACCGTCAGTGCATTGGACTGTTCTTCTGAACAATTATCACCATACAGATTAAAAGATTCATTCACACAAGTGACTTCAAAATCAATAATATCAGATACTCCACCTTCCAAGACAAATACAACATGGTATTTAAATCTATGTAATCAACAAGAACAAATCATAGAGGATTGTCCCAAAAATTCACAAATATGTGGTGTTCAAACAGTGTTATTACCAGGTGAATCTCCAATAAAGACACAAATTGTTTCTTTTGGGAACGGATTAAACTATAATGTGTTGGATGCAAATAAATCAGACATATCAATAAAGTTGGATGATTCATCATGGGGTTCAAACTCAGTCTCTGCACAATTGGAGTTCCATTGTGCTGAAAATGAAGATGTTGAAATCGAATGGGATTATTCAAACTTTGTTCTAAAATACACTACACCTGCTGCATGTCTTAAAGATGATAAGTCAGCTCCACCGGCTCCACCAAAAGATGGTGATAAGGATGGTGATGATAAGAAGAAGAAAGATGATTCATGGGGCTGGTTCACATGGTTATTCATCATTCTTGTTTTGTTATTTGGTGGCTATATCATCTTTGGTGCTTGGATTACTGCATCTAAATCTCCAGCTGATTTCCAAGATGCTGTTCATGATTTCGTGGAAACATTGGGAAACTTAGCTAAATCATTACCTGGGTTTTTAAAAGAGATTGGACAAAAAATATTTGGATCTGAAAATAGAGGTGGTTATAGTGCAGTATAAAAACAAGATACATAAAGACAAAGAAAAATATAAAGATATGACTCAACCACAATTGTATATTCCTGAAGCTTTTAATATCAATTGCAATTAGAAATTTACAAATCAATGTAGTTCATAAAGATTTATTCATTTATTATTCTGGACGTTTACCAGTTATGATTGTATTCATACTACTAACAGTTTTCTCTAAAGAAGTTGCAAGATAATCCTTTTTAACCTTGAGGGCCTTTGTTTGTTCTGCAAGTGTTTTTTGATCTTCTTGTAAGCGACTTTTGTAATCATCTATTGGTGAAGAAAGAAATCTAGTTTTTTGTTAGTAATCTTACATCTTTGAATCACAATGGTCTAAACTCACATTTTACCAACTCCTTCCCAAACTTGATCACCACCACTACCATTTTCCAATTCTTTCAGCGTCACTTCTGCCACTTTAGAATCAACGGTTTTTCTATCTAATTGTACTTGAACCATTTGAAGTTCTGCTTTATTCTTTTGTAGTTGTTGATCCATCTCCATAAGGAGCTATAAATATGTTAGTACAGCCAGACTAAAACACCAAAGCAAAATCCCAACAAATACACACTTTTTGCAAAGCTTCTGGATTGACTGACATGGTTTAATTTCTTTGATCTATATGCAATTTCTGGTTTAATAAAGAATTAAATCTCAGAATATTGAAGTTTTTTGGATTGTTTTCGAGATTTTTTGGCGTTGATGATTACATAAGAATCTTCAGCTTTTGGAAAAATTAAAGAACATGAAAAGATTTGAGTATTAAATCCATTATTTCAAATAACCAATTTGCTTTGCAAAAAATGCTTCTCTTTCGTCGTTCAGTTGCCTCAGTGGCAAGATCACAGTTATCAATCTATCGTTCATATGCCACCACAGTGGGTAAGAATTCAATCCAGCATCAAACACCATCTTTAGAAAACAATCAACAAACAGAATCAAACCGTCTTTCGAAAACATTGACGAAATTTTGGGATCAAGTTAAACTTTCAAAAGTGCAAGACAATTTAGAAATTCAACTAGATTCTAAAACTGTTCGTACTCCATTAGGCCACACGCTTTCAATCCCATCGGATCGTAAAATTTTAGCATATTTATTATTGCATGAATGGGCAAGTTTAAGTACATTATCAATAAAAACACATTCATTACCATTGACTTCATTAGCATCACGTGTGATTGATTTAGAACATGCTGACAAGACCCAGGATTTGGAATCACAGGCAAAAGTTGGTCGTAGAGAAGATATAGTGGAGGATTTGTTAAGATATTTAGATACTGATACTTTATTAGTGTTTGCTCCTAAAAGTGAATATGAAGGGAAATTAAGAATTACTCAAGAGGAATTATATAGACCTGTTATCTCCAAAATTGAAGAGTTGCTTGGTGATGATGTTAAATTGACTTGGTTAGATACTGAGGTTGGATTAACTGGTAATAAACAAGATGAAAAAGTTCGTGAACTTGCAAGACAATTTTTATTAAGTTTAGATCATTGGGATTTAGTTGCCTTGGAAAAAGTTACATTAAGTGCTAAATCATTAATTTGTGGTATTTTAGTGTTGAAAGCCAAAAGCCAAGGTGAAGAGATTTTAAATTTAGAAGAGATTGCCAAATGTGCAACTTTAGAAATTGTTTTCCAAACTGAAAAATGGGGTGAAGTTGAAGATACTCATGATGTTGACTATCAAGATATTAGAAGAAACATTGCAAGTGCTGCGATTTTGTCATTTAGAGAGGATAAATAAGGAAAAACTACTGTATATAAAAAACCATATTCTTTTTATTATTATTATTATGTACTGTCTGTATTTTCTTATATCAACATCTCATAAATCTCCACACATTCCTGTGAATTTCTAAATTCAATTAAATAATTAACTTGATCAATTTCTAATTCATCATCAACAAAATTAAAAGTTAACCCAGTTCTTCCAATTCTTGAACAATTTGAATTCTTAACAATAGTTTCAATCCTTGTCTTATCATTACAATTAATTTCAAATTTTGAATATTCTGGATTTCCCAAGTTTGAAGAAATGTTAAACTTCCCAATTGAAATTGGTCTCCATTCTTCATCCTGATCCAACTTATGTAATTTTATCTTAACATCACTCTTCAACAATAAAGTCTTTGTATGTAACGAGGTTGAAGAACCTGAACCAACATGGCCATTCTTATAAGGCTTACCCAACTCTTGAATCTCATCAACATTCACAGAACTCATACTTGTGCTATTACTTGGAGCACTGAAGACATCACTATTCGAAGCACTCAAAGTTTCCTTATTCTCAAACTCATTCATAATCAATCTTAGTGTATAAACATCTTTAACTCTAACATTCAACATCATCATCTTTTTGGATTCAACAGATTGATAACATTTGATTTGTAGATCCAATGCAGATGATTTATTAACACAGGCACCTTCAGTAGGGATCATCAATTCAGGTATTATGGACCCATCACCCTGGTATAACACAAACAAACGGCCCTGTGACGAGGATAGGAATTTCACAACATGTCCATACTCTTCACCAATTGATTCCCAGTGGGATTGACTCCATTTTGAAACTATGGTGTTGTTTTTCAAAACTCGTGTGATGGTGGATGAGGCTAGTGTTGTTTCTTCAAATGGTGTTAATGAATGCTGTTTTGTATTAGAGCGTGCAAATGGTGATGGTAATGGTGATTCAGTAGTTGAAGATGTGGATGATGTGGAGATTGTTAAATTTTTCACATTTTTTTGTAATGAGGCCATTGATTGAGATGGTTGTGGGTTGATAGCTGAGGAAGTTTCCAGTTCAGGTTTCTTTGTTGATTCTTTTGTAACAATTTCAAATTCTGGTTCATTGTTTAGTTTTTTGGTGAATAGATTAAAGATTGATCTTCTTTTTTTCAATTTTGGTTTATCAAATTTTGAAGATAGGTCAATTGAAGAACCTGTATTTAGATTCAATAAATTAGGTTGAGATGATTGGAAATTTGGTAATGAAACTGTGGATGAATTTGATAAATCTTGTAAATTTAAATTTGTAGTTTTGATTGATTTCTTAATATTTAAAGGTAATGTTGGAGATGGAGTACCTATAGATTCAACATTCTTTGATGTGATTTCTTCACCACTTGAAAAAGAATCCTGGGTAGTTGATCTTGGAACTGAATTTAATCTTGGAGTGATTGAATTATTACGTGCAACCTTGGCATCTTGATCACTTGTATAAGAGTTTAATTTGTTTAGATCAGCATCATGAGCGAAAAATTGATCAATATTTGATAAATTTGGTGAAATTTCTGACAATATTTGATTTGAATAATCACTGGCTAAAGATGTATGTTTTGATAAAATTGGGGAAGATCTTCTTAATAATGAACCAATTGATTGATTATCATCTAATTTAATACCTAATCCCATCTTGTCATTTTTCAAATCTTGTAGTTTATAATGACTTTTTTGGAAATTTGAACCAACATCATCACCATTATTATTAAATAAATTCTTTATGATCCCATTCCAATAAGATAATTGAGATTTATCAGGACATGTGAATTTCAACTCCACATCATCATCATTTTGCAAATGGATTAAATTCAAATCATTTGATATTATTTCAAAATCACCATTTTTCAAAGGTGGGAACATTAAACTTCTTCCTATAGACTCCACTGAACAGATTGCCAAAGTGTTGTTTGATAATTGGAAAACTTCAACAAGTGTATCCACTAGTGTAGATTTAGGATGTAATAGATCAAATTTAAAATAATCTCTTTTGATTGATTGATCTAATTGGAAAAACCCCACGGTGTTTGAAAATTGTAAATCTAATGAATGGACTTTGTTGAATAATAAAGTGTTTAAATCAATACGTAAATTTTCCATTTCATTTTTATCCTTAGCCATTTGCATTAGTTTCATTAGATTTTGTGAGATTTTAGAATCAAATGAAATGATTTCACCTGTATGATTTTCATTAATTTCAATGATTTTATTGAAATATTTATTCAATTGATTTATTCTTATTAATGGATTTTTCTTTAGTTGAATCTCGATCTGTAAAGAATTTGCATCCAATTGATAATTTGCCACATAATTTTGATAAACCGGTATAGAATTTTGGGTCCACTGGATGAAGTTATAAATACTTTGCACTTCATCAACATGATCCAAAGATCTAACTAAATCAGTATGATATGCAATCAATTTTCTCACAGAATTGGTGAATCCATTAGCAGCTTGTCTTTTCAAAGGGGAGCAGCATCCTAATAACTTGGATAGTTGGTCTCTATAGTGTTGTTCAGAGGTGCGTATCTCGTAGAGAAGGGTTGATATTGGGCTTTCATAAAAGAGGAGCTCAGTAGTTGGAGATTTCAAGGACATATTAAACCAATAATCTGATAATTCAATAACCAGCTAATTATTTCTTAGTTAAGAATCAAATTAAAATGAAAACTTCATAATAAAATTCATAATTTCAATTTCTATCCATTTTTGCCCATCTCCTTTTGTTTTCTTTTCGAGACTTTTTTTTGTTCCTGTGACACGCTAAATTTTTTTTTTCATTCGCGTCTGTTTACAAATTTCCAAATTGTGAAAATCAGGTACAAAAGAAATCAAACACGAAATATACTTGAAATGGTTTAAACTGGTTAAACTGATTATGATTATGTGATTGATTATTTGATTGATTATGTTATTGATTATGTTATTGATTATGTTATTATGATCTACTTTATCTTTTATCTTAATTCACATATCCTTAACTATACAATCTCTATGCCTTAACAGCCTTCTTCTTTGAGGCTTGATCAACTAATGCCCTAACATCTTTCAATTTAGATCTCCATTCCAACAATTTCCCTTTAATCTCCAACCAATCTTTCAATTCAATAGACTTAACAATCAAATTAACTTTATAAACTTGGAAAGTTTGATTAATTTGAGATAATTTTCCTTCGACAACACCAGATTTAATGGCATCAAAGATGAATAATTCCACATCGTTTGAAGACAAGTTTAAACTTGAAGCGATTGTGGTGTAGGTGATTGAGTTAGTTGTTAATGCAATTTTGGATAATGTTAAAAATTGATTTTTTTTCAATAAAGTTTTAAAATTTATTGAAGTTAATGATGTGAATTGTGATAATGATGATTCAAATTCTAATGTTGTTAATGATAAGTAATTTTGCAACAATTTTAAATATTCTTGAGATTCTTGATGATTTTTTATCACAACTTCTAATTCCAAGATTTTGGATAAATCTAAAGCTTTTAAAGAGTTTAAATTTTCAATCAAATATTGATTAATTAAATTTGATGAAACATTTGGGATTTTGGTGATTGCTAATTCAAATAATTTTAAAGATTCCAATTCATTTGATGATGAAATTAACTTAGCCAATTGTAATATTAATAATCTAGTTTCCTCTTGAACTTCTAATGGTTTAGAATCGATATCTGAAAGTAACCAACCTTCAACATTGGACACGATTGGTAATAAGATTGAACCATTATCCAAGATTTCCACTAAATTTAAAATTAATTTCAAATTGAAATTTCTAAATTCGAAATTTTCCAATTCAATCAAATTGAAAACATTTGATAAAACTGAAATTATAGCTGTGATTTTCAAAGTCTTCTTCTTGTTCTTATTAACTTTAACATCAACATCTTGTAATCCTAAAACTTGAATCAAATTGGTTAAAAATTGTTTCAAATATAATTCAAATTCATTTGAAAAAGTGAAAATGAAGACAACCAAATTACCAACACTCTCGAAATCCCTATCAGGTATAGCAGCTAGGTGGGAATATGAGTCTGCGATTTCTTGAAAGACTTGATCTTTGAATTCTATTTCCACATCTTCATCATCATCTTGATCATCACCTTCTGGTGTTATGGCATATGCAGCCAATTTCTCAACATAGTTTGTGTTTTCATTGTACAAGTCCAAGATGGATGCGTATTCTGTGATGGAGTCAGCTAGGGAGCCGTCCACTGTGATATAAGATTGGCCTGGCATTTGGTTCTGATTTAATTGATCAGTTTCAACCTTTTTACGCTCTTTGAATTTGATTTTTTGATAATTTTTCAAGGACAAAAAAAAATTGAAAATTGTATTAATTCAGGGTAAATTTTAGGAATTTGATTGAATTTATGAATTATTAACTAGCTATTAATTATATTATATTGATTCATTTATATTTGATATTAATCCACTGATTATATTGTGATTATATTTATATCAACTATGTCTGATCCCTCAGCCTCTTACCAAAGTCCCTCCATCTCAAGGCAATTCCACACTGCAAAAGACCATCCAACACAATTCCAACACTCCACAAACGGACTCACTACAGGACCTAGTCAGTTCGTGTTAGAAGCTGGTGCCATCGACAGAGACATGCCTAGTCCAGGTTCAAATAGCCCAATGGGGACACTCAGAGCCAAAGTCACAACGCTACAAGATGATATCAATGATTTCCTCACTGAAAGAATGGGAGTAGAAACGGTAGAGAAACGAGGAAAAGAGGAAGAGTATGAGAAAAAGTTACTCGATGGTGCTGATGATGATTCTGAAGAGGAATGAATGGATAAAATTGCAATAAAATGTGCTTTTAATGTGGATAATTTGTAATTTAATAATGTCTTGTTGTTCCCGATTGGGAAATGGTTATGTTTCGCTGGCGTCTTTTTTTTTTTTTCTTCTCAAAAAATTGGAAATTTCAATTTTAACGAAAACGTAAACAAAATCGAATATTTGGAAAACACAATTTAATTCAGATTCTGGATCATTTTGGAGAGGTGGAATAGACTCTGTTGCTGATTACTATTGTTGCTTGGCTGGTATAGTTCAGACTCGTGTGTGCTTTTCTTGGTCCTGCTGCTATTATTAGATCAAAAATGCAACTAGCTTATAACTCAAGATTCAAACCTCAAAGAAATGACATATCTTTGAAATTGAAAAAAAACATCAAAAAGATCATAGCTTCAATATCAATCGTCATCACCCTTCTCTTCATCATATACAAAACTACATCTTCTTATTCCCTTTCATTTGATAAACATCGTTATCCAAAATATCATGGAATTTATAAAAATGATTTATATACAAAATCTCCATTGATCTTCCCAAGTGTTGAACATGCACCATTATTAAGAGAATTAACAATAGATGGGCTTTTCAACACCCAATTAGATGCTCAAGGTAATAAAAAATACTTGTTTACTGATGCTTTTGATGATGAAGATTCAAAATTGAATAATAAATTAGATTCAGAGGAAAATACAAATCAAATGTTGAAAGTTAAAAACTCATTCTTAAATCATGGGAAAACAAGATTTAATGGTCAAGTCTCTCCAGAAATTGTTTTAGTTACAGGTATTGATTTTGAAAAATATGAATTGAGTCACCTAACTAAAATTGTTCAAAATAGAGTAAACTATGTTCAAAAGAAAAAATATGGGTTATATATTCGTTGGTTACAAGAATTCACCCCAATAATTAAAGAATCCCAATCATCAAAAGAATGGGCGAAATTATTCTTGTTAAGATCTGCAATGTATGCATTCCCTAACGCGAAATATTTTTGGTATTTAGAAGAGGATGCATTAATCATGAGATATGATATTGATTTATACAAATATCTATTGGATCCAAAAGTCCTAGACCCAATCATGCTAAGAGATCAACCAATCATCCCTCCAAATGGGGTTATCCATACTTTTAAAAATTCAAAAGCTAGTAACGTGGAATTAATCCTAACTCAAATAGGTGCAGATTTAAATCTGAATTCATTCATAATGAAGAATCAATTCTTGGCTAAAAGTTTATTAGAATTTTGGTCAGATACATTATTTAGATCTTATCATAATTTCCCTAAAAATGCTGAAAGTGCATTAACCCATATTTTACAATGGCATCCAATTTATTTAGCAAGAACTGCTATTGTCCCTCCAAGAACCATTGCAGGTTTGCATACAGCATTGGAATTACCTGAAGGTGGTGATGATATCCATTTCTCCAATGGGGATTTCGTTGTTAGTTTAAGAGATTGTCAAGCTAGAAAATCTTGTGAAAAGGAAATTGATACATATTGGGCAAAATTGGAAAAACAAGAAAAATAGTAATGTATATTTGAAGTTGAAAAGAATGTTTTTTATAATTTACGTTTTTTAGCTGATGTGTTTTTTTGCAATTCAAATTCCTCTTTGGAAATACCAGATCTCCATCTTTTCTCAAAAGCAGGATGTGAAGGTCTAACAAATTTTGGATCATGAGGATTATGAACATCATCAACACCAAACACATTCTCTCTAAATGTTAGGACTTCACCATTCTCCTTTTCTGGATAATCATCCCAAACTAATCCTCTTTTACGTAAAACTGGAATCAATTCATCAACAACCTCTTCGAAAGTACCAGGTGTGATCGCATAAGTGAAATTAAACCCATCAACACCACTCACTTCAACCCATTTCTCAATAGTATCTGCAACTTCATCAGCAGTTCCATAGAAAACAGGTCCCAACCCACCAACCGTGATTTGTTTGGCAACATATTCTCTAGTTTTCTTTAGATTCTCATCTTCACCAGGTGATAATTTCGTCCAATTTGATACAAACCCTTTAACTGCATTACTTCCAACATCTCTTAATTCATCATCAGGTGCAAATTGTCCAATATCAATACCGGTCCACCCACTGAATAACGCTTGTGCACCTTCTAAATCTCCAAATTTTTGAAATTCCAAGAATTTCGATTCAGCTTCTTCATGTGTTTCCCCAATAACAGTGGTGATCAATTGAAGAAATTTAATAGCATCAGGCTCTCTATGATAAACATTTGTTGATAAATTTTTAATATCTTTAATATTTTCAGCTAAACTTTCAGGTGTGAAATTTGTTATGAACACCAATTCAGCATGCTTTGCTGCAAAATCCTTCCCCTGTGATGATGTACCGGCTTGCAATAACACTGGTAATCTTTGAGGTGAAGGATGTGTAATTGAAGGACCAGGAACACTAAAATATTCACCATGGAAATTAATCTCTCGAATACCATCAGGGTCAGAAAATACTCCCTTGCCCAAATCTTTCAAAACCGTACCATCTCTCCAACTAGATAATAACAACTCTTCAACAACTTGTAAATACTCTTCAGCCCGCTCATACCTCTTCTCACGAGGTGGTAAAACCTCACCTTGTAATAAATTCCTAGCAGCACTATCCAAATAAGAAGTCACAATATTCCACCCAACTCTCCCCTGGGTCAAATGATCCAACGTTGCCAACCTCCGTGCGAAATGATACGGAGCTTCACTAATAGTACTAAACGTCACACCAAACGACAAATTCTTGGTGACAGAAGCCATCAATGGAACCACGGCACTAGGCTCCAGCACGGGCCATTGTGAACCTGCTCTAGCTGCAGGTGCTATATTTGAGGGCCCGTTATAAACATCATACCCACCAAGCACATCAGCTAGGAAAAGAGCATTAAATTTGCCTCGTTCTAGTAGTTTAGCTAAGTTTATCCAATATTCTAACGTGTCAAAATCAGCGGACTTATCATCGGGGTGCTTCCAGAGTCCTGGGGCTTGAAGACCTGAACAGCCCATGTCAAACGCATTGATGATTAATTTCTTTGGCATCTTGTTGGTTTTGAAGAATTGGAAAGAGGTCAAGTTTTCTCAAAGCTTGAGTATTTATGATGATGGACATCTCGACGATTTTTGTGTCTGCAATGCCCCCCTGGTGATTAAGTGCATTAGTCCTCTTTTTGACATGGAAACTCTCTTTTAGTTCCATCAATTCGTTTAATATCATCATCGAATCCACAGTTTTCATAAAATTAAAAGCACTGTCAGATCTTCACGGGCACGTTAGCCACCCGAGCCGAGTTCGCGAACGTCTTAAATTTACTGATGTGCTTTGGCCTACAACTAAAAGCCACTCAATTCTTTGGTGGAAATTCGTACTTCTTCATATTTCTGATCAATGATGTTATCGTTCAACCTGCATATGGGCTTCTGGAAGAGGTTCCACAGTTGAAGGTTCTCCATACATGCTACACTCAATCAAGCTATTTCGGGGCTGTCAAATTTGAAAGATGGTATACACTACAATGATTTCCAACATCTCTACCGGTTGAAGCTTGATATCATAATGATTCACATACCTTGCTCACTGATTGGTGCACCATCCACAATTTTCTCTTGCAGGTTTCCAAATCTTTATAAATATCTTTTCAAATCATCAACATCCTTAAACACTTGAGCCCCCATTCGTTAGCCAAATTCCAAAAAATGAGTGCAATTCAATCCTTAGATCTCTTAACACAGGGGGCAGGATATGGTGTCTTGATAGGTGTCGGTGCTGCTTTTGCCCTATTCATTGTTGTTGCAACAAGGCTCACATCAAAACATCTGGGCGAAGATGCTCAATCCACTGAAATGTTCATGGTGGCTAATAGATCCGTTGGTGTTGGTCTAACAGCCTCGTGTGTTTATTCAAGTTGGACTTGGGCCACTGAACTGCTATGGTGTGTCACTATGGTTTATCTTTATGGTGTACAGTCTGCCTTTTGGTATGGTGCTGGGCTCGCTGTCCAGATTTGTATTATGAGTGTATTGGGTATTGAAGCTAAAAAGAAAATCCCAACAAGTCATACATGTTTGGAGATTGTTCAGCTAAGATATGGAAAAATTGCACATTTACTTTACATGTTTTTATGCTTAGTTAACAATTTGGTTTCTGCAAGCTCCATGATCTTGGGTGCAGCTGGTGCTATAAGTGCCATGTGTGATAATTTGCACATTGTTGCAAGCACTTTGTTGATCCCATTTGGTGTGCTGCTTTATACAGCTGTTGGTGGATTAAAATCAACTTTTTTGACAGACTATGTTCATTCTTTAATCCTTTTAATCATTTTGTGTTATATTTGCACTGCAGCCGTGACTAGTGAACATATTGGTGGTATCGGTGGCTTGTATGACAAACTAGTTGAAAAAGCAGCTGCAGGTGAGATAAAATACATTGAAGGAAATTATAAAGGGTCGTACATCACTGGTAAATCACAAGGTGCTATTTTCTTTGGTTTGATTCATAGTATTGGTGATACAGGTTTGACAGTTATGGACTCCTCATTTTGGCAAAAGTCTTTTAGCGCAAATATCAAGGCTAGTGTCCCAGGATACTTGATTGCTGGAGCTTTAATCTATGCAAATGTTTGGGCTCTTGGTATGGTTATAGGGTTGGGTAATGTGGTTTTGGAAGATAATCAAATCTTTCCAACTTATCCAAACAAAATGAGTACTTTTGAAGTTAATTCTGGGTTTGGTTTGATTTATACAGTCAAGGCGCTTTTAGGAACTAAAGCACTTGGAGCTCTATTACTAGTACTTTACTTATCAGTCACTTCAACAGTAAGTGCCCAGTTGATTTCAGTTAGTTCCATTATAAGTTTTGATATTTACAGAACTTACTTCAAGCCAAACGCTTCAAATAAGCAATTAATCACTGTTTCACATTTAGGTGTTGTGTTTTTCGGTTTATTTTCAGCTGGGTTTTCAATTATGTTACACTATGTTGGTGTCGATATGACATGGTTTGGCTATTTCTATTCAATGCTGAACACACCTGGTGTTATTCCAATGATTTTATTAGTTGTTTGGAAAGATCAATCCAAAGCTGCATTCATCATAAGTCCTATTTTGGGTATCATTGGAGGTTTGGCTGTCTGGACAGGAAGTGCATATGCCTTGTATGGATCAGTTACAATTAAGACTACAGGTGAACAACTACCATGTTTGTATGGTGGTCTTACTGCATTGTTTTTGCCAGGGGTTGCTACTGTCTTAATCAGTTTGATCAAACCAGCGAATTATGATTGGAACAATATGAGAGATCAAAGTAATTTGATATTTGTGAAGAATGATGATGACTCTGATACTCAACCAGCCTCAACCAATGACTTGGTGACTGAAAAGGGCCAAAATGCTGATGTTAAGGAAGAGTCAAAATTAACTAGCTCGGAAATAGAATCTGTGGATGTTAATGAAGACAACTTGATAAAAAAATATAGATATTTATCATACAGTGCTACAATTATCGTCTTGCTTGTCACCTGGGTAATTTGGCCATTGCCGTTATATCGTGACTATATTTGGAGTAAAGCATTTTTCACTGGAAATGTGGTTGTTGGGTTCATATGGTTATATCTGGCTTTGGTGATGATAGGTCTCTATCCGTTATATGATGGAAGGCACTCTTTGAAGAGAGTTTTCAACGGTGTTTTAGGTAAGAACTGATTGTATAGGATTAATTGGATTTTTTTTGTATACATTTGGTCATAATTTGGTTGCATTTGTCTCTATGTATTTGGTTGTCTTTTTCGTTAAATATACCCTAAACTGTCTCATGTCTTTTGCACCAGAGTTGCAGCCGACCCGATAATCCATTAGATCAATAAAGCCACTCTGATTTAATCAAAAGGAACAGCAAAGACGTCAAGATGTCAAGACTTGATCAGTTGGTTCCACAAGAGAGCTGTCAAAGCTCAAGTTTATATACAGCTTGGATGGCTTTCAACTGTACTCGTATCACAATCACCAGTCTTTCGTTAACTTCATTTTCCAATCTCAATCTCCAGACCATTTACAATCAAAGTTCATCATCTTTTTGTTAAGCTTGTAAGTTGTAACTGTGGTTCAAATATCACATCTGTCATTTATTGCGTGACACAAAAAATAGCCACACTTTTTTTTTCAATTGGCTCGGATGAACTAGAATCATAATATGTACAACAAATAGGCATGTCTATCTCTATTCCAATTAAGCCTGATGTTCTGATAAAAGAAGATCCATTATTAGCTGCATTGTTTGCTTGGAGGCTTTGAATACAAAAATGCTGTCTATAAATAATGATCATGTTCTCTTCCTCTTTGTTTCTTAGACTTTTAACCAATTAAGTCTCAAACAACAAAAATGGCCACTGAATCATTAGATCTATTATCTAAAAGCACTGGATATGGTGTCCTCATTGGAGTGGGTGCTGCTTTTGCAATATTCATTGTCATTTCCACGAAATTGTCAAATAAATACCTCTCAGAAAACTCTCAATCCACAGAAATGTTCATGGTGGCTAATAGATCAGTTGGTGTTGGTTTGACTGGAAATGCTGTTTATTCATCATGGACGTGGGCCACCGCGCTACTGTGGTGTGTCACTATGGTTTATCTATATGGGGTACAGTCTGCTTTCTGGTATTGTGCTGGTTCATCAATCCAAATCTGTATCATGAGTGTTTTGGGTATTGAAGCTAAAAAGAAAATTCCAACAAGTCATACATGTTTGGAGATTGTTCAATTAAGATATGGAAGAACGGGGCATTTACTATACATGGTTCTTTGTTTGATTAATAATTTGGTGTCTGCAAGTTCCATGATCTTGGGTGCTTCTGGTGCAATCAGTGCTATTTGTGACAATCTTCATATCGTGGCTTGTACTTTATTGATCCCATTCGGTGTATTGTTATATACAGCGGTTGGTGGATTAAAATCAACTTTTTTGACAGATTATGTCCATTCATTCATCCTTTTAATTGTGATGTGTTATATTTGCACTGCAGCTTTGACAAATGAAAATATTGGAGGTTTGGATGGTTTATATGATAAATTGGTTGCTAAAGAAGCTGCAGGTGAGCTAAGATACATTGAAGGTAACTATAAGGGCTCTTTCATCACTGGTAAATCACAAGGTGCAGTATTTTTTGGACTGATTCATAGTATTGGTGATACTGGGTTGACCGTTATGGATTCTTCATTTTGGCAAAAATCTTTCAGTGCTGATGTCAGAGCTACTGTTCCTGGTTATTTAATTGCTGCTGTACTAATTTATGCGAACTATTGGGCTCTTGGTATGGTTTTAGGTATTGGTAATGTTATTTTGGAAGATTCGCCTATTTTCCCAACATATCCAAATAAAATGACCACATATGAAGTTAATTCTGGATTCGGTTTGATTTACACATTGAAGGCATTACTAGGTAAACAAGCACTTGGTGGATTTTTTCTTGTTTTGTATCTTGGTGTTACTTCTACCGTTAGTGCTCAGTTGATTTCAGTCAGCTCCATCATTAGTTTTGATGTTTATAGAAATTATATCAATCCAAAGGCAACAAACAAGCAATTGATCAATGTTTCACATTTAGGGGTCATCTTTTTCGGTTTATTATCAGCTGGATTCTCAATCATGTTGCATTATGTTGGTGTTGATATGACATGGTTTAGTTATTTCTATTCAATGCTGAATACTCCAGGTGTTATCCCAATGATTTTCTTGATTACATGGAAACATCAATCAAAAGCTGCATTCATCATCAGTCCTATATTGGGTATCATCGCAGGCTTAGCTGTTTGGACAGGAACTGCATACGCACTTTATGGATCGGTTACTATTAAAACTACTGGTGAACAATTGCCATGCTTGTATGGTGGGTTAACAGCCTTGTTGCTTCCAGGTGTCGCTTCAGTTATTATAAGTTTGATTAAACCTGCAAATTATGACTGGAATAAATTGACAAGTCAGAGTAATTTGATCTCTGTGAATGATGATGAAGATGATGGTAGTACCACCAAAGACAACAACACAAGTGAAGGATCATTGAAAGAAAAACAAGAAACAACGCTAGCAAGCAATGAAATCGAGTCTGTTGATATCAAGGACGGAAAAGTGATGAGTAGATATACAAAATTAGCTTATGGATCTACAATCTTTGTTACTTTAGTTACCTGGGTTGTTTGGCCATTACCTTTATATCGTGATTATGTCTGGTCAAAGGCTTTTTTTAAGGGCAATGTTGTTATGGGGTTTGTCTGGTTATATGCTGCTTTAGTTGTTATTGGTTTATTCCCATTGTATGATGGTCGACGTTCATTAAAGAAAGTTTTTTATGGAGTTTTAGGGAAAAGTGACACTGCTTCTCAGTCGTCATAAGAGTATAAATAATACAAATTGAATTCAGTGCTTTGAATTTTTTATTGTATCCGCACTTATTCAACTGGAGAAAGATCAAATCAGTCAACTATTATTTCATCTGGTCCAACATTACCAAAATTTGAATCTGATTTTGACCAAGCTTCAATATAGGTCTGAATCAAGCGAAATTCTTTCAAGGATGGAAAATGACAATTCTTGAATTTTATTCTTGAGCTGTGTAAGAATTCTAAAGACTTTAAATTTGGAAGTACAACATCTCTGATAATGTGGCACTCAATGCTAGCAAATCTAAGAGAAGTGCTAATTGTTAATTTTTCAAGATTTTTCAACCTGTTTAATCTTGACAAATTTCCCCAATCTATATATTTTGTCAATTTCAACTCCCTCACTCTTTCAACATTAAAAGGTTCTGCAGTTTCCAAAAACTTAGGACTTGTGCATTCAAGTTCCAAGAACCTAGGAATTTCAAATCTAATTTCACTCAATTTACAAAATTTGAAGTATAATCTTTCCAAAAGAGGTGCCTCCAGTATTGTAAGACTAGATCCGAAATCACAATAGCATATGGAAAGTCTTCTTGTATCCAAAAGTCTCAATGGAAAAACATGGGAAGAATCATTAATGACAACGCTCGGCATTCCTTTAGTATTGATTGAAGTCAATTGTGAATTTTTTTTCCTGAAAAATTTGAACCGTCCCATAAAATAATGAAGGTTATACTTGTAATTAGAACCTTCACCTTCTAAAGATACTGAGGTCCCTCTTGATAAAGTGAATGGATGAAGGTTATCCAAAGACAGTACTGGAGCATCATCTTTAAGAGTCAACCAATTCTGTGTATCTGGCTCCAATTCATTTTTCAATACGTGCAGTATTGTAATTCCTTTAACCATTGGTTCATATACTGTAATATCGAGAAATGAACCAATATCAACAACTTTGTAATACCTTATGAGATTTGGATCTTTGAACTCGGTATTATTAGTCACGATACAAACCCAGCGAGACCAAGCTTGAATCATTTCTGGAACTAGTAATAACGAGATCAAATCATCTCTATAAAGAAGAGGGAAAATCTCAAGGATGATTTCTCTTGGAAATAAAGAAAGTGAAAACATGATGGAATCATTTGTTTCTGGTAGATTTGATTTGCTTTGAACGATTGCATCTGATCAATATTACTATTGAGGTAATTTTATTCAGGGATGTGTTGAAGCATTTATAAGAGTCTTTTTTTTCTGTTCATATATGTGAGATCATTATCAGTGCTGAGTGTGAATGATCATGAGGAGTTTCCAATCCAGTTGAAAAACATTGGTTATTTTCTGTGTGAAAATTGATTATGATTAACAAGGGAAGATACTGTCTGATATAAATAGTTCATGAATTGGCATTAAACATTCTATTGTTTTGATAAACTTAATTTTCGTCAATCTGAGATCTGTCAAAAAGAGACGTGACTCTTCTGGTTAAATGAAATTAATTTAGCCGTCAACGTAATCAATAATTGTATCATTGGTATTATCATAAATTAGATTCGGTATGAACCATACATATCAAGTAATCAAATTCTATATTGGCATTAATCTTAGCTATGTAATTTTTATCGAATTCAAACAAATCATGATTAATCTCTGATATTAATTAATCCGATGCGTTTGAAACGTCAAGTACAGCATTATTGAAAGCAATAACTAGAACGTTTCTAAAAGCTATATCACATTAATGTGCTATCTTTAACGAGTACAGTCTCTCTAATTTATTAATTTATAAAATTTGCATATATGTTAAATTATAAAAATTAATTATTTACTCAATTAACGATGTTGTTAATGATATTTTATAATAAATTTAGCAGAGACAACTTCAAAAAAATATTTTAATCATCAATTAAGCCATAATGTCTAAATGGAACGAGTCGGTTCAATGTCAATATAAACACGCCCAATTATGAAAGCTATTATCCAAATAAATTTTGGGTTATTGTTGTTCAAAGTTGGTGTTTTAGTGCTTCCGATCTCCGATGAGCTAGTGCAAGATATTAATGGCGTACTACAGAGAAAAACAAATGTCAACATTAATCTTCTTTTTCTACATCAACGTCTACGAAAATTAAATGAAAATTCAAAACAAGAAGCTAATACTTCAAATCGTTTGTCTTCGCAGTGACTTATATTCTTTGGTTTGAATATCTGGAGGCAGAATGTGTCCTAAAGATTGAATGCTTTTTCAACCAAGAAGCTAGGTACTTTGATGATTTGAGATGTGATAGTCTCATTCTTTCCAAGATGATTAACCAGCTTCTATTATCACCACCCAGTCTTGAGTTTAGGGAGGATCAATAAATTATTTCAAGCTAAGTAAGGGAATTTTTTGACTAGCACATATATACATAAGCGGGATTATTTTGATTAGAAAAATCCAATGAATGAAGAAATTCTTTTCACATTTTTGCTATAATTGATATGTTCTAAGCCACATGGTAATCTTTAAAATACTTTACCTAGATTATTCAGTCAACATCTTATCAACCAGACTATCACTATTTATTTCTTTATTAAGATTCAAGATCATGCTGATCTCTACTAGGCAATTTTTCATTTTTGATGTACGAAAAAAGGCGTCAAAAAGCGTCAAAAGCATCCCGCCAAAACCTGCAAATGGAAATTTTGCGAATAGTCAAACATCGAATGAAATCATGGGAACAGAATGCTCTTGTATACACCCAAGGCAAAAACATTCAGCCTTAAACCCTCAAAAACATGTCAGTACGCATATATTCCCAATTTCTCTTTTCGCTGTACAGAAACTTGCCTTTGAGTTTTTAATGCTGTACATTTCCTTCGAGAAAAAACCTGATGATGATCGAAAAAAAAAACGGTATAAAACAACAACGAAATCTTCAAATTCAATTCAAAAACTAATTCATCCCAATCAACATCAATTGAATTGAAATAACAAATCAAATAATAATAATAATAATTAACAATGCCTTGTTCTTGTGCAACTAAACCTGAAGGATGCCAATGTGGTACCAAATGTTCTTGTGATACTTGTTCTGCTCCACCAGCTCCAAAAAACCAACCTGAAGAATCTTCATGTTCTTGTGGTGAAGGTGAATGTAAATGTGGTTCAACATGCTCTTGTGGCTCAAAATGATTAGGATAGTACGCTGCTGATGGTTGAATATGCTGATATTTGTGATAATTTATGTTTATGAGTTTTTAATACATTTTTAAGGGTGTTTTAGAATTTACTAGTTGTAGAGATTTATAAGAAAGCACATACATAGGCTTAAGTGCTGTCAATTTTTATCTCATTAAATTACAGATTGATTAATTGATAAATCTAAAGCTGTGCCTTTAGTATCTCATTCATTGCAGGGGGCGTTGACAGGTTGTTAAATCTGGGGAAAGCCCATCATAACAACAAGAAACACCACAAAATAAACCCCAAACCAACCAGTCAGTAAGATATTTAGGTACAAACAGCCCATTAGCTTTGCTATACTCCAGATCTTTAGCGATTTCAAAACTTTTGTGTCAAAATCTCGAGGATCAAACGTGTACATAGGCCATCCTATCGCAAAGTCCGAAATTTAATCACAACTTAATCAGGATTCAGAACCGTTACGCTTTTTCTTTGCAAGTTTTACTACACAATTGCTTTTTCCTCATCCTATCTTCCCACCTGTGTAAATTTTTTATGAACTGATTTAAAGTTGATTCAGATTGGACACACTAAAGAGCAATTTTCGGACTTGAAAAAAGGTATATAAAGAGCTTTAAGGGCTTGAAAACAATATAACTTTCAACCCTTAGCTTCACATAATAACATTAATACAAACCAATATCAAATATGCCTTGCTCTTGTGAAACCAAACCTGAAGGATGCCAATGTGGTGATAAATGCACTTGTGGGTCTACACATCCAAAGCCTGCTAAACAGCATTCAGATGATTGTACATGCGGAAATGATTGCAAATGTGGTGAGACTTGTGCCTGTGAGAAGAAGTGATGGAATTGACTTTATAATATCTTACTGAATCATTATGAATACTATGAATACTATGAATATCTGAATCTTTAAGAACATTCGAATATTTCAGTTGTAGTTTGTGTTATTTTGTTGAATCGCGAATGTGTTGAATCCGCGAATGCGTTTTACAAAAATAACGTGAAAAATTTTAGGTGTTGAAAATCAAATGTTTTCGTTTGAGGTTCAATACATTTTTGTTTAGATTTTAATCAACCTTTTACTTTTATTTGTTATTGCTTATTGCTCTGTATTAATCACGTTACAGACATTGTTAACAGTCAATTTAAGGTCTACTCAAGAGAAGTTAAAGACTGAAGAATTGTACTTATAGTGCGCTAAGTCAATTACATTGAATAAAGCATTTGCTGGTAATTGACACAAGTTGAATTCGCTTTTCCCTTCACTTAAAGGTCGACTTCCCGATGCGGTAACTACCCGATACGGAGTGTTTTCCGTTATTTTCTTTCTCTGCGAAACCATCATCAAGAGCTCAAATCAAATACAATTTAATTGAAGATGCTTTACAGAATCTCAGGGAACTCAGGAAAACAGGATAATCCACAATCATCAAACCAATACACTCTGAAACTATCCCTCAATAACCTCCCTCAAAACTACCCTTCTCTTCTCTAACCCAATCACCTCCATTTCAATTGCAAACGTACCGAAATCTACGTTTTCACTTCAGTTAAGTGATAAAAAAAGCGAATTACAAAAATTCATCAACATCATCAACAAAATCCCCAAATTATAAATACGTGGCAATTCACCTTTTCCATTTCTTCTTTTCCAATCATCAATCAAAAATCAAGAAAACAAAAATGCCTTTAGAACAACGTATGTGATTATTTCTCATCCCATCTCATCATCTCCAAACTAACCGCTTCAAAAGCTCACTACGATCATTTCCCAAAGAAAGAAGCCACTATAATATTGGCCCCATTCTCAGGTGGCCAAGGTAAATCAGGTGTTGAAGATGGTCCAAAATATTTATTAAGAGCCGGTATAAAAGAACAAATTGAACAATTGGGTTGGTCAATTTCTACAAGTGAACCATTAAAAAATTCAAATTTTGAAGAACGTAAAAAAGATTCATCAGATGTTTATGAAAATTGTAAAAGACCAAAAATCGTCGGAGAAGCTTGTGAACAAATTTATAAAAGTGTTAAAGAAGCGGCTTTTAATAATACTTTACCAATCACTTTAGGTGGTGATCATTCAATTGCAATGGGGACCGTTGCTGGTACTTTTGCTAAATATCCTGATGCTGGGTTGTTATGGATCGATGCTCATGCTGATATAAACACTCCATTAACAACAGATTCAGGTAATTTACATGGTTGTCCTGTTGCATTTTTAATGGGATTAGATTCTCATTCTTATCCTCCTGAATTACAATGGGTTCCAAAAGTGTTGAGTTCTAAAAAAATTGCATATATCGGATTAAGAGATGTTGATGAAGGTGAAAAAAAAATATTAAAAGATAATGGAATCACAGCTTTTTCAATGTATCATATTGATAGATATGGTATTAATCAAGTTGTGGAAATGGCTTTAAAAGCTATTGATCCAACTGGTAAATGTCCAATCCATTTATCTTATGATGTCGATGCTATCGATCCATTATTTGTTCCTGCTACAGGTACACCAGTTAGGGGTGGGTTAACTTTAAGAGAAGGTTTATTTGTTGCTGAAAGAGTTGCAGAAACTGGTCAATTGATTGCATTAGATGTTGTTGAATGTAATCCTTCTTTAGGTGTTAATGAAACCCATGTTGTGGATACAATCACTGCTGGTTGTGCAGTGGCAAGATGTGCTTTAGGTGAGACTATATTATGATTTGATTTTGTTTATTATAAAAGAACACAACTTTGTATATTCTGAAATTTTGTAGGTTATAAATATTAGATAATAAATTATGTCATCACTTGTGATTACCTAATAATTATGTCATATCTGGGTATTATTAATTGCTCCTCGGGAACTTACAATTAGTTTAATGCCAATTGACACAATATCAAACTCCATCCTTTATTATTTCATAGCCCTTATTATTAGTCTTGAATATGGACTATTGTTGTCCATAAGCACAATTACACTATAAAGATCAAAATAAGCAATAGTTTAAGCATGTATTATTCTAGATGGGAATAAGCAAATAATTCGATTTGTAGTGGGCCATGACACCAAAAAACAGCAAACCACAATTTGGAACACACAAACCACAAAACGTTTCACAAAACATTGTCTTGGGGGCAAAACTATAAAAGAGTTGAACAATCCAAATTTTGCCATTCTTATTAAAAAACATCCATTCCTATACACATTAATTGAAATCATTACACAATGGCTACAAAATTATCAATCTTAGCAAGCAACATCCCTCCAGCTGTCTCAAAGGATAAAGTTCATGAATTCTTTTCATTCTGTGGTAAGATTGATCGTATTGAAAACTATGATCTAAGTGCTCAAGAAAACGAAAAAGCTTATCAAGTCTTTTTTGCAAATGAATCTGCAGTCTCCACTGCCCTTTTATTAAACGGTGCTGAATTGGGTGGTGCCCAAGTTAAAGTCCTACCTTTTAATGATGGTAGAAACCCAACTGCTAATGACCCTCCAGCTTATGATGAACCTTTATCTAATAAGCAATCCCAATTGAACCCGGTTAAAGGTCCTTCAGACTCTGCAAAAGAGCACATATTGGGTGCCCCAGGTGCTGGTTCTGATGATATTGAACAAGAGTCAAAACCAAAATCTGCAATCTTTGCTGAATATTTATCCCATGGTTATATAATTGGTGATCAATTGATTGATCGTGCAGTGGATTATGATAAACAAAATGGTTATTCTGATAAATTTAAAAGTTTTTTAAAAGATTTGGATGATAAATATCAAATTCAAAGTACTCAACAATCAATTGATCAAAAATATAAAATTAGTGAGAATTTGAATAAATATTTTGAAAAAGCTTTGAATACTGATGTTGGTCATAAATTACATGGGTTTTATACAAATGTGGTTGCGGAATCAAAAGATGTCCATAATGAAGCTAAAAGATTGGCTGAATTGAAGAAACAAAATGCAGGTGCAGGTACAACAACATCAACCACTACTCAATAAAGTGTTTTGTGATTTATTTTCTTTATGATTGATTTGATTTATGATTATTATTATTATTTGTGATTTTTTTTCCCGTGAAGTGAAGGTGTCAAAGTAAATAAAATTTGATTTATTTTTGTCTTTATCTACAATATTCGTAGTATAGTCTAATTTGTATTATCTATTTCTTTATTCTTGAACACTAACAGCTTTTGCAGCTTTTGCATCAATATTTCCTAATGGTTCAGGGCTTGTTTCATGAGAAACTATATCATTAGTTTTAGTCAATTCTTTTCTAACTGCTAAAACATTATCAACAATAACTGCATCAACACCAGCTTCCATTTGTAATCTAGCATTATCAGGATCATTATTTAAAACACCATAAGTAAAACAAACTAATCCACTTGCCTTTACAACTTGTGCTAATCTTGGACATTTTACAATAGGTTCAGCTGCTGAAACAATACCTAATAAATTCCATTTTTTAGCAAATCTCACTGCACTTTGTAAAGACCCTGCTCTAACATCTGGCATAATACTTGTACCAGCTTCTGTCAAGAATAAAATTGGTATGGCTGGTTGTTTTAATGATAATAATAAACAAGCTTCTGGATGGAATGATGAAAAAATGATATCACGCCCTTTACCATATTCATAAACAATTTGTAAAACTGTATCAATCCAAAAATTTAAATCAATGGAAATTTCTCCTAATTCTTCATGTTGAGATTCATATAATAATGGATATTTACATTCAATATTAAAACCAACATTCTCAGGAATCTTCTTGAATAATTCTTTCAATGTAACAAATGATGATGCAATTGATGAACCTCTGGAATTTCCTTTAAATTTTAAATTTTTATAAGTCTTGGTTAATCTCATTTTATCTAAATGGAAATCACTATTACTATTCCCTTCATTTGAACCATCATTATAAACATAGTGTGAAGCGGATCTTGGTCTCATTAAATAATCATCATCTTTTGATCTTTTAGAATCATCATCTTTAACATGGTTTAAATTTAAAAATTGCTCTAAAGTTAATTCATGCATTGGAATATCAACCCCAGATTCCGCAACCAAGAAATCATGATAAACAACAGGGATATGATCTTTTGTTAATTGAACATCAAATTCAACATATGATGCACCTAATGAAGCCGCAGCAATGAATGATTCCACTGTGTTTTCACCCAATTGTAATGATTTTTTAGCATCAATGTTTTTACCAAGACCTCTATGTCCGATAACCCTTGTGGAAACTAATGATTTCCAATAAGTCTCGGCTCTATTGAAATTCATATTTGGATGATGGAATGGTGTCACTATTAAAACTTCAAATTTTAGAGTACCTAAAACATCTAATGTTTCAGTTTCAATAATTGGAATAGTGACAACTTTATTCAATGAGCAACGATTCTCACCAACGTTCGTATAAATCTTATCTAATAATGCCACTGCACGTCCCAAGACTTGTTTATGTTGACCTCCATAAGTTGGAACAATATCAAACAAGATGATTTCATCTTTTGGATTGGCCTTATTGGAATTAATTGTGATTGGTTCATGAGTATCATCAATTGGTAAGTCAATAACAGTTGGTGGTTCATCAAATTGACTCTTTGCACGAACTACTAATGATAAAGCAGTGTCTAATTCTGTGGAATGAACTTTGGAAATTGGAACACGATCTAATTTAATAGCTTGTGAACCTTCTCTTGTATCATTTGATCCTAATGTGATTAAAATAACAGAATCATCAGTTAAATACCTATGACCAAATGATTTGATTGGTTGGGTTTGTTTGGAATGTTTTGGTTTGATTGCCTTGTAGATATCTTCTTTATGATTCTTGGATAATTTATCAATTGAAGAATTTGGTGATGTAATACCACTGTTATTAACTTTATCCACTGAACCTGTTGAGCTATTGTTGGATTTAAAACTGTTTTCAATCAATTGGAAACGATCATAATTCTTTGGTCTTAAATTATCAGATATTTGTAAATGACCTCTAAGGCATGCATGCTCCATAGGGGTCCAACCACTTTCATCTTCCAATGAATATTCTGCACCATATTCTTTCAACAAAATAACAATCTGATAAAGACCCTCCACAGCAGCAATGAAAATTGGGGTCCAGCCGAATGAATTTTCACCAATTTCAGTATTTGCCTTTTGTCTCAATAAAAATTCAACAGTCTTGGAAAAATTCAATTTAGATGCAATGTATAAAGCAGTTTCATGAGTATCTGGATCAGCAAAATCAATTTCAATACCTTTACATCCTAATAATGACCCTAAAATCTCAGGTGAGTTCAATCTAGCAGCTAGTAAAAACAATCTTGAAGAAGTTAATTTTCTATCTGAATTTGCAATCAACACTTCAACAGTTTTCGGATGTGTACCTAAAACAGCTAGATGCAATGGAGATAAACTTTCTGCATCACCCCAAACACTTAGGTCATCAATTGCAACAGTGGAATCCCACTCGTTCCATGATTTTAAGAAATCAATAATGATGGTTGTGATTTCTCTTAAACCAAACTGCGCAGCATAATGTAATGGTGTTCTTTTGTAATTATCACGTTGTAACAATGCTGGTCTTAGATGTGGTGGTAAATTCTTCAAAATGTATAATAAAGAAGTTGGTGAATCATTTGAATTCACACCATCTGGTCCAAAAGCACCAACTAATCTATGATTTGAGTCAGGTAACGCAGCTGGAGTCAAGTTTAAATAATTCAATTCCAACAATGCTGAAACATTTTCAGTAGATTTTGAAGAAATCTCTGTTGATTCTTCAGCTTTTTGAACTTGTTTACCTAAAGCAATGATATGATGATGGAAAAAGTTTCTACCACTAATATCTGATGGATCACCTAATGATGGGATAACTTCTAATAGTTTGGCAATACATTTAGTTGATTGGGATAAGGCAGCTTTGTTTAATAAGGAAACCATTAATTTCACAGGGACCAAAACAATTGAGCGATATTCCACAATCAATTGATTAATTAATGGTTCATCATCATCTCTTTGAATAAATCTTAAATATTTATCTGGTGTAACTGAACCACTAGTTCTTCTTTCTGATGATTTTTTTTTGGTATCATTCAAAGTTTCGATATGTGGGGACAATTTGTTTAAAAAATCATTAATTGAAGATAAATCTTTAACAATATCAAATTCATTAGCAAAACTTAATGGGAATATTCTAGCGTTTAAATAAGGATTTTGTTGAGAAGTGCCAGTCTTCTTATCCAATTTCTTTAAAATTTTAACAAACCCACGCTTATTCAATTCACCAAACCATTTCAAATTTCTAAAACAGGAACGTAATTCAATTAAAACACCGATAATTTCTTCCAATTCCTCATTATCTAATTCTTCAATATGACCATTAAAAGAATTGATAATAGATGAGATTTTTTTCAACCTTCTATCATATTCAGAGTATTGCTTATTGTAAAAATCATCAACTTTTTCAATGTTTCGATCCAGCGAAAAGAAAAAACCGGCTAATGCACTCTTCACTTGGGAATTGTTTAAAGAATCACTCAATTGTAAATCTGCAATTTCTGGATCTTGTTCTTCAACAACTTTCAAAATTGATTCTTGTAATTTGGTGATGAGTTTGATTTGTTTCTTAAGATCCTTATAGTTCATATAATAATGACTGGAAACGCGTTAATACACCAATCTAACCCCCTGTTATTCTGTTATACTTACCTCCATTCTGGGACTTGATGACTTGTGATGCTGTTTAAAAAGGAAAAGGTCAGTATTCTAGGTACATTTTTTTCAAACTATTTTGTCATGTCACAAGAACGCTTACGTTTTCCCAAACTTCATGGTGTAATTCTAATTAGGATCTCTATAATTTGAAAGGCGGGTCTCTCCTTATCTGTGATAACTCTGGGGTTGAGATGCCGAGTGGCAATTGACTTTGTTTGTAACAGAATATATAAGATAGCTTAGTTTAGAATTGGGCGGTAAGAGGTTGAAAACAACAATTCAGGATTGGAATATCTGGGATTTGTGGGAAATTGGTGTTTTGGCATGGATTCCACGTGTAAAAAGTTGTTGATGTTTTTTGAAGCTCATCATCGCCAAAAAGAAATTTTGTAAATAGCCGGTCGTGTGTCCCCGTGACCAAAACGGCAAGTGCACTATCTTTCGCGAAAGTCATGTGATTGGGCTTGAAAATACAGTGAAAACTTTCAGGAAGCAAATACAGGAATAATCAAAATAATCAAATGACCTATGATTTTTCATTGGTTATAAAGAGTTTTATTGTTCTGAGGAGAGAAGCTTGCTGAGCCCCAGTATTAGTTTTCTTACTACTGAGAGCCCAATAGACTACAGAAGTTAGAACCCTTTCGAAGGGTAAAAACCGTTAAAACCTATCGATAATAGAACTTCAGGATACTCCTAAATTCAATTACAGTGGTGATCTTAATAACTTTATGAATATTTAAAGAGCCTTTAAATCCATTCAATACGATGCTCTTGCAATTGAGGGTCTGACTTTATTGCAAAGAATGCCCTATTACCCATTGGAAATCGAATCACTACAGTTTGAAGGTTGATAATTGTATATAAATATACCACTCTCTCTTTTGAAAGACCATCTCTTGGACTTTTCCCCTGCTAAACATTAAAGATGACTTACTACCCAATTCAAATCGACTCATTATCCCCAAGGGAACAAGTTATTGATGCCATCAATCGTTTATACATTGGCCTAGACGATGTTAACATGGATCTTGTGGAATCTGCTATTGTCCATTCAGAAGAGGTATCTATTAAAATGGGCGACAAGGTTACAAAAGGTTGGGGAAACTTGAGGGAACATTTACTCAAGAATGTTATACCAGTTTCAACAACTCATCAGCTCACAAATTTCAGAGTGATTTTTGATAGTGAAACTTCAGCTCGTCTTACAGCACACTGTGTTGCTCATCATTTAAATGAAGAAAAGGGGTATAATGCCGTCGGCGGGTTGTTTGAGGTTGACCTTGTTTATGAGGAAGCTGATGATTTATGGAAGATCCTTCATTTAACAATGAAAATAAAATGGAATAATTGAAAGTCGTTCTTCAAATATACACTCGCTGATGTTTAAAAAAAACCTATAAGCCAGTTAAATATATTGAATACCTTGAACTTTTTGATTCTAGTCCAGCAATGGTTAATGTAACTAATATATTTTGAATCATTCTGAATCCTATTGTAATGTATTTTGCGAAGTATAAAAGCGGGCGGTAAAACCCATTAATCATCAACATCTCCGATGAAGTTTTGATTTGTAATTGTTATTCACCAATTCAAGACCAAGATATTTTTTAATTAGAATTCATTTATAAATAGTTGTAAAGATTCATTGTCATGATTCGTATTTTATCTTCAAGATTCAAATCAGCCTGGTGAATAAAAATGTCATCCTATTACCCAATCAAAATCCAATACTTAACCCCAAGAGAACAGGTTATAGATGCCATCAACCGTTTATACGCTGGTTTCGATGACTCCAACATCGAACTTGCAGCTTCTGCTTTTGTTCATTCAGATGAGATTGTAGTCAAGCTTGGCGGGAAAGTCATTAATGGTTGGACAAACTTGAGGGAAGAGTTCATTAAGAATGTCATGCCAGTTTCCACGATCCATCAACTTACAAACTTTAGAGTAATCTTTGAGAGTGCAACTACTGCTAAATTGACTGCCCATTGCGTTGCCCACCATTCAACAAAAGAAAGAGGTTACTATAGTAGAGGTGGGTTGGCTGAGGTGAGCCTTGTGTTGGACGAAGTTGATGATTTATGGAAAATTGTTGAGTTGACGATGAAGGGAAAATGGGTATCTTGAAGCTGTGGGAGAGATTAGCCAATGATGTATTTAGGTAGATATTTGATTTTATGGTATTGTCACAAATTTCTTGTAGGTTCAAAACATCATGAAGTAATGTTCAGCAAGGCAATTGCTTCACCATTTATAACAAGAATTGTTTGGAGTAAATTCAAACACAAGGGCCAATGTCCACTACAACTCAACCTCATCATTACTTGCATCATCATAATAAAGTATCCAAATCCGAACTCTAATAATTTGGGCACAACCCATCTGACTTGACCAATTTATAAATCTATTAGAGGAAGAACCCCCAAAGTTAGTACTTACTCAACCTTCTCAAAAAACTCAAAACAACTTACATCTTGAACACTAAGGTTAATAAACTGTCTAACTTCCAAAGTTAACCAAACTTTGAACATGGCCAATTTATCACCATCATTGATCAATCCACCTCCATCTTGGAATCCCAATTGTCTCAAGATAGGTAACGAACTATAGAAAAAAGGGTTAGTGTTCTGGCATTCCATTAATCACGGTAAACCATACGCACCTTGCAAAAAGATCCAAGGATGGATCCAATTGTCTCCCAATACCTTCAAGTAATAAAATAGCAACAACAACACTAACAAAATCACCCTCCATTCTAACATGGTGGGATCTAACCATTGTCAACATCTTTTCTAATAAATCACCAATACTAACAGTCCCCAAAGTGAATGTACGTTGTTTGATCTTGTCCACTAATCTTTCAACTTTTAATGCAAATATTTCTTGGTCTATTGCAGTTTCGGGGGTTTTAGATCTTTCAATCATTAGCTCACCAGCTTTATAACCGTCAAATTCTGCCAATGAATTGAATAATGCAATGAAATTGACTCTATTTTTCTCATTTAGTTCGGTGACTAAACCGGCATCTATATAACAAACTTCTGGATGATAACCATCTGCATGTAATTTGTTCAATTCTTTTGATAACTGTGAGTTATCCTTTTGGACTTTCTTCAAGTTTCTAGAGATTTCATCCCTCTCTGAGTCATTAGATATAATTTCAGTTTGTAGTTCATTTGGCTTCACAAATCTAATGAAAATATTACCTGCATGTAAATCAGAATGAATGAAATTATTCAAGATCAACATTTGTAAAAATGAATCTATGACTTTATCACTTAATTGTTTTGAGACATCATCATTCAACTGTTTTGAATTCTTCAACTCCAACATCTTTGACATTGATAATCCATTTATATATTCTTCAACAAGGATTGATCTATTTGAAAACTTCAAATATGGTGTAGGGAAATTCACAAATAAATCATCCTTATAATTTTCTTGAAATTTGTTTAGATTCAACCCTTCAATTCTTAAATCCAACTGCAAGTTCATCAACGTGTCAAAGTTTTGAACTTCATCAGGTAATGATAACCATTCCATGGTGGGTATTATATCAATTGCACTAGCGAAAAAATTCATAATTTTCAAATCTCTTTTAATCTTGGTAGCAACATTTGGATGAATAACTTTTATAGCAACTTTTTGATTAGGAGATGGGGAATCATTACTTGCAAGTGATGGTAATCCTAAAAATGATCTCTTCTTCTTTTTAACAGGTTGAAATTCATCAATATTTTCAATCAATTTTTTGGACAATGTAGCCAAATAAACTTGTGCAATTGCACCAACACCAACTGGTTCTTCATTGAACTCTTCAAAGATTTCATCAAATGGTAGTCCTCCAAAAGATTGGCTCAAAATTCTCTTTGTGTATCTAATTGGATGTTTTTTCGCATTTGAATGTAAATTACCCAACTCATCACATAATTCTTGAGGGAAAATATCAGTTCTTGAAGCAGCCCATTGGCCCAGTTTGATGAATGAAGCACCTGCAGTTTCCAAGCTGAACCTCAACACTTTATACCAAAAGATTGATCCAGATCTTGTATTGTTTTTCTTTTTACCAAACCAACTAATAGGAAGAGTGATAACAATAGGCAGGAATATGATTGTCAACTCCACAAATCTTCCAATCGTGACAAGTGGTTCCCATACATAATCATGAAATGCAAAACTGATCTTGTAGATGAATCCTAAACGACGACTCAATCTATCTTTTCTATAGCTTTCTATCTCATCTTCCAATTCTTGCTGTGAGGATAAGAATAATCCATTTTCATACGTATCACCTTTAGGATTTGGTTTCAAGTCAGCTGCAGGCTCGAGCTGCATAGTGCCCTGAAGCATATCATTTTGAATAGGTGAGCTATGGAATTGATTATAACATAAATAAGCTAACGTAAGGGAAATACCTGACACTATTAGTTTTGAAGTTGTCTTCGGTTGTTTCGAGATTGTTGTGAACGACCGTATCGTATTGAAATTCTTTATTATAGAAGGCCTTATCCTTATGATTCCAAAAGATCTTTGAAACATTCTGATTCAAGTAGAACTAACTTTGTAGTTGATCTTTTTTGCTGTTGTTTTTGACTTTATTGTTGTTTTAATCCTTGAAAAAGGCGTTTTCGAATTTATTGCTGTGGATGCTGACACGGAGATAAATGACAGAATCTATAGATACTACAAAAGTGCAAACCCCCAAAACAGTTACTTTTTGTATTTCACAAATTCTATATGGTACATGTTTTTTTAAAAGTTTTTTGTTGGTATCAGTGTGTTTTTTATAGTTGCTCATCTTTAATGACATCAATAAGCCTGTTGAAAAAATTGTTAGTAATTAAGATTAATCAAAATTAAAAAAAGAGTTTACTCACCAATCAAGACCTTCAGTCAAACCTTCACCTTTTATAGCACTACTTGCAACAATACTCCAACTACGATCTTTCAGTTCCACCAAGTTCAAGGCTTTTGAAACTTCAGCAGCACTCAATGCACCCGGTTGATCTTGTTTGTTGGCAAATACCAACAATGCAGAATCAGCCAATTCTTCTTCACTTAACATTGTATGTAATTCTTTGGATGCAATCTCTATACGTTCTTTATCCGTAGAATCAACAACGAAGATAACGGCAGCTGTGTTTGCATAATAACATCTCCAATATGGTCTGATTGATGTTTGACCACCAAGATCCCAAACATTCAACTTCAGATTTTTATAACTTAGTGTTTCAACATTGAACCCAATTGCTAATAAAGAGTTAGAAAAGACGCCTATAAGACACTAATAAATATTACTTACTTGGTTTTGTATTAATCACTTCACCAATCTAGTTTCGGAACGTTAGTAAATGAAATGTATCTGTTTATCAAAATCAACTCACTTGAAGTTTATATAGAATTGTAGTTTTACCAGCACCATCTAGCCCCAAAATCAAGATTCTGATCTCTTTATTGACACCCCACAATTTACCAAATATCCCACTAAACACGTTACCCATGGCTTAAATATTTCTCTGTATATAATTTTTATGTTTTGATTTGAAATTCACACTCTCGGTAAATTAAAGCCCACTCTTTTTTGATATCTCTTTGGCAAAAACACTTTTGATCTGTGGTGATGAATCAATATGGATAAATAGAAATAATACACTCGAAGATTATCCAATAATCTTTCCACTTCTCAGTTGAACTTTCTTTGCTAATCACCTCGTTGACACTTTGTGTTTCATCGATCCCATTTCGATTTTAACACCAAGGCGAAAAAAAAAGCCCAGCGAAATTCGCGAAGATTACATAACTCTTCGGTATACACACGCCGATTATGGCCGCTACAAACCGAGCAATTTCTTAATTAATCGTTAATTTTGCAATTCTTTCTATTTCTCTTCCTTTTCTCTAACTTTATTTAGAATGGTCTTGATCATTTCGTTTCCTAAAGCGTTGGCTTCTGGTAGCATTGGTGCAAAGAAATCTTGTGTTGCTTCAAATTCTCTTCTGTATAAATTGAAATCACCAAATGAAACAATATTACTCCAAGTCTAAGTCATGTTAGTAATTGAGCTATTTAAATTAAATGATTATTGAACTTACTCTTGCAGCTACTGTGAATTCTAGATCATCCGGTCTAAATGCAGTTTCACTACATCCATCACTCAATGCTTTCTCTAACAATCCTGGCGAGCAAAATAGGTATTCACTGACACCTAAAAATATTCTGAATAGCTAGAAACATAGTTAGTATATTTCTATGGATTAACAATGGAAAATAACACTTACTGGTGTGGAGCAAATCATATGATCATATGGAACAATCCCCAATTGATACCAACTATCAACGATAGCTAATAATGAAAGATGTGAATTTGGTTGTTGTTCACCTGGTGGCTCCCTGCTCAATGAAAATTGCTGTAGCAGTTCATCATCTAATAACAAATCATGATCTGAGCCCAAGTGGCCAAACACAAACTTCTTTGCCTTGTAAACACGTTCTTTTAATTCTTCATTTTTACCCTCAATAATCAATTTGAATAAATCAGTAGTAGATTGAGCATATTGCATAATTTGTTTATGAGCTGATGGATTTGTAATTGCCAAACCAGCATAGACGTGCCATTTGTTTGAAAATATTCTCAAGGAAATGTTGATTTTGGCATTTTCTAACCCACCTATCCATCTTGAAGACTTCCATGGATACAATCTCATCTTATGCCATGCAACACCCATACTTAAAAATGCAGCATGTGTTACCGCTTGTGTATCAGCAGTGATTTTATCATGTTCATCAGCTGTCAAATCCACAATTTTGGATCTTAAACAAGATACTAAAGTCTTCACAAATTCTTCACTTTTCAAACTTGCTCTATGATTTATCACAACTAATGGCTGTCCAGTTGTATTAACTTTTGGACCATGTAGTGAGTGAACACTTATTATCTCAACATCATTTGGTAAATATTCTTCGAATGCTTCAATTTCTGGAGCTTTACATGAAGTTTGACCACCAACTATAGCACCAATTTTTGTAGATGGAGCATATTGTTTAACAATTTTTTTAATATTTTCAGCTTCAACACTATAGATCACGTAATCACTAATTCTTGAAACGTAATGACCATTCTTCAGGATTTCAAACTTTTCTTTAGAATATTTTTCTTTAGTATCTTGATAAATTTCTTCACGATCACATCCAACAACTTTCCATCCATCTTCTGAAAACCTACGGGCATACAACAGGCCCATATCTCCAAGACCTATTATCCCAATGGTCTTCGTGGCCTTCCATTCTTTGATTGTCTCCTCTGAAACCATGATTTATTGAATTGAATACATTCGTTGTAACCTTTTGTGTCAACAGATAGTCAAGATGCTTTTTCCCTCGTTCGCTTCTCAGAGATTTGAAAAACTTCGCGAAATTACATAATCTTTGAAGTTACGTAACATTGAAACCGTTGGTTTGACATTTGAAGGATTATTGGAGAGATGTCTGGACTTTAGATCATATATGTGGTGGCTTGAAACATTTGAAGAGCTTCTCATTGTGAATTGATACAACTGGTTAAAGGTGTTGTAATTGTATTCATGAACTATAATATATTGAAAGGTAGTAATGCGGTCAAAATCAACCTAATAGAAACCAGATCATCAAGATAGTACGTTTCTTCATAACGTTAATCAAGAACTTAACATGGAGGTTTATATATTAATTATAGTACTTTGATAATACTGACGTACTCGAAACACGGACATTCTATCAACCCAAACCTCAAATATTCACTAGTTACAAATGACCCAAATTCCTTGATTCAAGCCGAGTATGGGCATGGGGTCACAGAAATTGCCCAAGCTGAAAACCACTGAAAGGTCTGATTTTACTGGTAAAAGGAGCAGGTCAAGCTCAAGCTTAGACTTGTTTGAAATAGATTCAAGAAGCTGTTCTCAATTCTTCAGACTTCAACATCTTTCCCCATGTTTCAATTCTGTTTGATCAACTACAGAACATCGTATACATCTCTCTGATTGTTCTTCTGAAGTCCTATGATGTATCATCCATCCCTTAAATTAAGCCTGAAAGTTGAGACGTTGAGACGTCTTCAAGGAAAAGGATAAAAATAGGTTCTTTGTTTTGAGGCTAGCTTTGCATGTTCCGTCACCTTGTATCATTCAGAAATGTGAATTCAAATTTCAAGCGCCCTTTTTTTAAAACGTTCGGCTTTTCAAAACAGAACACAACTGATCCCCTTTTATTATAAATCAGTCATAGACTGAGTCCCCAGTGATTTTGTACATTATTTTAGCATTTTATAAATACACATCAGATACATTAAAAAAAAAAAAAATGATCAAGATTTGTGGACAAGAAATTGACCAATTAAAGAGCAGCTTTTCATTGGAGTGCACTCAACTCTTAATTGAAGAGGTGGATGTAAAAAGTCCTCATGTGTACATACTACACTGTATAATCGTCTAGGCTTGTGGTTCGGTAACTAGTGAGTCGTTACATTTTACACTTTAAAACGAAAAATCATTGGCAATAGACCGTAGTGCGTACTAGGTAGCTGTCAGTTGACTTATAAGCTATACGTTGTAAATACTAAAGCCTGTAGAGTAGGCTTTATCGGAAACTTTCTTTGATGAGAAACAGCTCCATCAAAGAATTGTGAACCTACAGTCAACTTGTTTGCTTGAGAATGAGACAATCATTAACTAAGCTTCAAAGTTCAGAGTCAAAGGGATCCAGCAAACCCTACCTGTACTGGTTTTCCTTCTCTCGAGTCCATCGTATGGGTTTGTTTTGCCCAGCTGCGCGTTTTGATGTAACTCTGTAAAGAATTCACGATCTGTGTTTACAACACGATCTCATATGACACGCGAACTCACATGAAATTCTCGCTCTTCAAACGAAACGTAAACAAGCACTTTTCAGCAAAAAATGGAGCTGAAGTACACCAAAAAGCTCACAGAGTAAGCCCCAATCAGACCCGAAGCTTTATTGAAAGGAGCAAATGCCTTCTCCATCTATAAAGAACCCCAACATTCCTTTTCTTTCCTCAAAATTCCTCGTTCCTGAAAATAAAAAAAACGCGTTTTTCTCGAATTTTTTTTTCGTGCGTTTTTGTTTTGAATTCGCTGCCCAAACCATCCCTTCGGGATCTTACATACGCAGTCGAAGCACTTTTACCAACATTTTCAACTGGGAATGAGCTGGCTCCTTCAAGGACCTCTTATAAAACTAAAGCAAAAGTACCCAAAATTTTCAATTTTCACCGTAACTTCTTGTTTCACCTATACTTTTGCAAACAAAACAATCATCAACTTCATCAAGTGAATTTTGAATAGCAGTCTTCTTTGAGCTTACTACAGTCTCGTCCATTCCTTTGAAAACACAACTCTACTCACTCAATTCACTCATTCCTCAACATTATTTATCCAAATTTTTAAACTCCTGGCGTTACATTCACCTAAATATTAAGAAAGAAAACTAAAGCTTTAACAACAATTCAAATGCAATTACAAAATTTATTACCAGCTGCTTTGGCTATTTTACCATTGGTCAATGCTTATTCAAACGTTGCTGTTCGTTATGAAAACTTATTGAAAAGATCAAATGAAACTTATTCAATTGCTCCAGTTTCTGGCGTTTCAGCTTCATCAGCTTTAGCTCCATCTCAAGATTCAGTTTCAACCAGTGAATTAACAACTGAAATTGTCACTTTTGCTCCAACTACTGATGCCAATGGTCAACCAAGTTCAGTTTTAACCACCAGTACAATCACCTATTATTCCACTGTGACTCAAACTCAAACTCCAGTCTCAACTGCCGGTGGTGAATCAGTTTTAACCACTGAATCTGCTGTTGAAACCACTGACGACCAAGATAGCACTTTAACTAGTTTTATCTTAACCACTGTCACTTTACCAGGTGAAAGTTCAGCTGTTTCCACCACTTCTGATGCTCAAAATGCTGTCGCTTCTTCATCCTCATCAGCTGACTCTTTAGCATTAGATTCAAACAACAAGAACTTGGCTCCAAATGCTGTTGCCTCATCATCAGCTTCCCCATCAACCACTGACTCCCCTGTCTCATCTTCAGCTACTGCTCAAGGTTCAGTTTCCACAGTCACTGTTACCGTCACCAATGATCAATGTGTACCAACAACCACCACTGTTATCACAACTAAGATCCCAGTCACTGCTCAATTCACAGTCACTGGTTCAAATGGTGAATTATACACTGTCTCTACTTCAACTGATATTGACCAAACCACTACCCAAGTTGTCTATTTGACTCAAACCACAACTTTACCATCTTCATCAGCTAATGGCATTGTCACCACTGTTTCGAATGCTGACACCACATACACAACCACTTTAGCTTCAACTTCAATTGCTCCAAGCTCTACTGGTGTGCTGTACGGTAATGGTACCAATGCAAGTAACTCTACAGGGTTGAGTCCAAGTGCTTCTCAATATAGCATATCAGCTAGTGATTACAACAGTAACTCAATTTCCAAACGTTCATTCCTAAGACGTATCATTGGTTATTAGATGATTAGCATAACATTCATTTGATTCTTTCAAAAGCTTTTTTTTCTGACTCTTTCATCCTTTTTATTATGTCTTTTTATCATGATCAAACCTTGTTCAATACCATTTTTTTTAAAAACATTTGCTTTTTTTTATCAAGTTCTTTTGTAATATTTTCATGGGTATATTTTTTTTAGATGGACTTTCTCCAACATTATTTAACGTGCGTCTCAATTTATTTGGTTTTGAAGACCTTTTTGTAATTGAAAACAAATAGAACTAAGATCAAAGCTTAGAATTTCCCAGCTCATTAGCTTATACTCTCTGCCATCCTCAAAGTGTCAATACCTCGTCGGCTCGGCTAAAAACAAAAACATCCAGACCACAATTTAAAAAACTATGGCGCTACAAACGTCAACAACAAAAACTGTCAAAGAAACAAATCGTGAAGATGCTATAACCATCAAGAACACAATCAAACCATTCATTTTCGATACTCATCAAGCCCCTTGAATCATGGCTCGTACATTTCTTGCCTGTGATCACTGTCGCAGGTCAAAACTACGTTGTGCATCTAATCTTGACGAAAAGGGCGAACCAAATGGTAAATGCCAAAGGTGTTTAAAGCTGAGTTTAGACTGCCAGTACACTCCAAGGCCATCACAACTCAAGAAGCAAATACGGCGTGAAAAGTTGGCTACAAAGATTAAACGTTCTCCAAGTTTTAAGAATGATTCTGAACATTTGGCTTTCAAAGTGTCCAAGAAAAACATTACCCCAGATCTATGTGATCAAACACCTCCTTATTTACAAGGAACTATCAACAATTTTGGGAATAAACATGGGTGTGCAAACTATCTAGATACTATGGTTTTACCGAGTATAGATATCATGATTGAGGTTGTTAACCAATTTTTTGATAATCAGTATCATTCAATATTCAATTTTCTTCATAAAGAGACTTACTTAAACTATATCAAGAGTGCAAAGTTTGGCCACCAGTTTTTCAACTATGATGATCCTGCTGATGTTCCTGAATTTACACCATGTACACTATTAGCAATATTGGCATTATGTGCAAGAGATAATTCAAAATTGATTGAAATTTATGGTGAATTTGATCAAGGTAATAACCCAATTCAATTCATTCCCAACTTCAGCTCAATCCCATCTAAACTAACATCACAGTCACCTTCCAATGCATCAAGATATTTTGCATTTTATTCCAGATTACTACTGAAAGATATGTTTGATACACCCGCTATTCAAAGAGTCCAATCTCTTGCAATTCTATCATCACATGAATGGAGTGAGGGTAATGCGGCAAGATCATATTTATATATCGGTATAGCTGCACGAATGGGTGCCATTTTAGGATTAGGTTGCCCCAGAGGTGTTTGTTATGAAGATCAAAATAATCAATATGGTAATGAAAGAGATCGTTTCATTGCAATGGAGTCAAAGAGAAGAACTATTTGGTCGGTTTATATGATGGATCGTTGTAATTCAAGTGGCAGAAATAGAAGTCATGCTTTAAAGATAGAGGATATTGAAATCAGTCTTCCTTGTCCTGAAGAGAATTTCCAAAAAGGGATCCCCATCGAATATCCAAGTTATAATGAGTGTTTCACATGTTTAAACAAGTTGACAAGTTTGGATTTTACCATTATAGGGTTTGAGTTATGGTCCAAAATTGCTAAATGGGTTGGTGAGATAGGTTCTAAAAAGGAAAAATTGAATCCAAATGATCCCAACTCAAATTTTTACAAGTTATCAAATGATCTTAAACTTTTGAAAGAATCAATGCCTTCAGAATTACACGTGAGCAGTCTGAATCTTCACTTGGAGAAACATAACTTGAATTTTGGGTTCTTGCATCAACTGTTGTACCTTTCTGGAATTTTTTTGAATCGTGAATATTTCTATTATAGCTCAAATATATCTAAAATTGACCATTATGAATTTACAAAGAAATTAATTCATGAAGTTCAAGAGAGTTCAAATTTGATAAAGACCTTGGTATCAACCAAAAATTTCATTGTCACGCCCTTCACAGCATTTGAGTTATTTACAAATTCAGTCACTTGTTTATCAATATCAAGTATTTTGAATGATTTGAAATTGAAAGCATTAGGTATGCAAAATATGGAGATTTTGAAATCATTTTTTTATAATGATTACTTGGGATCAACTTGGTACAGCATTATTACACAATTGTTAAAATATTTTGAAAGTTGCCATAATAATGGGGTCTTCAACAAAACATTACAACAAAATACTAAATTGACAAACTTAATCAATGATTATGGACAAGGTGATATACCTGAGCAATTGACCACACATCCCTATGAAATCAAAAAAGTTGACTTGAATGATATTTTGAACTCATCAGACTCAGAATCAAATAGCAGCTCTTCATCAAAGAATTCTAATACTGTACTTCCAGTGGAACAGACTAGGATTCGAACTGCAGATGAATCAATCGTTCAAAGTGATGATTCTTCTATCTCCTCAAATACAAATTCTAAGCAAACTGAACTCACTTCATCATCATCTTGGATTGATAAGTCACTTGAACATGATATTGACAAATATTTCAGAAATTGGGATAAGATTATTCCAGATTGGAATGATGTTTTCATAGAGGACAGAATGATTGATGATATAAACTTGTTGTTACCTACAGAAATACATTACAACACAAACAGTACTTAAATATTGATAATATACAGAAAAGTTAGACAATGTTATGAAACTTAATCAAAATTCAAGACAATTTTCCCTCTTGCTTTATGAGCACTGAGTTTTTCATAAGCCTTTTCATAATCAGACCAAGTGAATGTTGAGTCAATAACCACTTTAAGTTTATTCTCTTCAAACAATTTCTTAGCTAGAGGATAGAAATCTTCAGCAGTGGCTACCATACCATAGTTGTAACTTCTGAAATAAGGAACCATCTTTGAGAAGAAGCCCAAATTGGCAACTTTGAGGAATGAAAAAATTGAACTGTTGTAATCAGCAATTTGATCACCAACAATAGTAACATATCCAGCCTTTTCAGTCTTTGGTTTCAAGACATAGTTAATAACTGGAAAGATGTCATTGTTACCAACACAGTCAATAATCAGATCAAACTTTTCACCACCAAAATCATTTTGAACAAGTGACAATGCTGTTTGAGCAACATCTTGTTTATTATAGTCAATAACGGTATCAGCACCAAATGATTTGGTTAATGAGGATGAAGATTCAGAATTAACACTAATGATACTCTTTGCATGATGATGATTCTTCAACAATTGTAGGACATATTGACCAACAGAGGTAGCACCACCAATGACCAAAACTCTTGAATTTTCATCAGGAACATGAAACTTTCTTAAAATGCTGACAGCTGTAGCAAACACTAATGGGAAAGCTGAAGCTTGTTGCAATGAAAGAGTTGAAGGAATTTTACCCATTGGATTTTCTTTTGGTTTCAGTTTCAAATATTGAGCAATGGTACCTTGTTCACCATAAACAGGCATGTACAGACCAGAAACCAAGTCACCTTCTTTATATTCTGATATATTTGAACCTGTTGCATAGACTGTACCTGAGAAATCTCTTCCAACACCTTTAACACCACGCTTGAAGAATATATAGCGAGAAGTATGATAAAGTAATAAATCAACAGGATTTAAAGCCGCATTGCTAATCTTGACAATGATTTCATCAGAAGCTAAATCAGTTGGAAGGTTGAATGTTTTTTCTTGTATTTTCATGGAGCAGCCATTGTTGTAGGCCAATCTTTTGAATGTTAGTGACTTTGACATGTTGTATTATATGAAAATTAATTAGCTTAACATCTTTAAAGTTGGTGTTTTTCAAGCTCTTGTTGTGTTTATATATTGCGCAAGCTTTGAAATTTTCTGCTTAAATGCGATTATACCCGATACACTCAAAAAAAGTGCCAAATCAACCACTGGCTGAAATTACTCAAGAGACTTGAATTCTACTACGAATTACGAATTATTGTGAAATTAATTAACTTATTATATTAGATTACTAATTATATGACCATAACTATAAACTGGAAGATTCTGGAACAAGTTCGAGGACAATCTTTCCTCTGGCTCTATGTGTCGCCTGCTTCTTCAAAGCAACTTCAAATTCTTCCCAAGGATACACCGAGTCCATGATAATCTTGAGCTTACCTTCATCAAATAGCTGTTTTGCAAATGGATAAAAATAATCATCATGTGCAACTAAAATGTAGTTGTAACTTCTGAAAAACGGTAAAATTCTTTTCAAAAAGATATTCTTCCAAAAAATCTTGAAAAATGAATTATGATAGTCCATTATTTCATCACCAACAATAGAAACGTAACCAGCTGGTTCACTTTTTGGTTTCAAGACGCTATCCATGATAGGGAACAACTCTTTATTTCCAATACAATCAATAATCATATCAAATTTTGAGCCATTGAAATCATTCTTAACAATGTCCAAAGTCCTTTGAGGAACATTTTCAGTTTTGTAATCAATTATAATGTCAGCACCTAAGGAAGTAACAAGTTCAGCAGAGTCGGCAGAGTTGACACTGACAACGCTTTGAGCTTTATAATGATTTTTCAGTATTTGAATGATATAATGACCAACAGCAGTAGCACCACCCAAGACTAAAACTCTCGAGTTTTCATTTGGTTTATGAAACTTTTGCAAAATATTGATAGCAGTAGCCAAGACTAATGGGAAAGATGCAGCTTCGATAAATGTTTGACCTTTTGGAAACTTACCCATGGATGGGACCTTCTTTGGATTGATCCTCAAGAATTCAGTGAATGTAGATTCTTCAGTGAAAAATGGTGTAAAAAGACCTGAAACACGATCACCAACTTTGTATTCAGTGACTTGAGACCCAACAGCATGGACTATTCCAGCAAAGTCACGACCAACAGCTTTCTCATTACGCTTAAAGAACAAGTACTTAGCAGTATTGTACAATAATAAATCTTCAGGGTTCACACCAGCAGCATAAACTTTCACCAATATTTCATCTGGTTGTAGATCTCCAACATTAATTGTCTTGTCTCTGAGTTTCATTGGCTCCCCATTGAAGTAGGTTACTTTTCTGTAGTGGATTGTTTCTGTCATCTTTGTAAACACAAGGGTTGATTCTCTTTCAAATATCCATGGACAAACCTAATGTGGGACATGGTGATCTTTTATACCTGTAAACTGATAATAAATCATGTGCTAAATTAACTTTCAATCAAGGACACTGACAAATGGCTTCTTGAAAAAGCGAACAAGAAAACAATAGAGCGACAATTTGACAATGCAGCACATGATAAGCTGACCAAAAATTAAATCCGAAGACCGCAAACAGCGACCGCCGACTGTCCGTCAATTGTCCGTGTCCGTCAAATTTCCGCAATATATAATTGTAAATTGTAACCTCAAAAAGTTGAATTAATTTGGTTTGGTCTTTATGACAGTGAATCCTAATGGTTTTAATGGCTGGAATGAAGTAGTTATAATGAACTTTCACTGGTAATGTTTCCATCAGAGCCAATAAAAGCAGCTTACAAGTAACTCAGAGTAATGTCATGAAATATTCATTAAAATTAACCAAATGTGATTTATCTGTTCCTAAAGAAGGAAATAAATGGTGATAACACATGAAGTATTGTCAGAGATCTTTAATCCTGATACTCTCAATGTCCTTGAAGTAATTCATAGAACCAGACTTCAACTAATCACTTATTCTTTCTCTTCAACTCATTCAACACATTTCTCATCTGAACATAACCCAAATGGATCTTCCCAAGGAAATGATCACTCAACCTTCTATCACTATCCAATCTTGAAAGATAAGCTCCACATACTTCACAAACTTGCAATTTTTGTTGTGCACTTTGTCCAGCATTCTCAGTAACATCTCTCAATTTTTTAACATGGTACTCCTTCTTTACCGACAACTCCTCAAGCTTCACGCTTTGATCAATAGCTTTCAATATCTCTTTATTCTGTATCAATTTTTCAATCTCCTGTATCATAATACTAATCTTTGCATCAACAACTTCCAACTCCTTAGCAGCTTCACTAATCTTCAACTTCTCCTCAGGTGTATGTTCCAATCTTTTGAGAGCAATATCAATCTTTCTATTACAATCAATAACAAATCTATTTAGATTATTTGTAACTTCCCTTTCAAAATCAGGGAATTTCTTTCCCTGTGCCACTTCTCTTTCATATTGTAATTTATGCTTCTCTAAATGGATTTTATTACATCTCCCCATATCTTGCTTTGTTCCTGAAAATAAATCATAAGGACATATACCTAATAAGAAACTTTTACAGATCTTTGGATCTGATAATCCTAATTCTCTTCGTTGTCTTGATGGATTGATGAGTGTGTCTTTCCCCATCAATTGCTCTAGAAGCTCTCTTTGTTCATAACGTGCCATTTTGGACATTGTGGCATGTTATATTGGAATGTAATTAGGTGATCAACTGGAATCTTCAAACCAAAAGACGATTTTAACTGTTTTTGATTGTGCTTTGGGTTAATTCAATTGTTGATGTTTTCATACTTTTTTTGCCAGATTTTTTAAAGGCGGTGATTACATAATCTCAGCCTATAAACGTTGAAAAATTGAAGGACGTTGGAGAAATTCATTTTGATAAATCTCAATCACTTTTCAACGGATTTCAAATGGAAAGAATACGTTTTGTTGGGAAAGTTATCAGCTATGTTGTGAGAGGTGGTTGTGCAGTCCATGTTTTGCAGTCCCATTTCTACGAATTCACAGAGACAAGAGGTGAATCAATGCTTCCGACATTAGCAGCCAGTGGTGATTTCGTCTACACTTCAAAACGTTACAAGTTGGGTCGTGGTGTTGAAATTGGTGATTGTATCGTGGCTTTGAAGCCTACTGATCCTGATCAAAGAGTTTGCAAAAGGGTTACTGGAATGCCAGGTGATATTATCTTGATTGATCCAAGTATGGATCCAAAAGGCAGTAACAATAAGAATAACAATAGTAATAACAAAAGTGATGATACAACCAAAATATCCTCTATTAATGATGACAAAATAAATGAAAGTTTCAACAAGTATATTAAGGTTCCAGAAGGTCATTGTTGGGTCACTGGTGATAATTTAGCACATTCATTAGATTCAAGAACTTATAATTCATTACCATTGGGCTTAATAAAAGGAAAAATAATTGCAGCTAATGATTTTAATGAGCCATTTTGGGGTGGATCAAAAGGTAATTTCTGGGGATTTAGAAAGATTGAAAATAATTATGTTGATGAAGAGATAATCTCACCTAGTATTGCTGCTTGATTGGCCTTTTTTTGATTTATTCTATCTTGTTTATCTTGCTCATAAGTTTTCATTGACTCATCCATACCACTTATTAATCTAACAAATTGAGTCACAGGCCATGGTGAAGATCTAAACAAGGCTAAAAAGTTACCATAAATAGGGAATTTCAATTCACCTCTTCGACCATAGTCAACTGCTCTGACAACTTTCTGAGCAACATATTGTGGATCTAGTTCTGGTGCTAATATGGAAGATGGTGTATTGACACCTTTGAACATTTGTGTTTTCAATTGTCCTGGGCATACTAAAAGGGTTTTAATCCCCGTGGAGCTAAATAATGGTGGCCCCAATTCATAAGTTAAAGATTCATGTAATGCTATTAATGCTGATTTCGATGCACCATAGGCAGCTAATACCAACTGTTAGTACTTGAGAGAAGGAGGTGTGACTTTGATTCAAACTTACTTAGATTTGCTGGTGACATATACCCAAGAACAGATGCAACAGTGATTATATAACCTCTCTTCAACATCAACATATCAGGTAAAAATGCTTTATCAAGATAAAAACTTGACATCAAATTAACTTGAATAATTTTTTCAATTTCTTCAAATGATAAATCAATCAAAGATTTCCCAGATGTGATACCTGCATTATTAACCAATATTGTCACAATACCAACTTCATTCTTGACCCTTTCACTTAACTCCATGACTTGTTTCTTATCACTAACATCACATTTATAATAATAGACATCTTCCAATTTTTGATCATCATTAGGTATATTGATATCAAATACAACCAATCTTTGAATCCTTCTTTTTTGAAACTCTTTTACAATTTCTTTACCCAACCCTGATCCACCACCAGTGACTAACACCACATCTCTATGTCTTTCCAATACAACACCAATCAATGAATCGGATAAATATGAGATTAACCAATTTGCATGAACAATCTGTCTGTATAGTTGTGCTTTGATGACTAAAGCAAAATGCATAATTTCTAGATAGCTAAGTGATTACTCTGATCTCCTCTTTCTTCATACACTGTGTAGAGAAACTCAATTGTCTATGGTTTTCTTTGTTATATTGGTTTTGTAGACTTTGTGTCGCTGTCGGCGATACTCGTGTTTTGAGTTTTGATAAATCCGAAGGATAAAAAGATGAAAAACTGAAATCAAAACAAACATAATTTCAACAACTTGAATCATATTGAAGAAACAGCGTGCTAAGAATCAACAATCATGATGGGTAATAGAACTAATCTTCCAGAAGTTGTGCGAATCAAGAGAAAGAGGAATCAGGACTCTCTACAGGCGTTGAGTATGTGAAATTTTGACAACAAAGAGTCATTCAGAGGCTAACAACAGCAACACAGTTCTTGAAGCTCCAAAGCATAAAAGAATAAAAGATGAACATTATGGTGCGTGGGAATTTCACAATGGATGAAGTCTGTGGTACTAATGTTTATTGATAGTTTTCAAATTACAAAGAACTGATAATGAAATTGTTCAATTGAAGGAAGATGGAGATGCCATACTACCATTGCTACAAGAATCTAGTGGGAAGAAAGTGAGTGCTTCACCAACAACATTATAACCTTCACTAACAAGTTCATAAGGATAAAGAAAACACATTCATTCTACCGAAAGAGGAAAAACAAGATGAGAAGTTACCAGAAGAATTCTCAGAAATGTTAGATACAGTATTAAGTCTCAGTACACAACAACAAGAACCGTCTCAATCATTGAAAAAGAGAAAACACAAAGGATCAGTAGTTAATAGTGTCAATGTGAATGCTGAAAAAGTTGATCTGGAATACGTTTATGATGTGTATTATAGAGATCGTGCAGTTCATGAAACATGGGAAAAGGAAAAAATTGGTTACATGTACGTATTGACAATTAATCAAATGAAGGTAATGTTACTAATTTTTCAACTAGCAAATTTGAAGAAGACAAAGATGACTTACTTGGCGATGATGAATCTGTTAAAGTGTTATCGGATGATGAGGATTCAAATGCAGAGGATTTTTATAAAAACGATTATCCAGATGATGAAGATGACTATTCAGATGGTGAAGGTAAATCCGAATCATCAATTGAAGTACTTGCAGAGTCAATGCACCAGTCACAACAATTGAGTAATAATGAAACAAGTTTACAAGAGGACCAAATATACTTAGATGAAGATGAGTTTGAAGAACTGTATGATGAATTATATGATGAAGATGGTAATGGGCCTTCAGATTTCCTAGACAATGATAATTTTGATGACGTGAATGAATACCCTAGACAGAATTTTTTCCCAGGTGAAGAAGATGATGAGTTGGCTCAGCATCGAGACAAGATATTTGGGAAATTACAGAAAATGATTGATGAAGAGAATTGAGATTAGGTCTATGGTGATTAACTTCTAGGTCATGTGACTGATATTAGGGCATCGGAAATACGTGCCTCCAAACTTAGTTATGGTGTTCGGATGCCAAATCCTCCACGAATTTTTTTTTTCAACATGGTGAAAAATTCAATATAGGTGAAAATATAGAGCTACTCTATTGTAACTAGAACTTCAGTGTAAACATCAACACCAGCCATCCAAAATGAAATACATCAGAACTGATCAAATCTTAGATATCCCAGAAGGTGTTAACGTTAACATCAAATCAAGAATCATCACTGTTACCGGTCCAAGAGGTACTTTGACTAAAAACTTGCGTCATATTGATATTACTTTCACTAAAGTCAGCAACAAATCTATTAAAATCACCGTTCACAATGGTGACAGAAAACATGTTGCTGCTTTAAGAACTGTTAAATCTTTGATCGCTAACATGGTTACTGGTGTCACTAAAGGTTACAAATACAAATTGAGATATGTTTATGCGCATTTCCCAATTAACGTTAACGTTATTGAAAAAGATGGTGATAAATTCATTGAAATCAGAAATTTCTTGGGTGATAAACAAATCAGACAAGTCAAAGTTCATGAAGGTGTTACTGTTGAATTCTCTGCTAACCAAAAAGATGAAATTGTCTTAAGTGGTAACTCTGTTGAAAATGTTTCACAAAATGCTGCTGATATTCAACAAATCTGTAGAGTTAGAAACAAAGATATCCGTAAATTCTTGGATGGTATCTATGTTTCAGAAAAAGGTACTATTGTTCAAGATGAATAAATTCTTTCACAAATTTAATAATATTGTGATTTATTTGCTTATGACGGGTTTGAAGGATAAGTTTATTAGTTTAATGTACAAATAGAACTTTTTTTAATAATAATGGTTCTTTGGCTACTATTGAGTTAGTAGCATCGTAGCTTTGTATTTTAATTATACAAAGTATTCTTCAGGTGTTATGAATTTTAATTGACAGCCGTGTGCAAATCTTAAATCACTTTTACTAAAATCATTCTTTCTACCAGCTGCATCTCCAATAAACAAACTTTCTTCAACATTGATTTTATCTTTACCGAAATCTTTCAAGAATTCTTCAAACATACCAATGTTTGGTTTCCTCATATTGTCAAATTGTGCTTCATTATCACCTTTATAACTAGCACTTTTCTTTGGGCTTGCATAGACCCAAACATTTTGAACATCAACACCACGTTTCCCCAACTCTTCAAGGATCAATTCAATTCTTTTATGGAAATTATTATAAGATTTAGATGTCTTTGTAGCAACAACACCACCTTGATTAGTGAAGATAACAATGGGTATTTTGATTTGTTTCAAATTTGTTAATGTTTTGTAGTTGAACCATTTCCAATCTTGTGGGAACTTTGCGAATTTTCCTTTAGTTTTAGTCACTACCAAAGTGCCATCAAGATCGAATGAGATTATTGGTGTAATGGATTCATAAATCTTAGGACTTTTAGGTGTAATCTTTATGAGATAAGTATCTATGATTGATGTATTATGGGTTATGGTTTTCGCTGAAATTAGACTAGAAATTGTAGATCTTGCCTGTGTTGAAAGTGGCTTTAAAGAGCTGGATGATTTGGATTTCCCAATCATCGATAATATATCTTTGGACATCTTTGATGCTGGGTTTTAAGAGGACAATCTCGTTGTGGATGTTGATGGTTTATTTTCGTGTCCATCGCGATGAGGTTTTCAAGATTTTTTTTGACATGGCAGAGAAGTTAAGTATGTACAAATATCAGTTGTAATCAAGAATTCAGCATTTCAAGGACTTTCGAGATAAAATATCATGTCTGATAAGAATTCGTTTGGGAGAAGAACTTGGGACAGAGAAGAATACGCGAAACAGGCTCAGCTACGACGTGAACAGCAACAAAATAAGACAATAGAGGCTGTTGAAGGTCATAAATCAATATCAAGAGATGCTTTGAATTTCAACACAGACTTGAACAAAAGACAAGTGATTGCTAGTAATGTGGTTTCGACAAGGGGTAAATCATTTGGGTTTTATTGTGAGGTTTGTGATTTAACTTTCAAAGATAATTTAAAATATGTGGATCATTTAAACAGTAAACCTCATTTGATAAGGAGTGGTGAATTGAATAAAGAGGTCGATGTTAGTCTTGATGAGGTTAAACAACGCTACGAAATGCTTGTAAAAAAAGTAGATGAGATGTTGAATGAAAGTGAGAAATATGATATCAAGAAAAGAATTGCAAAAAGACAAGCATTTGAAGAAGAGTTGAAGCAAAAGAAATTGGCGAAGAAGAATTCAAAGAAGAAGCAAGAAACTGTTGATGACAGTCAAGATGATGAGATGACAAAATTGATGGGGTTTGGTGGGTTTGGAAGTACGAAGAAATAATAATGCAACAATAAATACACTTAAATATTTACACTCTGTTTTGCTATGTACAATGGAAACCGAATATTTACTCCAGTAGTTTGGTAATATCTTTGTCGGATTTTATCTCATCCACTTTGTTAACAGTTTTGTAATATTTGACGACATCGTCATCATCATCGCCCTTATCTTGACTTGATTTCAAATGGATTAACTTCTTCACAGTAACAACTTTTTCTTCAAATTTCACACTTTCTTTAATATCAGATGGATAATTTATAACAATGAATTTTTTTGAATCAGAAGCTTTCAATTGTTTGGAAATCAAATCAACAAGTAACCCAGTTGGTAATGTTTTATATTCAGCATCATTCAATAACGCATAATACAATGAATCTTTATCCTGTTTTTCCTTCTCCAACAACACATTAGGATCCAATATTTCAAAACCATCAATTTTCAAGCTTTTAAGTTTCTCAGGATCATCACTTTTCAAAAACCAAACACTCTTTTCATCTTGTGTAAAGATAGCTTTTCTACGCTTCAACTTCATTTGTTGTTTGAAATATTCAGATTCACTCATACTTTTGTTACGAGGGTTCTCCTTATTCACAGCTTCAACAACTTGTGCAAGAATGACATATGAGATGATACCAAGAGCTATGAAGTTACGGAATCTTGGACCTCTATCTGGATCTGGTTTTGATGAATTGTTTATGCATCTCTTGAGCAGTGGGGTTGGGGTTCTGATTGAACGTAGTGTTGACTGTTGACACAATGGCCTAAAATTAGTGAAACCACCTCTCAACATAATGAAAAAGTAAACTTTTGGAAAATGAGTTTGTACTTCTCTGCATGGTCTTTACATGTTAACGGTTTTTGAATTTTTTCGAAACCTCGAATGATAAATTCGCGACAGATTAATTGGGTTGAGATTTTGGGCTTGAAATACACTGATTTGGGGATGTTCTTGGAATCCAAAATACTGGAAACTTGAGCAAACTAAAGATCAGCTTCTTAATAATTTTTATTTGATCTTAAAACACGTTATTGTCTCCATTATATTCTAGATATTCAAGTATTCCAAACCCAAAGTTTGAGTGGCCATACCGAATATTTTTATCGAATTTGGTGAAAAAAAGTTGAAAATTCTTCGATTAAATCAACATTATCAAATAGCACAAGTTTTGGAATCAACAGCAACTTTGTCAATCATCATGTCTTTAGTCAATTTGGGAAATATTGCTGCTCATTTACAAAACGTCACCAGAGTTCATCTAGCCACAACATCGATTCCATTCTCAAGATTACACTTGGAAGTGGCTGCACATTTATACAAGCAAGGTTTCATAAGTTCTGTTCAAAGAGGATCTTTACAAGGTCCAGATAAAGTTCCAACTGAAGTCACACCAGATAACATTGCTACAAGAAGATTGTGGCTAGGGTTGAAATACAGAGGAACTGATTCTGTGATTAGAAAGTTTTCATTAGTTTCCAAACCAAGTTGTAGAATCCATTTGAATAAAGATGAATTGAAGTTATTAGCTGCTGGAAGAAAAGTTAGATTGATTAAACCATTACAGCCAAGTGAGTTGATGCTTATTAAAGATAACAAAACTAAAAAAGTGCTGGATTTGGCCGAAGCTGTGAATAAAGGTGTTGAAGGTGAAGTCTTATGTCGTATTAGATAATGGGAAGAACAAGACGTTGCATTTTTTATTTTGTAAATAGGTTACATTCATGGATATATTTTTGGTGTTAATTAATGAGGCCTCTACGTAGTTTTGCTGGAAAGATTGTACTTTATCTCATTAATTCATAACTCAACTATAGGTCCACTTCCCACACTTCTCCAAGATGTCATGTCAATATTCCAACCTTTCCATTTGCTCAATCTGGCTTTTATTTCAGATAAATTCAGTTGGCTTTCATTTTTGTTGTGTGGCTTGAATTGACTAAATGAAGTTGGGAAGTTTTGTTGGAATGAAGGAGTTGGTGATAATGATAAAGTATCTTCTTGATCATAAGCCGAAGGACCCAATGTATTGTGGTTTGAAGAATCAACTCTTGCTTTTGCCAATTTCGATTCTAAATCGGAAACTTTTGCTTCCAAAGTTTCAAGTTGATCCAAATGCTCTAGCTTCAACATTTTCAAACTCTTGTTTTCATTCTTCAATTTCTCGAGTTCCTTTTTCAGTAATTCGTTCTCTTTTTGAGATTTCAAAAGTGCCTCGTCAGCTTTTGATTGTTGAAGAGATTCCATGAATGAAGGGCCAGAGTCTGGGAAAAGATCTTCTGTTGGATCGCTGGTGGTTGATTCATTGGTTGCAGCAGTAACTGGCTTTTCTTCAGTTAAAGGTTCTGTGACTTTCAATTCTCCAAGTTCCTGTGTTATAGTATCTTCTTCATTTGGTGTTGCTTCAGAAGAAGGGACTTTAGTGCTTTTATTGACTTTATTAGTTGGTTCACCATTCGATTCGTCATTAAGGTCACCTTTTGAGCTATTTTCCAATTCAGCCTTTTCTTGTGTGGTCTCTTCTTTTGGTTCTTCTTTTGGTTCGTCTTTGGCTTCTTCTTTGGCTTCTTTGGCTTCTTCTTTAACTTCTTCTTTAACTTCTTCCTGATCATCCTCCTTCACTTCATCATTTATATCGTCTTTTGATTTGTCTTCTGTTACTGCATCAGCATTGACATCAACTTTTGGACCATCTTCTACTGGCTCAACGCTTTCTTCTTTACCAGATCCTTCATCCTTCTCATCTTCTTTTTTGTCCTTTTTGGTCTTCTTCTTCTTTTTCTTGTTTTTGTTCTTCAGTTCTTCATACTTGTCTCGTTGTTAGTTTTGAAATATCAACAGATATCGACGTTTTCAACCTACTTTTTTTCTAGCTGCTTCAAGCTTTTGTTCCTTGATTTGCTCTTCCGTCAACTCAGTTTCTTTATCAGACATTTTTTCCTCTCTGGATTCAATTGCGTCCAAACTTCATACAAAACTGTTCTAAATGTTGTTGATGAATCCTAAATCAACGTTGTATCAGTTCCGACTGACAACTTCCCAAAACAGAATTTCCGGCAACTGACCAAAAATTTTTGGAAACTAGAAAAGAACCAACCCATTAGCCTCAAATATTGAGCAGTTGCAACCCTTATTCAAAGTATCTAATATCATCATGTCCAGAGGTAACCAAAGAGAAAAAGCCAGAGAAAAGAATGCTAAGAAGCAAGCTCAACAAAAGAAGAAAATCGAAGGTGATCCAAAAAAGAGATTAGAAGACCAAGCTGAAATCATGAGAAAAAAACAAGCTGAAGGTGAGTATTTGAACAGTATTCATTTCTCTTGAGTCGTAGAATACGTAGATCATACTTGTTGTATATAGTGTAAGATTACTAACGTGTTTAATTTTAGCTGATGCCAGAAAAGCTGCTGCTGCCAAATGATCAATTTAAATCAAGATCATCAACTAAAATTTAGAAATATAGAGGATATAAATATGATGTATACGAACTCCACGAAGATAACACGAAAATAAAGGAATATAATAAATGCTGGGATTTTACTTTGATCAAGAAAATTTGTAGTTTCTACACTTTGACCTTAGAAAAAAACAAACCACTCACAATACGAATAATATGCCATTATACAAAATAAAAACTTCCCTTTTTCTTCTAATCTTGATTTTTAGATGCTGCAGCTTCAGCTGTTATTTCCACATCATATTTGAAATCAAAGTATGATTTATCAAAGTTATGAACACGAACATAACCATCTTCCCCTCCGGATGCATAACTAGTACCTTTTGGATGGATAGCGATATAATTTAATGGACCGAAATGACCTTTAACTCTACCAATTTCATCTTCGAAAATTTTGTGATAGAATCTGGCTTCAAATTTACCTTGATTAGCAGCAGTAGTAGTAACATCTCTAGCTTCTTGACCACCACCCAACACAACAAAATTCTTTAATGGAGTTATAGCAGCAGTATTTAATGGAGAATCTGATTCAAATTTCTTCAAAACGTTGAAATTGTCAACATCCAAAATTTTAGAAGTTTTATCCTTTGATGAAGTAATGAAATATGTTTTATCATCAGAGAATTGTAAATCGGTGACTAAACCATCATGTATTTTAACAGAAGTGATGAATTCACCAGTTTCAGCATCATATTTGGAAATAACACCATCTTTGTGACCTGCAATGATATATTTACCCAAGTATGAGAAACCTGCAACTGTAACTCTTTCAAATCCTTCTCTAGTTGGAATAACCAATATTGGTTCTTGTTCTTGTTTTGTATAATCGTCATGATTCACTTTGAAAACAGAAATATCACCTTTATGACCCATAACAGCATCTAAAACTGCCAATAATTTATCATTTTGTGGATTGAATTCAACTCTTCTAACTGGAGATGCACATTTCCAATCATAAACTTCTTCACCGTTTGAAACTTTCCAAAGTTTAGCACTGAAATCAGCAGAACCTGTGACTAATAATTCTGTTTTATTATCAACGTCAAGGGACCAAATTGTACCACCATGACCAACAAAAGTTCCTAATCTTTCACCATTGAATGAATACCAAACAGATGCTTCTTTATCTTTGGCAACAGTGAAAATCAAATCACCTTCACGGTTATATTTAACTTGGGTAAGGGAACGTTCATGCCCTTTCAACAATAAAGGTCTCATCTCTTATACTGTTATTGAATCAACACGGTGCTTTTAATAAACCAATTCATTACATCTTTGACCAGTTCATTGATTTAAAAAAAGTGAAAGTTTTGAAAAAAAAAAGTCGGAACTTGAAATGTACACGTGAGTTTGGGTTTCCGGAAATATAAACGACCTGCGGGTTTTGGCAGTACATTGTGCTAAAACTATATAAATAGTTGATATTTACTTTACAGAGTGAAGTATAGTGCATCTTTTACTCAAAATATGAGCCATGCTTCTCTATTCATCTCGAGATACCTGCTTAAAATTCCATTTCTGCTTAAGATCTTGGTTTTTCTGAGAATCCAATTCTAGTCCATATCAATCAAAAAATCTCCTACAACCAGAAGCCAACGTTGACATGATTGAATGGGACTGAATTGAATGATATGTTTCCATAATCAAAGACCACCCTCTACTAGGTCTTTATGAAACTATCACAAATTTCGTCAATCAACTTGAACACAAGTTTCAAATCTTTTCTTTTAACCATAAACCATTCAACATGAATACCATGCTCTTTCGTATCATTTGAGCAACCATGACAAATAATATCACCTCTTCCATAAAGTTCCCATAATGACTTATGAATAGCTTTTTCAATCTTTGCAAGGTGGATTGGTGTAAAGAATCCATGGTTCAAAACATCATAATGCTTCAGTTCATGATGGTTTTTAGATATGTTTAATTTTGAAAATAATGCAGCCAAAGATGAACTGTAATCCACATAAGGATCAACATAAACAACTGAATGATTACATTTAGCTTCCCATTGCTTCAATCTTTGAGTCACAGTGCCAGTAGTTAAACCTATTTTAAGTAGTATATATTTCTTTGGATCGAAAACCTTCCATTTTGAAACATTGTCAACTTTGGCTAGCTTTTTCACTTGGAGCCAACCTTGCTTCTTAGGTGATTTTGAGAGTAGATGTTGTAGTGTATAGACATATATGTAGCCTCTTTGATAATCTTTGGTTCTAGCATGTTGTAACGAGAGGTTGGTTGATTGATATGTGTCATGTTTGAAGTTGTGTTTGGCTTGATTCTGATGATAATGGCAATATTTTTCTCCATTTGAAATTTTTATTTTACATCTTTGTCCTTTAATGGTGGTTCCATTGCATTGCGAATGGGTCATATCTTCATTTCGTTGAGTAACCAGTATCGATGTTGATTTATAAACTTTGAAAAAGTTTCGAGAAATGTAAACAAAAACAAAGTTCACAATGCATCGGATATTTGCGCCTCTGTGATTTATTGTCAATGTTTCCTTTTAATGCACCAAATTTCTCAGCTATCATTCAATACCTGATGCATTGTGTATCTTATAATATATAAATAAGAAGGTAGCAGTTATATACATCTTATATTATATTGAAAGTTGTTAGACTACGTCGTCGTTGGAGATTTTGCATATAATAATAATATCATAATAATTAGTTTGATCAGACATTACATATTTATTCATGAACGTACTAACATCTTTTCTTTCAATGCAGCAAGTTTTTTGTAATCTTTCTCATACGCCTTGTACTTGACATCATGTCTTTCATCAACACCAGCATCAACTGGAGGGGGAGATTCCTTAACTAACACAGCACTATTAAAATCAATCAGATTTAGTTTATTCTGCTCATCAAACAATATGTTTGGTAAGCGTATGTCCCCATGGACAATGTTTATTCTATGCAATTTTTCCACCTCTGCAGTCAATACCTCAAGATCTTCAATCGAAAACATATCGTGTTCATCAAAATTTATAATTTCTTCAAAACCAATAAAATATCCATTGAAAGCAGGGTTGGCCTCACTAGCAACCATAGCACCAAACCCACACATTTTGGGGCACTTTATGACTTTATCTAGGTTCTGATCTCTTATTTGTTCATCATTGTGAGATTGAATGTTTTGATTCACCTCAACTTCCACTTCATACTTAGTTTTGACTACCCAATCAATAAATTCATCAGGAGTTTGGTATTCAAGTGTTAACAATACAAAGTTCTGGAAATAATAATTTAGTAAATGGTCAAAACTGTATAACTTCAATATCACATTATCAGATCTATTGTCATCATCAACATCAACCTCCAACTTTTGATTAGCTGAATCCGAACTATGCTCGCTGAAAATACTGTTGAAAGTCTCTCTGGAAATTCTTATAACTTGACATAACCCATCTTCATCATTTTGTATAACTTTGTATTCCTTGAAATTTGAAGGAACCCTGGCAGTAAACTTGGGGTTATCACTATGCATAGCAGTTGTTTCAGTTGAATTTGTAATTGGTGACTCGTGACGGTCTTTCACTGAACAATAAGGTGTTGATGAAGGCATGTCTTTATCACCTTGATTAGAAGGTTCCGTTGAATATTTATTTGTGTGATCACTGTCTGATTGATTCATTGTAGAATTTCCATCACTTGTGCCTGCAAGTCTAGTTTGGAAGTTTTCTTCTCTGGAGGTTTGATTAACTCTCTCTTCAGATGATTTGCTAATTCTGTTCATTCGTTGTGATTTTTCTTTTGCATCAGGGGAGTCTTGATCGGCTATTTCTTTTGATATTTCAACCATATATAATACTAATGAAACCAATAATCTCGTAGGTAATTTGTTATTTTGGAACAATGGTGAATTAGTTGACTTTTCCACCCCGTTAAATGTTAGATTGGTAAACACCTTTTTACAAGCAACATCCTCTGAGTTTCCCATAGGTTCATTCTCATCATCTGTGATAAAAAACCAGAATGAAATACCATCACTAATGGATGATGTATCAAGATTTAACCGGCAAGAAAACATGAGAGACTGTCTGATAAGGTCCGAAAACTTTCCATCACTTGTTAGATCCATACATGAGCTAGTTTCTGACAGACTCGGCTTCTTTATCTCAGTAACAAAAGAAGCTTTTTCACAGTGGTTTTGAGCACGCCTTGAAGTATTAGCTGGTACTTTTGATTTATCAGTGACTTCATTGTGTGCAGCTCCATATTCACTAATGGCGATATATCGTTGAAAGCCATGTTGATTATCAAAACCTTTCGATAAATCATTGTTTTCTGAAGCTGTAGATGTTTCAAAATGAGATCGTCCTTTGGAAGTTAACATGGGTCTAGTTCGAGCTGGATTCGAATCATCAGAATGTGCATATTTCAAAACCAACCGAAATATTTCCACGATTGGATCTATTATTTGCATCTTGACAATATTTTCAATTTCACATTCATGAGTTTCACCAGGCCGGATTATAATGCCTTGACCACATGAATTTTCTCTAATCAAATCTAAAGATTCACCGATTGTATCTAGAATTTCATATTTGGGAATCGTACTCATCAAATCATTCATGTAACCCTCCAGTTCTTTTGTTTTCGAGTCAAAAAACCCTTTAGGAATATCTTGATAGCTTGTGTGTACATACTTATTATCCTGAGCTAAAGTTGAATCACTTGAGTTTGACCTTTTTCTCTTGGTTGGTATTGATTGGATTGGAGAAGTTGGAGTGGTGCTGTTGATAAGAAATGGAATAGTAGTTTTATCATCAAGAACAGGTGGATTGATTGAATGATCCAGCTCAACAGTAAACAAAGATGGGAGCACCATAATTAGTTTGTATAAATGTGGTATGACATAGCTATAATGTTCAAATTCTTTGTATCTCAACATTTCTATCCAGTTAAATAATGTTTTCATGGTGTAGCTGTTTATTCTTATTGGTTTACCTTCTTCAGCTTTGAATATGTTGTAGTACTCTATAACACCTTGTGGTTTCACTATTTCTTTGCAAAGAGATTCGAGTAGCAACTCTCCATCATTTGAAAGGGTATCAAAGTCTTTTTGCTCATCAACCGATTGCATCGGACTGAAATCAAGGTCTGGTGTACCTAAGGTTTCTTCTGGCAGTTCTTGCCCCTGTGGGCTGTTAAGCACTTGTTTGATTTGGTCAATTGCTCTAGAACTCATGTCTGTGGTATTCAAATCCTTCTTGAGTTGGATCAGATGAAGTAAAGAATTGAATATTCTCTTTTTCCAAGTTCGCGAACATGGTTTTCATCATCATCAGACACCAGCTTCGACAAACTCTCCATCAACCATCAATTGATAGAAGACTTCAACTAGTTACAACCACTCAATTGATAGTACATCATGTTAATCACCGAATCCTATCATGACGTTAAAACATCATACGGAACAACACTCCGTCTATATGTCTACCATCCAAAAATCCCAAACTACCCAAGGGCAAAATTCCCAGGTGTATTAGTCTATTCAGAAATCTATCAAGTCACAGGCCCAGTCTCAAGATTTGCCAAAAAAATCGCAAGTGAAGGGTATATCTGCGTTGCACCATCTATTTATCATAATTTCGAAGGACCCGAACCATTGAACTATGATGCCGAGGGGACTGACCGTGGTAATGAGTATAAAGTCAAGAAACCTTTGGAATCTTATGATGAAGATAATAAATTGGCTCTAGATTATTTGGAATCTTTGGAAACTTATTCGGGGAAATGTGGTGCCACTGGTATGTGTCTTGGTGGTCATCTAGCTTTTAGAAGTGTTTTGGATAAAAGAATTAGTGCATCTGTTTGCTTTTTCCCTACTGATATTCATGATCATGCATTAGGGGCTGGTGAAAATGATGATTCATTGAAAAGAGCTGAGGAGATGAGTAGAAAAGATGTTGAAATTGTTTTAATTTTTGGAACATTGGATAATCATGTCCCACCAGAAGGTAGAGATTTAATTAGAAAGACTTTGAGGGATCATGATGTTAATTTTACATTTATGGAATTGAATGATGCTCAACATGCTTTTGTTAGAGATGAATCGAGTAAAGGTAGATATGATAGTGCAATTACGTCTGCATGTTTTGGATTTTTATTTGAATTGTTCAATAGAAGATTAAGAACAGATTTAGGTGAAAATGACGGTAAAGAAATTGAAGTTGAACATGTTTGTTAATTTAATTGTTATTGTTTTGATCTGATATTTGTATTAAAATCTATTCTAAATCAACACTTCCACCAGGAACGTATGGATCAACTAAAAATTTTGAAAATTTCTTCAATTTTTCTAAACCACGAACTTCAGTATTAACTAAAGGAACTTTAACCAAATGGAAATCTTCATATAATTCATTCATTTCATTCAAATATTTGTTTTGCATTTTAGATCTAGCTTGACATCTTTTACAAGGATCATCATTTTGTGTAAATAACAATTGATTCACAATAATAGTACTTGAATCTATACCATAAGAATCCAATTCTTGAATTAATCTTTCACTTTCATATAATGATAAAAATTCAGCAATACAAACAACAACAAAAGTAGTTATTTCAGGATCTGTGAATTGTTCATTGATCAAAGCTGTTAATTCTTTTAATTCAGACATTTTGGAATTAATATCACCCATTTGTGCACCACCTAAATTATTTAATAAACCTCCAAATCTTCCAGAAAGTTCATCAAATTTAGCCAGTAATTTTGAAAATGTTTGTGGCAGTTGTAAAAATCTTAGGGTATGACCAGTTGGTGCAGTATCAAAGATAATTGTATCATATTGAATAGTTTCAATATCACCATCTTGATCAGGTTTATTTGATTGGTTTTTAATATGTTTCAGAACTTCCATAAATGATAAAGCTTCATCAATCCCAGGAATGGAAGAAGTTAGGTCACTCATCATGTTTTTCAAAGGATCATTAGATTGAGCAGTATCAAAATTTGCACTTAAATCTTGAATTGTTGATGATGGATCAATTTCCATACATGATAAATTGTTCATACCTGTAACTTTTCTAGCATCTTTACCAAATTTTTCACCAAATGCATCACTTAGATTGTGAGCAGGATCAGTGGAGATTAATAAATATTGCTTTGTTGGGTTATTTAATGCCAATTGAATTGAAATTGATGATGATGATGTGGTTTTACCAACACCACCTTTACCGCCGACAAAGATCCATTTAAGGGTATCGTGTGAGATGATTGATTTAATATTTGGATCTGGAGCTTCGAAATCGTCAGACATTGTTATGGCACTTCTGTTTTTTTGCAGGGGATTTGGTTGAAGAAGCAAAAGATTGTTGATTATTGATGACTTTACGATTTGATTTGATTCTCTGTTGAACTCTCAGAAAATCAAAAAAATAAAAAAAAATGAATTACATAATCTTTGTTCGGTGATCTAAAAGGTTCTACGAAAAAGATAGGCTTTCTAATAGGTTAGGAAGATCTATAAAAGTGTTGATTGATTGGTGTCGAAGGGCAATTGGGCTGGTTATATATATAGAGCAGTGTTGATGAAGTGATTGTTCCTGTTCCCTTTCTTGCACAAGTGTTATAACGGTGTGGTCTGGTTTGTGCAGAGGCCGCGATATCCCAGAGTGTATTTTGACACATTTTATAAATGTTGGAAATTGGAATTGCATTCAGTGAAGATGATGGATTGCACTGAGAATTGTAGAGAATGGAAAACTAGGGCATTGCTGGAGTGGCTGGGGTACTTCATCCTCTTAGGCTCAGAGTTGTTCAGTACTGCTACAATCATATCAAGTGTATGGTCAAACATGCCAGGGTTCTAAGGTAGGCTCATTAGTACACTACATGCCATGGATTTACTATAATTTACAACAATATTCATACATTATACAACATACAACATAATGCTATTGTGGAAGTTAGTAAAAATGACATTTCACTAAGTAAGTTCTCTTCTATATTTCATCACACTAGTATAATCAACTTGTAATAAGAGGTACTCCCAATCAACAATTGAATTAATCATTGCACTGTAGCGAACTGGAACCACCCATATTCATTCAAGTAGCCACAAAGAGTAATAGCGCCCGGCTAGTAGTACTTGCTGCTCCAAGTGATGATTCTTTTGTTTTTGTGTAATTTTACAAAATCCTTTCAATATATAATTAAAAAGACCTGGACATTTCACTCACAACTCTTCCACCTCTTTCTTTTGGAGTTCTTCAGCCTACCAAGTTCTAGAAGATGATTAAGGGTCCCAGGCTGGCCCGACATTTCATGGTTTCCTGAATGTATAATAATGATGAGAAGCACACTTATGATTCTGTTCTTGGGGTTTAGAATCCTCATTTTTGGGGATTCTAAACTGTGAGTGAAATACCCAGCTTATTATAACTAAAATTGACACTGCAAACTAACTAACAAAAACACAAATTAATATAATTATATAATTCAATTTCATGTTCTTTCCCTCTAAATATTGTTATACTAGTAGCTGCCCCATGATAACTTACCAATTATTACCAAAATATAATAATAAAAAGCTTATAATGGCCCTCACAGAAGCTGTAGAGTAGTAGTCCTTGTAGAAAACATAAATAATACCGTGTTAGTATGACCGTTACATAATTTGAACCTTTTATAGTACCAGGGTTGAGAATTTTTATTAATGTGAGTTAAATACGATAAGGCTATTTCACCAGCTCTCACATCGCCTCCACAGATGAGTAGTTAAGCGGTCCAAAAATTGTAGCCAAAGAAGCATTAGAGCTTAAAGATCACCATCAACATAATTGCAAGGGGTTCTTGAATAGGGTTTGAATAGTTTGTATAAGAGTTGAAGGATCAAAAATGGTTAATTACACTTCTCTGTTTTTTGCGACCGGCCCTCGAACGTTGGAATCTGTCAATCAGTCCGTCTAAATCCAGTCTATTTTTGGTGCCATCAGACTTATACAACACTCTACGACACCGAGATACATAAAGGTAATATATGATAATTACATAAAGGGGATAACAAACAATATCATTAATACGATTAATGAACTGACCAGTTTGTACTTATAGTATAACGTAGCTACTAGCTGGAATAATATCGCTGAGAAAAAGAGAGCTTTGTAAGTATCCATGCACTAGTACAGCTGACATGATATTTGAATCAAGTCGTATACAATATCTTTATTAAAAAGCAAAATTCAGTCAATATCTTCGACAAGCAAAACACATGTATACGTACTTGGTATTGAATTACAAGGACGACCTACTCTAATCAAATCATTCAACATGCTTCCACGTGACATTCACGTGGTCTCCACTTTTCGGCTTTGGCGCTTGAGTATTCCCAATCTGGGATTGGCCCCTCTCTTTGTGTCTCGTCAGTTGATGGTTAAAATGGAAAAACTAATTTCAAGGTGTTGATTAAATTCTAGTGGTTAAATGGTTGGTTATTGGCCTAATTGCAACCTATTGACCTGTAGCAACTCTACCACCACATCCCACAAACTTCCCTTATCGTTCCCCTTATCAGCAACTGCCTATTGTTTGTGGTTTTTTGGCAGTTGCTCCAGGTGAAGTCGGAACAACTCGTTGATACCCAGTCAGCCTCACCCAATTCCGGTCTCCTAGTGAAAATGTACGCGATGAGCTGAAATGAAAAAAAATCAACCATCTCAAATCCGAAAAAATTTCTGTGATTCATAAAATTAAATCAACAACTCTCTAGAACCAATCCCCAAACCGTGTTTGTCCCCCTTTGCCAAAGGATTAGATACTACTGTTCAAAGGATGTTTGCTAGACCAAACGCTGTCAAAATGATGGCTTCTGCTACTAAGTTGTCCACAATGAGCCCTCTTGCTGCTTCTGCCGCCCAAAAAAGATTGTTTTCTAGTGCAATCACTAGATTCCAACAACAAGCTGGTAAATCAACCCCAAAGAAGTCAATCTTGAGAACTACTGGTAAAGTCTTGTGGAGAACTACCTGGATCTCTGCTTTATTAGCCTCTTCTTATGTCGCTTACCAAATTTATGAAGAATCTAATCCTTCTTATCAACATCCTCAATCTCCAACTTTCCCAAATGGTCAACCAAAGAAAAACATTGTTATCTTGGGTTCAGGTTGGGGTGCTGTTTCTTTATTGAAAAATTTGGACACAACTGAATATAATGTCACTATTGTTTCCCCAAGAAATTATTTCTTATTTACTCCTTTATTACCTTCTGCTCCAACCGGTACTGTTGAATCAAAATCTATTATTGAACCAATTAGATCAATCGCAAGAAGATGTAAAGGTGAAGTTCTCTATTATGAAGCTGAAGCTACTAAAGTTGATCCTGTAACTAAAAAAGTCACTGTTAAAGGCCAAGATTCCGCTAAAAATGATGTTGTTCAAGATTTATCCTATGATTATTTAGTTTGTGCAGTTGGTGCTCAACCAAATACTTTTGGTACTCCAGGTGTTTATGAATATGCTTCATTCTTGAAAGAAATCTCTGATGCTCAAATCATTAGACATAAAGTCTTAGATTCAATTGAAAAAGCTAGTGTTTTACCAAAAGATGATCCAGAAAGATCAAGATTATTAAGTTTTGTCGTTGTTGGTGGTGGTCCAACCGGTGTTGAATTTGCTGGTGAATTGCAAGATTTTGTTGATCAAGATTTATCAAAATGGTATCCTGAAATTTCCAAAGAGATTAAGGTTTCATTAGTTGAAGCTTTACCAAACATTTTATCAATGTTTAATAAAAAATTGATCAAATATACTGAAGATGTCTTTTCTGAGGAAAATATCTCTTTGAAATTACAAACAATGGTTAAAAAAGTTGATAGTAAAGTTATTACAGCTTCAATTAAAAACGCAGATGGTACTACTACAATGGAGGAAATCCCATATGGTGTCTTGGTTTGGGCTACTGGTAATGGTGGTAGAGAAATTACAAAAAACATTGCCGGTCAATTAGATGGTCAAACTTTTGCCAACAGAGGTTTATTAATTGATGAATATTTAAAAGCATTGGGTAGTGATTCAATCTTTGCCCTTGGTGATTGTACATTATCTAAAAAATATGCACCAACTGCTCAAGTTGCCTATCAAGAAGGTATTTATTTAGCCAAATTATTTAAAAACTTGGCCAAGATTGATTCTTACAAATATGAATTGAATAACACTGTTGAAGCTTCTGAAAAAGCTAGAGTCTTGTCTAAAATCGATAAAGTTTCAAACTTTGAACCTTTCCAATATGTCCATCTTGGTGCTTTAGCTTATATCGGTTCTGAAAGAGCTGTTGCTGATTTATCTTGGGGTAATTGGTCTAAATTATCATTAGGTGGTTCCTTAACTTTCTTGTTTTGGAAATCTGCTTATGTTGGTATGTGTTTAAGTTTCAGAAACAGATGTCTGGTTTGTTTAGATTGGATGAAGGTTAGTATCTTTGGTAGAGATTCTTCCAAAGAATAAAGTGCTCCCCCCAGCTGATTATGGTATTCAAACCTATGCATGTGCCAATCATGTGTCATGATGTGATTTAATTTTTTTTAACTTTAATTTTGGTTTATTGATAGAAGAGGGATGATAATTTCAACAATTTTAATATTCAAACTGTGTTTATAATTATTTCATAATTAATATTCAAATACACTACTTCCCTGCATTGACTTTTTCCCGCGTAAGCTTACTACTTTTTTTCTTGTAATATAGTACATGCCGTTTTATATTAATGAATATCTATAACTGATCCCCCTGCAAAAACTCCAACTGTTGACTAACTTTTAAACACCAAGTTTCAGGATGTCTAACACCTTTAATAGTCATATCACCATGTTCACATAATATCCACTTCATAGTTTCCCAAATCTTGGCTTCAAAATCATACCCCAGTTCTTTAATCAACAATTTCGAATATAAACGTCTTCTATTCCCATCCCCATCATGGATTTGTCTAAACCCCTTCCCATCAATTCTCCAAGGGTATAATTTTGGTTGATTACAATGCAAAAACAACGTTTCTGAGTTCTTAAACCTATGCATATGATAATTATCCTTTGTACGATCATATGGGAACTTGCTCTTGAACGTTTTTGGATTTCTAGTTTGCATATAATCCAAAATTGGATCATATTGACCCATTGCTGCGATTTCAATGTTTCCATTTTCATAAATTTCACCATATTCTCTGATATATTCTTGAACTTGATAATACGGTAGTCCAAATTTATGAGCAGCTGCTAACAGTGTCTCCTTATCACCTTCACCTGCTTGACCTTGTGCAAATAATGGGTAGTAATAATTAGGCCCCCAATAGTTATAGTATAATGAAAGAAATAATGTCTTTGCATGGATTTTCTTATTGATGAGCACTTGGCCAGTCTCTGAAGACGCTTCTGGGAAGGCACGTTCTAGATCGTGATAGGAGACTTTAGCATTATAATCTTCAAGCGTTTTCAAACCGTCTGGGTGATCCCTTTCATCACCATAACTGAACCGGACTTGATTAGTCTCATTGATGGGTATATCAGCAATTTCATAAAATGCAGGAGAGGTCGATCTTCTCCAAAAATCTGGCCATATAACTAAAGGTTTGGAAATGAATGGTTCGTTGATGAATAACAAGTCTGGGTTTTTCAAAGGTAAGTTATCAGAATCTAGCATTAGCACATTTTCAAATGATGTTAATAATAACGCCATTGATTTTAATTGATATCCTTTTATTTTGATCTTCTTCGTATCGATATAATTTGACATTAGGATACATTTAGCACCAAATACTGGGAAGATTCGATCACAAAGATCCACTGAATATTCATTTTCATTGGGTATGAACACTTCTATTGGTAATTTTGAACCAAGATCACGAAGCATCTTGATTGATAAAAGTACTAACCAATTATAATTCCCACCTCCTGCGTATAATATACCGTTTCCTTTGAAATTTTTGGCAATGTTTTCAGGGAATTCAGTTGGCATGTTTTCTAAAAACACTTTATGAGAGTTTTTCAAATTGACAAATTCATTTTCTTTTAAAAGAAAGAAGGATTTAAGGTAATCTTTGGATCTTATTGGATCAACTCCGTTATTTTCACGTAGTTTCCCTGATAACACTGGTAATTTCCCATCCCAATTAGTTTGGTATGAATTTGATTTATTATAATGATCACGATTATTTATTGGTCCGAATGATGGTTTCGTATCCAAGATTTTTTGAATCAATTGATTGTTTATGAAGTCTTTAAACTCTCCATATTTGTTCAACCCAGCTTCGATCTTATCAATATTTGTATAATCTGAGAAATCCTTATTTTTATAATATTCATCATCACCATAATCATTTATAACATGACCATCTGTAATGTTTTGAGTTTCAGGTTTCTCTGGATGTGCTTTAATCACAGTCAGATCCGGTGTTTCATAATAGGTTGATCCTTCAGGTTTTGCCTTGTTATAACTAACTTGGAACTCTTTTGAAGGTTTGTATAGATAAAGATAGTTTAGTTGAAGTATCACTAAACATAACACCGATATGAATGATATTAAAACTATTCTTGATCTTTTGGTTGAATTGACTCTACGAACCAGTCGTTGAACTAATTGACCACCTTCTCTTATGTACTTGACCATGCTTTTGATGATTTGTTTATATGATATTGGTTATGATCTGTGTTGAAGTAGTGTCCTTGTTGTTTTGACGATTTTTTGACGATGGTGTTGATCGAGGCTATAGCTTCACAGATCAGCGTACCACACGTAAATTATCTTCACGTACTTGAAAACTTTGACTAATGGATTTCTAGTTGGAAATAATGATTGATGAAGGGTTCAATAAGGCAAGCGAGTGATTTTGAATGGATTATATGGAAGATTTTTCAACAAGTTTGTGATTTGAACAAGGCTTTGCACATTAATTATTTGGAAAAAATGTCGAGTATAAAAGGCGCTCCAGGCCTGGCAAAAATGGCAGTCGCGTTTCCAGAAGGAAAAGCTGCTACGCCCTGAACAGCCAGAAATTTGTTTGTTGTAGTGGTTATGATGGCTTAAATGGCACCCAGTTCTTTTAAGTAATTCACTATTTGAGGCTTCTTAGTTGTGTATGGTCCGCTGGTGACATGAGTGTCAAGGCTATCTGATAACGTTCGTCTAATCACGTTTTTCAGGTACCAAAAAGTTTAGATCCAAGCAGACTTTTACATGGCCCAGACGTTCAAAAGGAAAGTACATTTGATATTTTATCATTGTCTTTGATGGGAGTTGAGCGATAATGCCTAAAGTGGGACTAGAATTCCCTAGTTCCCATCATTATTATACAAAGTATACAACCATGATTCTTTGATCTAGATCCTCGAGAAGCTTTTATGCTCTCGGGTAGAAAATCTTAAAATTATGGGGAAATGCCCCAATTAGGCAAATATCTAGATACAGACACCTGTCACGTGATACACCTTAGATATAGAGATCTAATCTAGATTCTATTATAACTGCACATTTATTAACCATTACTATTACAAACTACTCAAAGCTTATCCTTCTTCAAAAAACTCAAATGATCACTAACCTTTTCACACCAATTACCAGCTTCCCCTACCAGACCTTGCAATTTCAAATCACCTTGCTCACAAACTAACCATTTCATAGCTTCCCATATCCTTGCTTCAAAATCATAACCCAATTCCTTGATTAATAGTTTGGAATACAACCTTCTTGGTTTCCCATCACCATCATGAACATGTCTAAACCCATTTCCATTTATTTTCCATGGGTACAATTTTGGTTGATTACAATGGAGGAACAACATCTCTGAGTTCTTAAATCTATGCATGAGATAATTGTCCTTTGTACGATCATAGGGGAATTCACTCTTGAACGTGCTTGGATTTCTTGTTTGCATATAATCCAGGATTGGATCATACTGACCCATTGCTGCAATTTCTATATCACCATTACCATAAATCTCACCATATTCTCTGATATACTCTTGAACTTGATAATATGGAAGACCAAACTTGTGTGCAGCTGCCAATAAAGTTTCTTTATCACCTTCACCTGCTTGACCCTGGGCAAATAACGGATAATAATAGTTTGGCCCCCAGTAGTTGTAGTATAGTGACAAGAATATTGTCTTTGCATGGATTTTCTTATTGATCAAGATTTGACCAGTCTCTGAAGATGCTTCTGGGAAAGTACCTTCAATATCATGATACGAGATCTTTGCATTGAAATCATCTATAGTCTTCAACCCTTCTGGATGATCTCTTTCATCACCAAAACTAAACCTAACTTGATTTGTTTCATTCACTTGAATACCAGCAACATCATAGAAAATTGGACTAGTGGATCTTCTCCAAAGATCTGGCCAAATCACTAATGGCTTGGAAACAAAAGGTTCATTAACAAACAACGTATCAGGATTTTTCAAAGGCAAGTTATCAGAATCCATCATCAAGACATTCTCAAATGAAGTCAACAACAATGCGATAGATTTCAACTGATACCCTTTCACTTCAATCTCAGTCGTATTGATATAGTTTGACATTAATAAACAACTGGCACCAAAAGCAGGAAATACCCGCTCACAAAGATCTATGGAATATTCATCTTCATTAGGGATGAACACCTCCACCGGTAATACTGACCCAGAGTTTCTCAAAAGTCTTATTGATAGCAGTACTAGCCAATTATATTCACCACCACCGGCATACAGGATCCCATTTCCTTTGAAATTTTGTGCAATATGCTGTGGAAATTCAGAAGGCATTGCATTGATAAAGTCTGTGTGAGATTTTTTCAATTGAGTTCTCTCTTCTTGATTGAGTTGTAAAAAAGAAGACAGGTAATTCTTGGTCCTTACTGGATCAACACCATTATTTTCACGAAGTTTTCCTAATGAAACTGGCATGCGACCTTCTAACCCAGTATGATGTGAATTTGATTGGTTATAATGTTCAGGATTGTTTATTGATGGGAATGTGGGTCTTGTGGTGAGTATATTTTGGAAAAGTTGCTTATCTAGGAATTCTCTAAATTCTTTATACTTGTTTAGCTTCTTGTTGATTTTTTCATTATCTATGAAACTCTGGCCTTGATCTTTTGGTAATTCATTGATTATATGTGTTATTGTCCCTTCACCAGGGGTAATATCTGTGGATTCTGGTCCTGTGATAATTTTCACTGGAACTGGAGCTTCATAATATGATGATTTCTCACTAATCACACCAGGCTTGTTGTTGTCTGTAGATCTTGTGTGGAATGTGGTAATATAATTTAGTCTTAAAAGAACAAGCAGAACTATGGGTATAATGATGAGTATCAAGAACCTTGATCTTTTGAACAAATGGGCTATAACGCGTCTTGGAGAAGTGGTTTTATGGTGAGATTCACTGGACCTGGGAAACGTCCGCCAGTACTGCTTCATTGTCTGATATGGAACACGATCTATGAAAGGATCAAATCAGGCTCTGATGAAGGTGATGTAAATAATCCTTGAGTGAATATCTGTTGATTTGACTAGTGCAAACTGGGGTTGATTATATATGTCCTGGTGGTTGATAACGAATCTTAAAATCGCAATATTATTCTTGATTGATGAGCTGCAAAAAATTTTATTCAACTATTTGAACAAGATTCTGAAATGTAACTGATTATTGAATAACAATAGTAACGGTATTACGTTCTGCCTTCAGCCAAAACAAAGTCGAAGACGTACTTGATATTGTTCAAACTCCCTCCAACTGCTGGTCCTTGTTTTGCGATCTGGTGGCTGCTGATCTCGAAGCTCATCACTTTGCTAAACATCGCGTAATCTACAAACAGCACAATATACATATGGCCTATTCGTTCACGAGACCTCATATTCTCTTAATTACATGACTCGTTAACTACTCTCATCGCATTTATCCTTAGCTATAACCCACAACTCTTCGAACTTGAAGGTCTGCTCCAGTCAAATACCAAGCTTCAGCCGTTGAAAGTAGCTACCTGCGGCTCCAAACTCTGAATCCTGACACTAAATGTATCACAATCGTGTACTCAAAACTCAGTTCCTCAATAGCTTCTCATATAAAAATACACTACCATCTAACACCCAACTCACCAATCAGTCCACCCATTTAATCCCCCCTGATATGTCACTTTAGTTCCTTGTGCTTTGATCAAGATCTCAGATACAAATCAAGCTTTTTCCAGGCTGACATCTCCGAACAGTCCCAAAACGGTAATTTGTTAGTCACATGATCATAAGCATGACTTTCACGTGAGCATCCGGGTAAAGTCCGATTTTTTTTTCTTTGGCAAAATTGTGACTGAAAAATTCCAATTTGGATGATGGGTTTTGAAGGCCAAAAAGTGTTGTCAATTTGGAAAGCAAAAGTTATTTGATCTGGTATCATTTATCACTTATAATAATAAAATAATGTCTGCTGATCATACAAGAGATCCCTGTCCAATCGTCATCTTAAACGATTTCGGTGGTGCTTTTGCCATGGGTGTATGTTGGAAAGCTTTGAATTGTTGAGATTCGTATATATTAACAAAATATCTTTTAGGTTATTGGTGGTTGTGTTTGGCACGGTATTAAAGGTTTTAGAAACTCTCCATATGGTGAAAGAAGAATAGGTGCAATCAGTGCTATAAAAGCTCGTGTTCCAGTTGTTGGTGGTAATTTTGGTGTTTGGGGTGGGTTATTTTCAACATTTGATTGTTCTGTTAAAGCTGTTAGAAAGAGAGAAGATCCATTAAATGCAATCATTGCAGGTTTTTTCACAGGTGGTGCCCTGGCTATTAGAGGTGGTTGGAGACATACAAGAAACTCTGCCATCACTTGTGCTTGTTTATTAGGTGTGTTTGAAGGTGTTGGTATGATGTTTCAACGTTATATGGCATGGCAAAATAAACCTATTGCTCCTCCTTTACCTGATCAACAACCTCTTGCTTAAATCAAATACTAATACCATAAAAGAAATTTGAGATCCATCAAAAACAACTTTCAACCCTCCATCCTATTTAATGACTATTTTTTCATGAGATTTAGATTACATATCAAAAAAAACTTTCCAAATCATTTTTAATTATTTTGTACATATTGTCCTTGTATGTGTGTGTTACTACTCATATAAACAAATCACTTTTAATAAATTTCGTAGAATCATTAAAACTATTTATACCATTTGTTACCACTTTTTGCGCTTGTCTTCATATCATTAAAATCACCATTATTCTCATTATTAGTTGCATTGATATTTCTTAAACCTGTACCTGGTGGATTCCATTCACCTGTAAATTTCTGTTCAGTTATAAAAGGATGTAAGATAGCTTGTTGAGGTGTCCATCTTTCCAAAGGATTCAAATTTAACAACCCACGTAATAAATTCACTAATGAAGCACGATCATTTTGTTCTTTTTCAATCATTGAAGTTGTCATTGTTCTCTTGTTATGAAGAGTATACTTCATAATCAATTCTTCTAAATCATTTGATTTTAAATAATTCTTACCAGGAGTTTCATTAACTTGTCTTTCTGCACTATATTTTTCAATTGATTTGATTTTAAAATTTTGAGTGAATTCATCCTTCTCCAAGAAATTTTTAGCATTTTTACCCATTTCAATCATCCATGTTGGTGGCATTCCTAAAATAGATGTGATTTTAACAATCTGATCATATTCTGAAGAACCTGGAAATAAAGGTAAACCTAAAAATAACTCAGCAATAATACATCCTAATGACCATGTATCTATTGATGATGTATATGGCAATCCCAAGATCACTTCTGGTGATCTATAAAATCTTGATTGGATATAAGTGTATAAAGTTTGACGTTCTTGACATGCAGAACCAAAATCAACAACTTTGATATCAGGCTTATCTGGTGCAATCAACAAAATATTCTCGGGTTTCAAATCACAATGAATGATTTTAGATTCTTTCAAAACACATAACGAATCCAATAATTGTCTTGTGAAGCTTCTAACCAATTTTGTGCTTAATCCTTTATATTGATTTTGTTTAATCAATTCAAATAGATTTGATGATAATAATTCAAAAACTAGACATAAATGATTTTTATGGATGAATTTATCCTTCAATTGTAAAAAATGATGCTTATCCATTGGATCAATTTTCCTATTGATCAACTCCAATATAGAAATTTCTGATAATGATTGATTTATAAAAGCCGGTTTTGAATTAACAACCTTAACGGCAACCATTTCTTTAGTCTTCAAGTTTTGACACTTGACAACTTGTGCAAATGTACCATGTCCCAATATATCCAAGACTAAATATTTCCTATTCTCTTGACCTCCTAAAACATCATTCACATACAATATATAATCATTATCTTCATTATCACATCCATTATTCGATTTACCTTCACTTGGCTTTGTCAATACTCTCTTGGGGTTCTTTGAAACTTCATAATTGAAATCACCATCACATAAGGAATAAGTTGTTGTCAAATCAGTAGTTAATGATAATAGTGGAGATATATAGTTAGACCCCATTGAGGCCCTTCTATATTTTGGGATTTTGTTCCTAATAGGTTTCAATTCATTCTTGTTATTGATTTTCCGTATCTGTGGTGGTGGTAGTTGTTTCAATTGTGGATATGAAGTAATAACAGACTGTCTTCGTTGTTGGATCGGTGTTAAATATTGTTGTTGTGGAGTGCTTTGCATCACAGTCGCCACGGATTGACGTCTTTGAGGTTCTGTATTCAATTGCACTGTAGAGTCTGCGAAATAAGCAGGTGGTGGAGCTGGTGCCCTTATTGGTGGATTTTGTATTAATGAATTTTTTCTTGATATATCAGCATGCATTCCATCATATTCATAAGTTGTTGGTAATTGATTGTTAAAAGTTGAGTTTCTCGTTGGTGTGTGTTGCAGTAAGCTTGGTGGATTGATGTTTGATGTGTTGTTTGTTTGGAATTGAGGTAAAGATGAACTATTTGGAGATTTTTGAGGATACCATGGATTTTTGAATTGGTTTGTTGGTGATCCATATGGGGATAAATGTGGTTTTTGTTGAGGAAAAGTTGAAGACGGTGTTAGGTCAAATTGTCCTCCACCTTGAGATAATCTTGGTGTCATATTCATTTGATTTTGTCTATAGTTATTATTCCAAGTTATTTCAGAATTATAAGATCCAGGCGATGTCCCTTGTTGTTGATTATAACTATTTTGACGTTGATGTTGATAAGGTGATAAATAATGTTGTTGTGGATGTGGTGGTTGAGCTTGTTGTGTAGGTAGGGGAGGGGGCTGCATTGAACCTTGTTGATTCTGTTGATTCTGTTGTTGTTGTTGTTGTTGTTGTTGTTGTTGAGATGCTAGACCCTGATCATACTGATAAGATGTACTTCTTTCATCCAACGAAGGGTATTGAGAGCTGTAATGATAGGACATTGGAATGTATTGTTTGTAGTTTCTTGAATCTTGAGGATTTCAAATGCAATGCCAATAAAAGTGTTGATCAGATTGGAAATGAATGTAATTGATTGATTCTTTGATGATAAAACCAACTTGCTCTCTTTCGATAATAGCCTTCTTGATATGAATATATAAAAAAAAAGTAGATGATGGAAAGCTGGTTCAATTGAGTTTAAGCTAGTACCAGCTAATTGGAGATTATATCACGATCACGCTCAAGGGATTTCTATGGTTGAAGCAAGATCACAACTGTTGAATTCTGGCTGCTTATTGCTCTCATTTAACAAATCAACACACGCGACCGGAATTGTCACCTGAAATGTCATGTGACTTGCCCTCGATATTTAAAGGGCCGGGTGAACTTCGCGAATTCAGCTCGAATGAGTTTCTGAAAACTGATTGAATCTGGTTGAAAATAACATCCAGAGAACATCAACATTTAGTTTTCAACTTGATTCGTTGGTGGTTTGTTTGTTTATTTGGGATCTTTTGTGAAATGAATGTCTCTACTTCTACATCTGGTATCAAGAGAAGAACTGTGAAAACCTTGAACGAAGAAGAGGAAAATGCAGCCACATTACATCTAGGACCTGAATTCGATATTAAACAATATACTCATGATGGTGAAGCTATGGATCTTATTGCCTTGAATTTATCAGAAGCAAGAATCGTCATAAGAACTGCTTTGAAAGAAAGAAAGAAATTGATGACCCCAAATGGTGAATTCAGAGAAAACGTTACATTAAATCCTGATGATGATGAAGACAAGAAAGATGATGTAGATGAAGATGATAATGATGATGATAATAATGAAATAGCAAAAGCTGCCATTGCAGTTGGTGCAAATGAAGTGTTGAAGAAAACTTTAGATTACCTTAGTGTGTTTGCAAGATTTAGAGATTCTGAAACCTGTGCAGCTGTTGAACAAGTTTTGAAAACTCCAGAAAATTCAAACCTACATCCTTTCGAATTGGCACAATTAGGTTCTTTGGCATGTGATGATACAGATGAAGCAAAGACTTTGATACCAAGTTTAGGAAATAAGAAAACAGATGATGAATTACAAAACATATTGAATCAACTATCGAGATTGGAAACCCCATATTGAAAAGTTTACTTGTACCATATCCTTCCAAAAAATGAAAAATAAATCACAAGGATGGAATCATTTCACTTCTAGAGTTTTATCACTCCATGTACTATATAGATATACTTAATGAAAAATAAAAAATCAAAGAGATTTCTGATGTACTAGGTCGTGTGCTTTCTCATCCTCGTCCAACATCACCCTTCTTTGAAGAGGTATGCACATTCAAGATTCTCTGGATCTATACACAAAACAGTTTGGCTGCCATCACTACTCAGTACATAGTTATATCATCATTATTAAATTAAAAAGTTCCTTTATCTTTCAAGAATGTTTTTCCACCAACTTTCCACCATCTGGGTATACAACTATGTTCTTCAATATCAACCACGCTTTCATCTTGAGGATCACACACACATCTTTTACTTAATCTTAATGCATTACTACTTGGACAATTGCCAAAAGGACCATGATAATAACCAATATCTTCAAAGTAATGAATCTCATCCTTATCCATTAATAATGAAACACCCAAAGTATGAACAGGAGCATCACCCCATCTTTCATAATAAAACCCACCTTTTTTATCCAAGTAGTTGAAAAATGCTTCATATGCTTCACTTCTGAAGAAATCCAAGTTCCCAATTTCAAAATTACTCCAAAAATGGCATAAATTATAGTCATTTGCCAAATCTAATCTTATATGCATGTTTGATAATGAACTCATATCTGTGATGAAGTCTATTGAACTATTTGGGTGTAAATATTGTGGATTCTCCTCTATGAAATCCATAACCGTATCGTATAAAGTTGGGATAGTTTCTTCATATTCATGGATTGCAATGATGAACCCATATTTCTTCCCATTTAGTCTCATCACTTGGAAAGGATCATAATTAAAATCACAATAATATTGAACACTAGGTTCCACTCTAAAATACCATTCATATTTTTGTAATAATTGTTGTTTATAGAAAAAACCTGAATTGAAACGACACATATTTCTATAAGATCTTGAATCACCATAAAGCACTTTAGCTTCAGTCATTTGTTGCAAAGATTCTTCAAATTGAGTTTCATTAATCCATGGTGGTCTATTCCAATCTTCACTGGGTATTAAACCATATTCAGTTTCACCTGAAGCCATCAATGACGTGGCTTCAATAAATTCCGCATCAAATGGAACGTCATTTAAAAAAGTCCAAGGATATCTATATTTCTTATTGAACCTATCCTCTAAAGATCTCATTGATTCTAAAGCTTGATCCAATTCCCAGTTTCGTACAAGCATAACAATAGTGGCATTTTCCCTTCCCGGGGTAATATCATCACGAGATTCATCAACTAATATTTTTTGTGAATATGAATTTGTTGCAGGTCTTGTCAAGAATTTCCGTTCTGGATCATAGTGGAATGTTTTAATTTGACGAATGTTTTCAAAATATGTCTTGAATAAGTTTTGTTCATAAACCACACTGTTTAATTTCTCTGTTAAAAACGAAGATGATTGGAAAAGAATTGCTATGATACACGTTATCACGATCCATACTTTTTGAAAGAACCTCATCACGGATCAGGATTCAGCTAAAGAACTGGCAATTGAGAATTGATTTTGTTTTGAATTGTTTTGGTGTCAAGAAAAGCTTCTTTCGAGACTTTTTCGTTTTCGTTCCTGAAAACATCGCGAATGTTTTTTTTTTAGCTCGTACTTGAATTTCAAGATTGACACAATTGAGATGACGAAGAATTAGATTACAAGCTCAGTGTTCAATCTCTTTAACCTATGTTTGATCACTTCTCTACACAGTACTACAATTGGTTATTTCTGTAATGCAAAATGACTCTTATTTCTTACTATAGATTGGCAAACTCATACTATCATTAGTCTTTACAAACATCCCTCTAATTTGATTATTATGTTTCAATAACCCACCAACAGGTTGAAATTTTGGATTCTTCAAAAACTCACAAACTGAAACAATATTCCCAATCAATTTTTCAATTTCAAAATCTGTATATCCAATCTTAACACTTATTGTAGAATCTTTATTTGGAACAAAACTTGTATTTTTAACAATAGATCTAAGTTGATCCCTAACATATTGAGCATCACAAGTCTCCACGCGGTCTTGCTTTTTCGACTTGATTGCATTTGGGTCAGGTTTTGCCATTTGCACCATATATGGTAATTTCTTATGACCCTTGTAAAACATCTCACCCAATACTGATGGTAATAAATGATGTATTCTATGATCAGCCACTATTATATCATATTCATGGAATAGTTTTTTCAATGATTTGTTGGATCTGGAGATTATTTTCAATTTTTTCAATGGCATTATATCTTTGAATAAATCTTCTGTAGGTGATTTTTTACATGTTAATGGGTCTCTATATGGTGTTGATGGATCTTTTGTAAGTAATAGGATTGAGTTTTCTTCGACTCTTGACATTCTATGCGGGATGGGTCTGGATTTAATGTTAGTACTTGATCAATACGATATAATTTGTTTCAGGGGATTTCCTTACATTATTCTGGCAACATGATCATTTTGTTTTGCTAATGGTTTTTCAGTGTTGATGATTAGGTAAATAACTTGTCTGACATCACCTTTCTCCTTGAGCTCATGGGATATCAAGGACTTCAACGCCTTCTTTGTATCCTGCTCGGCAGTTTTAGGTAAAGAGAAACTCATTTATCTGGTCAATAATACCTTGTGTTTAAACAATTGAAATTGATGCTATTGATTTTTTTCGTCTCTATAAATTTTTCGAAAAGTAGTGGCCCATCCACATCACCTTCCTAATTGGGACACTTACCCTTTTGGGCAACTTTCGCTTCTCTGCGGTCAGCACGTTGCAACTTTTAAATTTTACACCAAAACTCTTTTAAAAAGCTGTTCAACGTGTGCAATTAAACCAGAACAGGAGATGTGCTTTGAGACGGACAATTCCCTTTTCAGAACTCGAGGATACTCATCTCTCGTATAAATGAGGTATACTCATTGTCTTTTCTAAGGTATAAATATTAGCTGTTATCCCCCAATTGTCTTTCAAAGTGCCGTCTAATCATTATTACTCGCCATTGTTCACTGGGAAGAATCACCAAGGATTCCATACTACACTCGCTATCATAATGTTGGGAGGTTCAATTTCTGCTTTATTCGCTTTGGCATCCATGGTTAATGCTGCTGCTTCAGGTGACCATGTTGACATTGTCAGTGCTGAACAATATTTACAAAAACCATTGAGTGGGTTCCATCATGGTTCTCAATCTCCATTAGGTGTCTCTGAGACTTACAACTATTGTAACATGCCTAGGGTTAATAATGTCACTTATACTAAAGTTTCAGCTGATTATGAGTTGGTTTATGTTGAATTGATTCATCGTCATCACAAGAGAACTGCTTATGCTTCAAATATGTTGCCTGGTGATATTAAAGAAACATATATGCGTTATCCTCAAATCACCACTGGTGGTAAAACTGATTCTTTCAATCATGGTCGTGATTTATTTGCTGTCTATCATGATACTTTGGGCTTTTTACCAACCGAATATGATGCTTCTAAAGTCCAATATAGAGTGACAAATAATAACATCACTACCCAAGTTTTTGATTCATTAATTAAAGGGATGTATCCATCTTTTAACATTACTCCTGAATTGAGAGCAAATGATAACTTGGAACCAAATTTGAAATGTAAACAAGCTGATAATTTGAAAACTAAAATCAGATCAACAGATATTTGGTATCAAGAATCCAACATGACCATTTATAATGAACTAGCAAAGCAAGATGGTATTAACTCTACAGGATATTCTGGATTTTTCGGTTCAATTGATCATTTCTTTGATAATTTATCTTCAAAGACATGTGCAGGTGATGTTTTAAATGTCACAGATGCTCAATTCAACACTGTTATGAAATTAGGTCATTGGGAATATGATTACACTTTTAGACAATCTCCAAATGCTACTGAGTATGGTATTTATAGATTTGGTAACTGGACTTTAGAGCTAGCCTCACATTTACAAGCTTCAATTGATGGTACCAGTCCAATTATCTATAAGCACAACATTGCACATGATGGTTCAATCTCTGCATTGACTGCTTTGATTAAAGATTTCACAGAGATTAAGAGTTTCCAATGGCCAGGGATGGGTGCTGAATATGTTTTCGAATTGTACAAGAAAGGCAATGATCATTATTTGAGAATCTTGTATGCTAGTCGTGAGTTGGTTTTCGTTGATGTTGATGAATTCTTTGAATATTTGAATCATTTGAACGTTGGTGATATTAGTACTCAATGTTCTTGATCATTATACCCATTTTTCCTACTTCTCTTTTAGTCAAATCCAATGAATTATACTTCTGAATTGGATTAATCTTATTTCTATAGATTATTTATACAAAATGATACAGTTTATATAGTTTACTTCTGATCTCTTATAGTAGAAATTAATAATACTTTACATAATCACATCTGGTTATGCCACTCAAAAATCAAAAATCTGAACAACGTTACAAATGATTTAACAACATCAACATTTTGACCCTTACACCTCAACAACTTCAACCAATCATCATGTCAATTCCTTACATCGCATCTCCTGATCAATTCCAATCTGCCCTACAACGCTCAGAAGCTCTAATCGTCTATTTCACAGCGGTTTGGTGTGGTCCTTGTCAAGCAATTGCCCCAATTGTCGAGAAGCTATATACAAGTTTTACCAATATTGATGTGTTCAAAGTTGACCTAGACTCAAATAAGGCATTGGCGTCTCAACAATCGATTAGTGCGGTGCCAACTTTCATCCTGTTCCATAAGGGTAAAGAGATTAGTAGAATCCAAGGTGCAAATATCCAAGCTTTGAATGAAGGTTTTAAGAAATTGAGTGATTTAGCTCCAAATGCTAAAAGACAAGCTGTCAGTTCAACTAATGAATCATCATCATCAAGTGGTGGATCCAATATTGATGCAACAATTGCTAAATATGTTCCAAAGGGGTTCCAAATCTTGAATGATTCTATATTTTTCGGTGATTTTGAATCATTAAACACTGTTGCATATGATCATTCTAATAAAGATTTAAAGAATTTCATTAGATCTAATCCAGATACAGAATCAAGTAATTCAATCATTTCAGATGCTGATGAACAATTGTTATTACATATCCCTCTAACAAATTTAGCTAAGATTTATTCAATATTGATTAAATTTAAATCTCCAGTTAAAAAAGGTGAAGTGGAGATTGATGAAGTGCAAAAACCTAAAAATATCAAAGTTTGGAATAATAGAACAAGTATTATATCTTTTGAAGATGTTGATTCTTTTATTAGTCAACATGAAGAAGAATTATTAGATAATGGTTGGGATTCTAATGGGTGGTATGAAATTAAATTAAAATATGTTAGATTTCAAAAAGTTTCAAGTATAGATTTATTTATAGATGGTGATGATGATGAATTACATACCTTAGTTGATAAAGTTGTTTTAATTGGTGTTGATGGTGAAAGTAAAAATCAAGGAAAGATTGAAAAATTGGGTGAGGAATAAAAAGGTCATTATACACTACAATTAGATTAATTTTATAATTTTTTTATCAAGTTTATACACCTTGACCAAACAACAAACATAATGAAAATGAAATAAAATGAAATGAAACGCAAAACTGCAAAAAAAAAGAAGAATAGTTGTACAAAAAGTCATTCTTTTAGAATACTTTTTTCAAATTGTGTTCATTCATATTAAAATCATCTCATAAAATTTCCTAAAAATTAACACACACAACCATTTTTCCCTTCTCTCTCTCTCTTGTAGTGACATTATTAAACCTAGTTGAAAATTTCACCAATATCACCTGGTAATTCAGAAATTTGAGTAGAGTAGAATCTTTCAATTTCTCTCATCATACCAACATCTTTATCAGTGACAAAGTTGATGGCAACACCTTTTCTACCAAAACGACCACCTCTACCAATACGATGGATATAGTTTTCTTTGTTTGATGGTAAATCATAGTTAATAACTAAAGAAACTTGTTGGACATCAATACCTCTAGCTAATAAATCTGTAGAGATTAAAATTCTTGAAGAACCAGTTCTAAATTCATTCATGATTGTATCTCTTTCTTGTTGTGATAATTCAGAATGAATAGCTGAAACTGTAAATTTGTTTTCAGTCAATTTTTCAGTTAAAAATTCAACTTTTCTTCTAGTGTTACAGAAAATAACAGCTTGAGTAACAGAAATGGAATCATATATATCCAACAAACAATCCAATTTGTATTGTTCCTCTTCTAAATTGATGAAAAATTGTTTAATACCTTCCAAAGTTAATTCATCCTTTTTAACCAAAATTCTAACAGGATTTCTCATAAATTTAGTAGTAACTTCTAAAACATCTTGTGGCATAGTGGCAGATAATAAAACAACTTGGGTAGTTTCTGGCAAGAGACGGAAAATGTTGTAAATTTGTTCTTTAAAACCTGAAGACAACATTTCATCAGCTTCATCCAAGATAAACATTTTAATTTTATCAGTTCTCATGAAACGACGATCAATCATATCGAAAACACGACCTGGAGTACCAACAACGATTTGAGCACCAGCTTTTAAGGCATCAATGTCATCTTTAGTGGAAGTACCACCAATAGAAGCATGAACGGTAACATTTAAATGTAAACCAATTGATAAAACAACTTTTTGAATTTGTAAAGCCAATTCTCTAGTTGGAGCCAAGATTAAAGCTTGAGTAGCTTTTTCATTTTCATCAATTCTTTGTAATGCAGAGATTGTAAAAGTTGCAGTTTTACCAGTACCTGATTGAGCTTGAGCTAAAACGTCACGACCTTCAGTGATTGGTAAAATGGCACGTTGTTGAATTGAAGATGGATTTTCATAACCATAAGCATAGATACCTAAGGATATAGTTAGTATAAATGAACCAATTATAATCATCATAGGGTAAAATCAGCAATTGATTAAAAGTATTAAATCATCTCTATTGCTTTTTCAATCCCCTGATTTATTGAACTCTCTACCCACCTCTCAAGATATCTTTCTTCAAGTTTAAATCATCAAAAGTGTAAACGACATTGTCGTAGTTTGATTCAATCAAATTAGCATCAACTTCAGTGATACCGTCAGAAGCCATTTTTGTAGTTTCTTTATATGTCTTCAAAAAGAATTTTATCAAAATTAAAGAAAGAAACTTGATTTTGATTCTTTTTTAATTGGGAAAAAAAAAATTTTCAGCGACGAACAGAAAAAAAAAAAAAAATTAATCATACAAAGATTATGTAATCAAGCATTGATTACGTGATATTTGGATGATTCTTATGTAATTTGAGAGTCACCGGGTGATACTAATTTAAAATGATATAATTGATGAATTAATTGTATTTTATGTTATTGTTTAATCAATTCAAAGGGTAGTTATTCTATTGGATAGTATTCTTTATAGAAATTAAATGTTTTAATCAAACAACTCACCAAACTCACCCAAAACGGAAATCAACCCGAATCAGGAAGGCGCGATGAGCATAAGGTCTCATACAATTTACAACAGAATATTAACTTCATTTCAAGTTTATATAAATCAACTTCTTTTGCATGTATATTTAATTCAATAAACAAATTCTTTGGCATATGACAGTATAATATTTCTATATCTAGTGCACAGTTCTTTTAAATTATTAGCAAATTAACTATTTCCAAAATGGACCTTTCTAGAGTTTTATTAGGATCATTCTCCATCCTTCTCAAAGTGATGATCTATTCCCTGATCCGGACCCTCATCAGAGGGTTCATCTCCCTCATCAAGACCCCTTGGATTTTGACCAGGACTTGTCATTTGTGATGTGTTGAAATCAGGTTCGGTGAAGATTGGCTGGATGTCTTTTGTCAAGGTGTCGAATTCTTGATCATCTTTAATCTCTTGCTCAATTGCATCCTGTGCTGGGTCATTCTGTGGAATGGTGGTTATGGACTCCAAGGGTTGTTCAAGTCTTTGCAATTCTGCCCTTCTTCGAACATCCTCAATTTCTTGTTCTTTTGCTAATGATTCAGCTCTTTTCTTTGCTTGTTCAATCTTGGTTTTTTTTTCAAATTCCTGGACTTGTTTAGTCTTGGTGGAGATCTTGTTCAGGATTGGTAAATCTTGCCATGGATTATCAAATGAATAATCAAAATTATTTGAAAATGAACGTTCAGGTTTTGAATCTTGATGGAATTCCCAGGGGAAGATAGGAGGTGGTTTGAAATATTCCTCTGGTTCATAGACTAATGGCTCATCATAATGTTCTTGGTGCTCCTGGTGTTCTCCATGTTCTTGTTGAGGCTCCTCGTGGTGTTGGGGCTCGTCATGGTGCTCTTGCTCTTTATCCCACTCATTAACATACTGATCCAAAGCTGGGAAGTTGAAAGCCTCAGGCTGTCCATCAACAGGAGGTTCTTCCCTTGCCGGGTCCCAATGGTGTTGATCAATCTGCACAGTTTCGAAGACTTCAAAAGATTGAGGATTTGTTAAAACTTCATTCGCTTGGTCTAATGAAGATTTAACGTGTTCAATCTCTGGCTCCACAATAGGTTCAATGTGTTGTTCAATGATTGGGGCAGTTGGAACAGGCTCGATGTAATACCTAGGTTTTATCCCATGAATAACTTGTTGAATATCTGCATCATTTCCGTAAAATTCATGGAATTTCCTCCACCATCTCCATTTCTCACCATCTGATCTGTCTCCAGAGTTCCATGGTTTTGAGGAGCCTATGAAGTGTAATAACTTGATATCATTTTGGAAGTATTTGTATGCGGGTTCATATTGGTATTGACCTGAAGGTGTGACGTTGTATAAGAATGGTAATTTGATCCAGTTTTCATTTTGGAAATATTGGTTTAGTAATCCTTGGTCAGCACCATCAAAAGATGGGTTCAATGATTGAGTTTTTTCAAACAGGTTGGAATAGGTTTCTAGGGATGGTGAGATTAGGAAAACACCTGAATTGAAAATGTCTGGCCATCCTGAATCCGGGGATGCAACGATTTGGGTTGGTGAGATTGCCATTTGGAAAAGATTGGATAAGTTTGATAATGGTAATGTATCCGCATCTAGATATAATAATTTTTCAAATTGGGTTAGTTTGAACAAGTTGATTTTGGAGAAGGTTGGTTTTAATTCAGGTCTTTTCAATAAAGATAATTCATGTGTAGAGTTTGAATGGATTAAATCCGTTTCTAATATCTCATCATAAACGTTCTAAATAGTTTGTTAGTCGTTGTTCCCGTAATTTGTTGAATGATACTCACTTTCAATTGATCCATTTCATAATCAGTCAATGAAGTTGCCAATAAAACCACCAATTTAACATCATTTGGTAAACCAAACTGTTTCAAAGTCTTTCCCAAGACCAAAGCCCCTGGTAGATAACTTTGAGTGAATAAGAGAGTAGCTATAGCGTTAACCATTGTAGTGAAAAGAGTGTGGGATGGGGGTGCCCCTTGTTAGGATAAAGGAATAAGGAAGAGATGGGGATTCCTTTGTTCTAGATGAGTTGAGCAGAGGGAGGTTGTGCTGGATGGTGATGGATCCTTGGGTTCCTTGGGAGAGAAGGTGGTGGTGATGGAAGCGGATGGGATTGGTGTTGAAATTGTTGTTGTAGGGCTTGTTTTGTTTTGTTTGTTGAGTATCAGAAGTTGACAGTTTGTTTTGGGATGTCTTGTTTGTTTGGCTGCTTGAGAGGATTAAAAGGGTGGGATTGGAGAGTGTATTATGAAGTGTTTTATATTACTATAATCTATATCATTATAGTCTATATTATAATACGTTATATTAATATATATTATATTGTATTACTATATTGTATATTCTATTTTATTAAGTATTCTACTCTATTTCTCTATTACTGATTGATATCCACCATGTGTATTCTCCAGATTGTTACATGCCCAAGGAAATACACGGAAGTGGTGGGAGTAGAGGGTAACACAGTGGTAATTTAATAATAAATACCATCATATAGCCATACTAATCTATTATTTAATATTCTATTCGTTAATATTCCTTTAATCATTTAATTCCTTTCTCTTTATTCTCTTCTATTCCATGTGATCATAACCGTTACTCTCGCTTAACCTCATCATAAAACACATTCGCGAACACAAAAAATGAATCTATAAAGCACATCTACAGTGAAACCCTTAGTTTACAAATAATCAACATTCACTATACATGTTTCAATCATTTCAACACCCCCCAATTAATATTATTCTTTTTTATATTATTATGCAAAATCCTAACGAGAGTAAGACCAGACATTTTTCAATAAACCATCATTTTGAGCTAATCTGTTTAATGAATCATCAGCTTCACCACGGGCTCTAACATAACCACTTAAAGCATAGGTTGTGAAGTTGTTTGGAATAGCACGACCTTCTTCATCAACGTTGACAATGTTGATTTGGACAGAAGCATGATCTTTAGCTTTGATGATTCTGTTGGTGGCTGAACATTTACGTGGAACGTATAATTCGACCTAGAGGAAAAGTTAGTATTGGGTTCATATTGTTATTCATGGAGTGTTGGTGTTGTAGAAAGAGAGAGTAGTTGTTCATATTTGATCACTTTCTTATATCAAAATGGTGTCTCTTGGGTATTGAAATGGTATATTCTCATACTGCACTGTACTTCATGGTTATTCATAATCTCTTGTTCATTTGAATATTCTTCTTGCTCATTCATATTGCTTATTCCTCACTTGAATACTCTCTTGAAGGGCTCTTACTTGACATCTAACCTCATCGATAAATCCTTATTCAATCATATCCCATTCTCTTTCTCTCTCTGTATCTCTCTCTCTTTTACAACATCACCCTATTCTGTTCATATCCCACTCACAAGTTGACCTTTATCGTTTTCCATTTTGTCTTAGTTGATTATAATGTGGTGTATATATCTATAAAACCAAAGTGTTTTGTTTTCAAAGGAAATGTATCAATTTGATTATTTTCACGAATTGGTGAAAAAAAAATTGTTTGATGGTTTTGAGGCCCTGTGCCCCAGCCACTACTTGTGAGCCCAAACTGAGAATCTTAGGTAATCGAGCACTCTTTCCCGCCCGTGTCTCTACCGAATTCTCTGCCTGGCCCGAGAGAAGATGTTTTGGTAACGGACACGCACTGAGTGTCAGTTTGACTAAATGCCCTAGATAGATGTCACGTGAACATTCCATAAAACCATGATTAGGGCTTTTCAAGATACACTTGATTCTACAATACTTTGAACAATGCTAAAACTATGCAATTATATATATATACACTTGTCTAAACTCTACTCAACACTGCAACACTCTCAACATGATGGGTCTGTGGGAAGAAATCAAACCCTCTAATACTTTCAATCTTATATTCTGGTCCATTAGTTGTATTATTTAAAAACCATTCAATATCTCTAGCTTGACTATGAACATTACAACTCACATAAACAACTCTTGCAGGTTTATATTCACTCAATTGGTTTAAAAACACTTCATCACACCCCTTTCTAGAAGGATCAATAATAACTGAAGTTAAATCTGATGGTGTATCAATTTTTTCAAAGATTTTTTCAGCTTTACCATCAATGAATTCTGTATTTAAAACACCATTTCTCTCAGCGTTTCTTGTGGCAAATTTAATACTATCTGCACTGACATCAACACCAACAACTTTATCAACACCTTTTGAGGCAGTTATACTAAATAATCCAGATCCACAATATGCATCAACTAAGTATAGGGGAGATTCTTTAGATTTACCTGGAATTTGTAAATTTGAACAAACATATTCTGTAACTTTTGGTAATATGGAATTATTATTTTGGAAAAATTCACCTGCACTAAATTCAAATGTAAACCCATTAATATATTCAGTGACAATTTGTCTTGATTGAGTAACACAAGATTTCACCAAGACTTTATCACCTTCATCATCACCCTCCACTAAATCCACTGAAACATTCCCATTCGAATCCTTCGAACCATCCTGTTCATTACAATACTCCAATGCCTGTGATTGTTCCCTCGTACCAACCCTAGTATGCTCCCTTAACAACACAGTCGCACCTTTCTTATAAGATTTCCAACCTTCTTCAAACTTGGCCCTTTCATTACCCATCCCCAAATTGATAATCTTAGTACCAATGACACACTCCTCGATATCCAAAACACTCTGATCACCACTCTGTCCAGCATCACCATCCCTCCATTCAGGTCTACCTTTCCGACCAAACCCCAAGGATGGCCTATAGCTCAAACATCCTTTTCTAGGAGCATCAAAATGCGGTGTCAACTTGGTACGATATCCATACTGCAATGGACTCCCCACGGTCTCACCAATCTGTGGCACTTTCCCCTGTGCAATCAAATTTGGTGCTAAGTATTTATAAGCATTATGCACAGTGTTTCTCTTGAATTCTAATTGTTGCGGATATGACAAATTTTGATATTGACAACCTGAACACTTCCCAAAATATTTACAACGGATTAATGAATCATCTCTGAGCGGTGACGCCGTGGTTATTGATAATAAATCAGCCTCCACGTAATTTGGATGTGTTTTGAAAATACGAATGGAGACAACATCGCCCTGTATGGCGAACGGGATGATGACGACCTGTCTGTGTTCTGGGACTATAGGGTGTGGGACCAATGCTAGCCCGTCACCGTTTGATGAGGTTTGGAGGACGTGGACGTTGGATACGTCTCGGTGGTATGTTGAGGTTAGTGATGGTGTGTTTAATAATGTGTTGATGTCATTGATGATTTGTTCTGGGGATAAATTATGGGTTTTAAGGATCTCTTGGATTTCGAATTGGAGGATACCTAGTGGTGATGTTTTATCTATTGGTTTAGTCTTGTATTTCCTCTTTTTTTCCTTCTTCTTCTTTTGTTGGATAGGGTTTGGTGTTGGTTTCTTGATTGTAGATGGTGGTGATCCGACTGGTGAGAGTTCTCTCTTGGGATTCGATGTGACTGGTTCCATGTTCATGACCTTCTGAATCAGTTTACTCCTATTCAGTGCTCCTAGTATAGTTTTGGTAACAAGTTTATACATCAACAACTTGAATGTTTACGTCCCATTGAAATTTTTCAATGTAATTTTTTTTTTCTTGATAATCAGATCTTTGAGAATTTCTATTGGAAAAAAGCTCATCGGTCAGTGCAGCATACTACAATATCAAAGAACCAACAAACAATAATCCATTCATTCATCAGGTGTATACTCAATAGGTAAACTAGCCTTCTCGACATTCTTAAAAGTCGGCAATGGTGGGATCCTTGTTCTCGAAATTGGTGAATCTATTAAAGTGTTTGTGATCTCAGGTTTATCAATTAAAACACCAGGATGTCCACTTTGTCTTTTTTGTCTTTTTTGTAATTGATGATCCATTTTAAAACGAGATTCTAAAGGATTTGATAAATCTGCCTCGAGTTGTAAGATCTTGGTGTGGTTGTTTAAATCAAATATGGAAATTGATGAATCTGATTGATGATTTGTCTTGAGAAATTCAGTATAATCTGTTAAGATTAATGTTATTGTGGATATTGGTAATGATGAACCATTTTTAATGAATTCAATAATCTTGGTTAGGTTTTTAAAATCATGATATTGTTTATGATATTTATAATTCATTGTCCAGAATGGGATTGAACCATTCAATATTTCAAATTTTGAATAATAATTTAAATTTTTTTTAACATTTAAATGGTTTTTTATAAAGATCCAATTGATTTTAATCAATTCCACAATTATTATACTTATTGTTTTATCATTTAATAATTTGATAAACCTTGTTAAATGATACTCTAATTCCATTTTCCTTTGTCTATTGAAATAATTTGCCAATATTGATTCTAAAATCTCACAAGTTTTCTTATGATTTGAATTATTGAGTGATGATAAAAACCTTATATATCTTATAATAGGTTTGAATTCATATGGAACATAACTTATTATTGATAAATAAACATCATGGATTTTGTCATGATCTTGTTTATTAGCTTGTAAAAACAATGCATAGTTTAACCTTATATCAATGAATTTTATAGGGATGAATAAATTAACAGCCTTGAGATAAATTGAATTGATATTATCAAATTCTTGAGGATAATTATCCAAGTACCAATCAAGATATTTATACCAAAATTTAGGATAAAGTGCAGTAGGTATTAATGATCTTTCAAATGTGGAAATTGTTTGTTGTTTAGTTAGATCATTTGAAGTATTTGAATGTTTTGTAATTTGGAAATTTAAATAATTATCCCAATTATCAAATTCTTGCTTAAATACATGTGATAATGTGAAGAATGATTGCTTAATCTGTGATTCAAATGGCCATATCTCTGCAACATAAGTTTGTGTGTTTAAAAATACATTATTGAAATATTCATCAACTAGTTTAATCTTGTCCTCTTCATTAACACCTTTAGGTATGGTTAAACCTTCTTCTAATTCAACAATATCATCAATTGGAACTGATTGTCTTGTTGTCAAAAACATTTGATAATATTTGGAATATTGATGTAATGGGATCTTGATAACTTGTAATAATATTTTCAATACATTATTTAAATTTCCTTCATTTTGTTCAAATTCCAAATATTTATCCCATAATGGATGTGATAAAAATTGATTCCCCACATATTTCAAACCTTTTGTAAAATTAAATCTAATCTTCTCTTTATCTTCATTAAAATTTGATATTAAAATTGTCATATAATCTAACCATAATTCTAAAGATTGAGGGAATGAATCTAAAGAACGTACCAACACTTTAATTGATTCGTCAATCCCATAGATTTGATATATTAATGAAACGTATTTCTTCCAATACCCGAAAAATAAGGGGAATCTTGTTAATAATTCATCAAATGTTTTAGTTATTGTTTGTTTTATGATTTCTGTTGGTGATGGATATTTTATCAACAATTGTTCAGTTAAAACAACTAAGGCATCCCATGAAGCAAGATCATTGATATTTGAGTCCTTTTTAGTTAGTTAGGTTGTCTTTTATGGGGCAAAAGAAGGTATACTTACAACTTGTTCTCTAGCAGCTTTCCATTCTGGATTATCATTTAAAAAAGTTGGATCGATAACTTGTTTATCCACTCCATTATCTTCAGATTCAGCAGGCTGTGTAGGGAGTCTTATGGCACTGAAATCACCAATCACAAGATCATCTGAGGACATCTTGAAACTAATTGAGTTATCAAAATAATTGATTCTTTGTTGATGTTTTCGATTCGAAAAGTTTATTATGCCAATTTGAAAATTCGCGAAAATCCAGACAGCCGGGTGATTTTCGCGAATTGATATTCAATTGAATTTGAATTTTATTGAAAACAGATTAAAATTCAATTGAAATCAAATCGAATTGAGAATTGACAATTGCTAAAGAATGACACAGGTTGTTGGTTACAAAGTGGAGTTGTTCTTGAAGAACGACACCAGTGTGAAAGGGGTCGTCAACAAAGTGGTGGACAAGGTGCTTTCGTTGGATAATGGTGAGTGTGGGAAAATAGTATTAATTATGTGCAAATGTACTAACTAATAATCCAAGTTGAGTTCCAAGATGGGGCACAGTTGGCTCATCATGCTGTCCCTGGTAGTGAGATTAAAGATTTGAAAGTTATTGATATGCCTAAAGATTCATCAAAGAAAAAGAAGTCAACTAAAAATGAAAAGATATCAAACAAGAATAACAACAACAATTATGATAATAGTACAAACTCAACACCTGTACAACAACCTCTTCAAGATGATGCTATACTGTTCTATAGAAGCAATACACCTTCTAGAGAGACTGAAAGTCGTTCCAATGGCGGGAATAAAAAGAAACTACTCAAGAGAAACATTTATAGTAATGATCATGATATTACATGGGATGATAATATCGCACAAATCAAAAATGATGATTTTGATTTCGAAAGCAGCACAGCTGGGTTTGATAAACATGCTGCCCTGGAGGAATTTGCAAATAACGATCATATTGACCCATCACAAAGATTGGCTGGTCATAATAAATTAAAATCACCAGTGAAGACAACATATAACAATGATGAAAATGTTTTGGATAGTAAAGTTGATAAATGGGAACAAGAATCACGTAATGGAAGCAATGGCAGTGAAAGAAAGACAAGATTGACTGAGAAAACTGCAAATAATTTGGCATCATTAATGAATTCCGGTGCATCATCATCAACAAGTAGACCAAGATATAATAATAGATCACCATCCCTGGAATTTAGAGGATTACAATTGATTTGCTCAGAAACAAAAGATACATTACCATTAGCTTCACCAATCCAACTCTTGGATATTGAAAGATTGGCATTTGAAAGTTTTAAAATATCATCTCAATTAATAGCTGAAAATGCAAGTAGAGGTATAACGGGATTAGTTATCAAGATTCTTGGTGGAGCATCAAGAATCTCAAACAAGAATCATAACCTGCCACCTTTGGTGTTGTTATTAGTTGGTAATAATAGATCAGGTGCTAGGGCTTTAGCTGCAGGTCGTCAATTAACAAATCATGGTGTTCGAGTAATTGCATTCACATTGACAGATTTCAACTCTGTTGATGAATTTGATGAGAATGTTAAACATCAATTGGAATTATTTCAATTATCTGGAGGGAAATGTACCTCATCATTATCAGGATTAAATAAGATTGTTTCAGATATTGATACACCAATTGAATTAGTTGTTGATGCATTACAAGGTTTTGATACAAACTTGTCAGATCTATGGGGAGATGAACTTGAATTGGCATTACAATTGATCCGTTGGGTTCAACAACAAGATATAGGTACTTTGTCATTAGATATACCTTCTGGTATTGATGCAGGTTCGGGATTGATTGGCGATGTTGAGATCATTGATGCTAAATGGGTTGTCAGTCTAGGGCTACCAGTGAATGGTATACTACATGCATATTCTAATGGTGCTGCTCAGAAAGGTGATTGGACTCACTATTTGGTTGATGTTGGATTACCATTGAACTTGTTCAAGAAGGGTTCTTTGAGGAAATTTGACCGCAACTGGTTCGGTGGTGAATGGTCTGTTTCTCTTGAGATCGTGGAGAAGTAGCTCAAATACTTTGTACTATATAATTAAGGAAATGAATTGGAAAATGTAATTTAATGAGTTTATAAAATCTTTTGTAAAACGCATTCGCGAAGGCCTGTATTTTTCTGGTTTTCGCAGGATTTTTTTTTCCCTTTTAAAATTTGGGAAAAGCAAAAAAAAACGCTGCAAACAAAGTCAAAAGAACGCCAACAACAGATTAAAACCAATACTGGCTCCAAAAAGTTAACGCTGTTTCATCGCCGCTAAAAAGCATCCAACCAATCATCTTTTCTCAGCACCGCTCACTCAGTCCCTCAGCGCTCTTGCCACTACAAGAAGAGGAAAACAACCAGCCAGCTCGAGTCAATTTTTGAGCTTGTTAAAGAGGGAGAGCTTCGTGTCAAATCGATAAGAAAATTAAACTAAAACAATCATAAAGAGACGGAAAAATCTCGTGTATTCCATTTCAAAAGTGGCTCTGGTTTGAATATTGTCTGGAATCATATCTTGAATTCCAAGCGTGTTTATTGTTGTCATTCACTACATTCCCCAAAATACTGATAAGAGTACACCTCAACGCCCCATCCACAAACCGAGAGAAACATACAAATACAATATAATCAAACAATAATAAAGATATCAAGACACATTATATAATGGGTATTTGCTGCAGTTGTTTATCAGGTGAGTACTTTTTCCTATTGTTACAAATTCCATCAATAGTACTAACAATTGAAAAAAAGGTCGTGAAAATAGCGATGCATACCAGCCGTTGTTGGCTGAAAATGAACGTGAAGCTATATCTGCCTTACTCCAATACCTTGAAAATGTATGTGTTACTACACTTCAAATACGCTTATTAGTTACTAACATTCCATCTTTTAGAGACAAGAAGTTGATTTCTTTAGTCATGGTCCATTAAAAGCATTAAGTACACTAGTATATTCAGATAATATAGACTTACAAAGAAGTGCTGCTTTAGCATTTGCAGAAATCACCGAAAAAGATGTCAGACCTGTTGATAGAGAAGTTTTAGAACCTATATTAATATTATTACAAAGTTCAGATCCAGAAGTTCAAAGAGCTGCATGTGCAGCATTGGGTAACCTGGCTGTTAATAATGATAACAAGATCTTAATTGTGGATATGGGTGGGCTAGAACCTCTAATCCGTCAAATGTTGAGTAGTAATATTGAAGTTCAATGTAATGCAGTTGGTTGTATAACAAATTTAGCTACTCAAGATGATAATAAGGCCAAAATTGCAAGATCAGGTGCATTAGTACCATTGACAAAATTGGCTAAATCAAAAGACCTTAGAGTTCAAAGAAATGCAACAGGTGCGCTATTAAACATGACACATTCAAATGAAAATAGACAAGAATTGGTAAATGCAGGTGCTGTACCAGTATTGGTTTCACTATTATTATCACAAGATGCTGATGTGCAATACTATTGTACAACTGCCCTTTCAAACATTGCAGTTGATGAAGCAAATAGAAAAAAATTATCACAAACAGAACCAAGATTAGTTACACAATTGGTTCAATTAATGGATTCAACAAGTCCAAGAGTTCAATGTCAAGCTACTTTAGCCTTGAGAAATTTAGCTTCTGATGCAGGTTATCAATTGGAAATTGTTAGGGCTGGTGGATTACCACATTTAGTGAAATTATTACAATCTTCTCATCAACCTTTAGTCTTGGCTGCCGTTGCATGTATTAGAAACATTTCAATACATCCATTAAATGAAGGTTTAATCATAGATGCTGGATTCTTGAAACCATTAGTTGCATTATTAGATTATAATGATTCTGAAGAAATTCAATGTCATGCTGTTTCTACTTTAAGAAACTTGGCTGCAAGTTCAGAAAGAAATAGATTGGCTTTATTGGATGCTAATGCTGTTTTGAAATGTAAAGAATTGGTATTGAATACACCAGTCAGTGTTCAAAGTGAAATTTCTGCATGTTTTGCCATTTTAGCATTAGCTGATGATTTGAAAATTAAATTATTAGATCTTGGATTAGTTGAAGTTTTAATCCCATTAACTTTTTCAAATAATGGTGAAGTTTGTGGTAATGCTGCAGCTGCTTTAGCTAATTTATGTTCAAGAATTAATGATTATAGACAAATAATTTCAAGCTGGGAAACTCCAAATGAAGGTATTTTAGGATTTTTAATTAGATTTTTAAGTTCAGAAAACCCAACATTTGAACATATTGCCTTATGGACTATTTTACAATTACTGGAGAGTGGTAATAATGACGTGACTAATTTAATTAAAGAAAATGAAAATTTAATCAGTGCTATAAAGAAATTGGCTGATGCAAATTTCTCAGCTTCACAAAATAATGCAAACTTTATGAATAGTCAAGATCAATTCGAAGATCCAAAAATTGAACTATACAATTTGACACAACAAATTCTTCAATATGTGAACTAATTATAAAGAATAAAAATTTGTTTCATGTTTGTCATTTTATTAATTTTGTCTGGTTTAGCTTTTCTTTAATTCTTTCCACTAAAAAAGCTTGTTTAGTAATCAAGAAGATCCAAAAGATTTCTAAACATGTATTATCATCAATAGTTGTTAATTATTTTTTTGCTGTTGTGTTCTTTTTTTTTTTCTCCCTTTGTCAACTATTTTGCATATGAACTTTAATAAAATGAGATTTTATTTATAAAGATTTCATATAGATGTAATTAAAAATCAAGGATGCAGAAGATCAAATTGTCATGTTTTCAGTGATCAGTTGTGTTTCTGGGTAGGCCATTCCATATGTTCTTAACTTTTGAAGATGTGGTTACTCAAAGAAATTAATTAAATTCATCAAAAATATGAAAAGATGACGTGAAAGTGATGGTTTAACTTACAACGGTGGTGCATACATCAGAAGACTAGGTATTGGCTCGTGCAAACTTCTCAGTTTCGAAAAATCCGACGAACACTAGCTGGTTATAATATTTAGTATTACTAGGTATAGACCGAAAACTGGACGAAGTACAATATCAATGACGTGTTTGATTAGAGCCTGTTGCATTTTCTTTCGCAATAGTCTACAACATCAATCCCTTCATAAATAAAACATAACTCATTAATCATAAGACTTGACAATATGTTCAAGTTTTTCCACAATATCAATAGAATGAGGCCATTTACAGTGTCTAATCAAATCCAGTCCATAACAAACAACACCAACAGTATATTCCTGTCTTTTCTTATATTCTTTAATCTTTTGAATTTTCAAACTTTTTACATCTTTCCCATCATCATCAGTTTGACTATCATCATCACGATCATTTGCTTGTTTAGCAATCAATTCACAATAATTATGTGCTTGTTCCCTTGCAAGTGAATGTATAATATCACCTCTTCTATCAAAATATTTTGAAGGTTTCAAATTCAATTGTTCCCTGGACCCTATTTTTAATTTTCTTTCAAGATCATAAAAACAATTCTTCTTTTCAAAGCACCAAATAATCATAGTTGCAATTAACACTGACGGTGGGACGTGGGAATAAGTGTTTATGGTTTCTTCATGTTTATAAACCAGCGTGAAATATTTACAAGCTTCAATAACGGCAATTTCAGCATTTGAAGATCTTGCCCATTGTTCCACCAAGACTATATTTCTTTCATGCTCCAACTCTTTTAAATCCTGATGGAATTTAGTTGATAATGGTTTATTATATTCAGTTGCAAACTTAGATAATGAAGTAATATCAGCATATAATGTGAATAGCCCAACATAGAAAAAACTTAAATTGGCCCAACAGGCATTTGTGGGACCATAGTTGTTTAATAGCACTTGACTTCTAATTTCAGAATATTTATTCAAGGTATCTTCATCAATACCACTATTATCATTAATTCTATTAGTTAACCCTTTCTTGGGATCAACTGTGTTTAATTGATCATCATAAAGTTTTATATGAAGATCAAAATAACCTTTCCAATTAGCAAAAGCCAATTCCAACTTGTTGAAAAATTCATTCAATCTATTTTGTGAAATGATTCCTAAATCAAGTAATCCATGACCCCTTGCATGCCAACAAACTCTTATTAAACTGTGAAGAATAATATATCTTGAGAATAATGAATAACAGTTTAATGAAAATTCTCTTTGATTTTCTCTATATTCAGTCATGAATGATTTTAGAGTCCATAAAAAAGTTGGCCATTTCCCTAAAACTTTATTATTGTATTGATTCCCCGAGCCTGACGGTAGATGAATATATCTTTCCATAACAACTTTAGTGAACTTATCATCTTCTTTAACATTTGCAGGGTTATTCACAGCACCTGGTCTTGTTGGTCTTGTTCTATGTTTTTGAAGATTATCTGTTGTATCATTTGCATGAATATTTAATTTTGGCCTTGTGACTAAACTATTTGGCTGGATTTGATAAGCTGCAAAGAATTCTTCGGGTGTTGATGCGTTCCACACTTGATCTGAACATGGTAACTCTGATTTTATATCAAATTGTGATAATTCAGCTCTATTAAAAGTGATGTGTTGAGTATCACAAATGTATTCAAAAAAAACTGTTCTTTTAGATGTTTCGTAATAAATCCATTTTTGCCATTGTTCATACAATTCTTCACTTGTTGAATCTTTTGACTTATGAATAACTGGCTCTGCACTCAAGTTTTCTAAAAACCCACTAAATTTCAAATATAACAGATTTGAACCATGATCAATTTGGGACATTTGTGTTAATTTTGTATCACCAAAGTTTTTCGCTGAGAAATTGTGTAAAATTAAAGCTTGCATGATTGGTAAAGATAGTTGAGTATCTTCATCAATGACATCTTTGATCCTTCTTCTAAAATTTTTGTTGATTTGGATTGATAATTCATATTCTAATCGATCAGCTGTATGAGCCATGCCGATAATCAAAATACTAATCAATAAGTAAATATCAGCCTTATTAGGATCAAATGTAACTTGATGAATTATAGGAAATGTTTGAGCAAAATTAAACCAATATAGATCCATATATTCATCCAATCTTGACAATGAAACGTTTTTCAAACTTTCCAAATCTGAGAAAATTTCCAATATTTTCAACCTTGTAGTTTCATTAATCTTGAATCTTTTACTACCAAACATATGGGTGTGAGCATCTGTAACATTGTAGCTAGCAGGTGCAATGTCAAATTTTGTAGTAGCATCAACATCGATAACTGCACTTTCAGGATGTGAGACCAAGTTATTCTCATTCAGCATCTCCTCGGGGAAATTATCAGTGAATAACCATAATAGATTATCAATAAACCCACCACTCATATCTAATAACGATAAGAACTCTTTGGGACTTTCATCTAAAGAGTTTGTATCTATGCTATGATCACTATTTGAATAGCTCCTTTTCAAATGGCTTGGGGATGATGGATTGTTTCTATTTTGCAAAAGTTGTGAATTGATTCTAATCAGATTTCCAAAATTAACATCAACAGCAGCTCCAGACAGAGTTGAAGATGAAGAAGGCCTTATAATTGAAGGTTGTAAAGGTGGTGTATAGATTTTTTCATCATAATCATTCAAAAAATTGGCAATTCTCAATTTTTTATAAGGATTTGAAGAAACTTGTGACTTCTCATTATTAGGTTCATTGAAAGTTGCAGGACTAACAGCTTCACTACTTGTTTGATATTGGTCAACTTTGTTATTATCAACTCCGGAAAGAGGTGTAGTTGGATTATTATCATTAGCACCACCACCACCACCAGGAACAGCACCATCTTCTTCAATGTTGTTGGTTGTAGCTTTAGCTTTCTGCTCCACCATTTTTTGATGAGAATGAGATTTACAATGCTTTGACAACATATCTCTTCTAGTAAAGCTTAGATCACAAGTTTCACATTTAAAAGGTCTAATGTTTTTATGGTTCAGTTGATGTCTTGCCAGAAAATCCTTTCTGGAGTAGCTTTTCCCACAAGTTGGGCACTTGAAGACGGCAGCGGTGGAGTTATTGGATACGTTTTTGATCATTTTGACTGTTTCAACCACATTTCCTTTTGAATTGCCTTTGTCTTTGATGAAGTTTGAAATGATTTATATGCTTTCCTCTTGTTGTTGGTTTTTGTCGGTTTCCTTTGCGGGGGAGGACCCAGACTGTATGCTAGAGGGAAGCTGGAAGGGGTGGAGGAAAGAGTGCTGTTAATTACGCTGCTTATATATACTATTCTGAAATGTACGCAATCTAAGGTACTCGCATAAGCAGTCTAGAACCAATAACTGTCGTCTTGGTGGATTATAGTGGCAGAAAAGGATGTAAAAGTTATTCCAAAATAGAAATACCACTTTGAATCTATACCTTGAAATATTTCTATAAATATCCAACATTGTGAATGTTTATACCAGTACTACTGTGCTTTTTAGCGTGCCAATTTGACACAATCATCCTGTTCCAATCTAGGCTGAGCCCCATGCGCTGGGTTAGAAGGAGCTAAAAGGAGATGATTGCATTGGTCTGATAATTACGCATGTTTCAGCTGTGCAGAGCAATATCATTCTGATATGTACGCTGTCCATTAAAAAAAAAGGTATACAGATTTTATTCAACACACAATGACAATGCACTAATAGCTTCATAAATACCATAAGCACCTGGATCCGGTGGTAATTCACTAGAACCGTTAACATTTCCAACATATGTGGCTCTTCCAAGCTTTGGTTTCAACTTTCTGGTGCCTTCAGCAGCTTGATGGGCAACTTGAACAGCCTTGATTATGTCTTGTGAAGATTTAAAAGATTCAACAAATGGAATCAAAACATCCATAACAGTTCTATGTCCCACTCTTGCCTTGGTATAATCGTATAATGTTGTCAATCCAACTTCAAGAGAATCACTGAATGCATCAACTGGTGAAATGTTTGGTGTTTCATTGATCAATAATTCAATATTATTGATGACAGCTTTTAAAAAGATGAATATAATTGCACCTAAAGTACCACCCATATCATCTTTAATAATGTTGAGTAACACATGTAAAACTTTCAAGATTGAACCAGATTGTGCGATTTTTTCATTATCCAATTGTTTTAATAATAGTTCAGCACCTAATTTCAAACCAAATCCACAATCACCATCACCCATCTTGGTATCCCAATCTGTTAATTCTGGTTCTTTTTCAATAACTCTTGTTGCAGCTGTTCTTGCAATCTTGTCTAATTTGATTGGATCAATGAAGAATTTTTGAGCTTTTGCATCATTATTGAAATTTTCAGTTGTATCAGTTTCATCATAATGAACAAAATTTTCAATAATTTGCTTTTTGTTGTTGATTGATTCTGTTCCATTTTCAAATTTAGTATTTGTCCAACAAATTGCATCAGTATGTTGATCTAAAAACTCAAAGATTTTATCCAATCCAAATGTTTTAGTTGTTGCTGTTGTGGCATTGAATAAAGAAATTGTAAATATTTGAGCATTGAAAGAAGTAATATATCTTCCAGTATAAATTCTAACAGGTTTGATATTATAATCCTTTTCCAAAATCTCCAATGCACTAAATAAGATATTCTTCTCCTCCAAAACTGGAACACCACCTAAATTGTTAATCAATAATACAATTTTATCACCTGGTGAATAATTGAAAAATCCACGTTCTTTATCAGAAGTATCCAAAATCATCTTTAACAATATGGAAACCAATTCTTCATTTCTAGGAATATGATCCAATTTCTCCACACCAGGCTCATTATGAATCCCCAACCCAATCTCTAATTCATTTGGTTTCAACTTCCCAAAATCAGCGTCACTTTTATATCCAGAAATATGAACATGATCTAACCCAGCATTAATTGACCCAATTGAATCAATAATTTTTTGACCAAATTCAAAAATATCATCAATACCATAACCAGCTTGAGACGCAGCACCAGTCAATTTTGAAACTATGGTTATCCCAGCCAATGTACGACGTCCAACCAAAGCACCAGAAGTTCTTGGAACAGCCACATCATCAGTGACTCTAAGGATCCTAATCTTGTCAACCCCATATTTTGCAATTAGATCCTGAGCAGCCATACCAAAATATAAATTATCACCGGTATAATTCGTCAATATGAAAATACAACCACCCCATTCATCACCATTGTCTCCATTCAATTCATGAGTGATCTTCTCAGCAGCTTTAACGTTTCTATAATTTGGAGAGGCAAACACTTCACCATGTGCCACTGCAGAGAGCATACCTGGTCCAACTAATCCATAAAACCCAGGTTCATGACCCGAGCCACCACCACTGATTAGTGAGACGTTTGAACTGTTGAATTTGTTATTGAAAACGACTCGTTCGCGTTCCAAGATTGAAAGGAATGGGTATTCATAAGTTATTACCCTAAGACAATTTGGAACAAGTTTGTTGGTGTCTGATGGTAGGAAATGTTTATTTGACATGGTTGCTTTCTGAATTGAAGGGATTGAATTGGATGATTGTTGTTTTTTGAGATTTTTTACTAGATATATACATTAGTTTCGAGTCTGATTGTTTTATTTTCGGGACTACAAAAAAGTCTATTGTTGTGTTGGGTGGAGGGTGGAGGGTGGAGGCACCTTTTTTTTTTCTGGGGAAATAAAGTTTTGGGACATTTTTTTGGTTTCGGAGTCTCGGTGGAGGGTGGAGGAGACATTGGAGTGAACAAGTATATTAACAAAGAGATTTGGCACTGGTTTTTTTGTTTTGTCAAGATGGTGAAGATAGTAAAAGATTTATCAAGAATGTCACCACCAAAGAAGTTCAGATTAGTTGTTGCATCAGACCAAGCAGGTTATGAATACAAGGAGAAGATAGCACAAGATTTAAAAGATTACCCACTAGTGGAATCCATTACAAATCTAGGTGTTGGATCAAATGGTGAATCTACTCCATATCCTTCAGTTGCCATCAAGGCTGCAGAATTGATTGCAAATGGTGAAGCTGATAGAGCTATCTTATTTTGTGGAACTGGATTAGGTGTTGCAATTAGTGCTAATAAAGTTGAAGGTATAAGAGCTGTTACTGCTCATGATTCATTCAGTGTTGAAAGAAGTATTTTAAGTAATAACTGTCAAGTTTTATGTATGGGTCAAAGAGTTATTGGATTAGAATTGGCTAGAAGATTAGCTAAAGAATGGTTAACTTATAATTTTGATGATAAATCTGCTTCTGCTGCAAAAGTTGATGAAATTACTACATATGAAAAATCTCATGTTATTGCAACATAATATATGAATGTTTAATTATCAATTTGTAGAAACTATACAGCAGTATAACCACCATCAACTAAAATATCAGTACCGGTAACATAAGATGAAGCATCAGATGCCAAATATAAATAAGCACTTGCAATTTCAAAAGGTTGAGCTTCTCTACCCACTGGAACCAAAGACCACATCTTCCCTCTAAAAGATCTTGATAAATGATCATTCAATCCAGTATCGCAATATCCTGGAGAAACTGAATTAACTCTTGCAAAACCTGCCCATTCAATAGCTAATGATTTAGCTAAATGCTTCACTGCAGCCTTTGTAACATTATAAGGAGTTAAATTCATTGGAACATTTGCAATATGTGCAGACATTGAAGCAGTTATAATGAATGAACCCTTTTGATTCTTTTGGAAAATTCGACCAACAAATCTTGAACAATAATAAACTCCATTCAAATTAACATCCATTAATTGATTCCAACTTGAATAATCATCATTTTCTTTATTAATCACATTACCAGTCTTCCAAACAACACCAGCATTAGCAACAAATACATCAATAGTTCCAAATTCAGACTCAATTGAATTTATAGTTTCTTCAACTTGTTCAGATTTTGAAACATCACATCTATAACCAACAATCTTACTACCTTTATTCTTTTTAGACAACTCTTGAGCCACTTCAACAACATCATTTGAATAATCAATCAACACAACAACTTTAGCATCAGCTTCTGCAAAGCAATCAGCTATTGCGAACCCAATACCTCTTGCACCACCTGTAACAACAGCAACTTTATCAGTTAATTTGAATAGGTCGGAAACATGTTTCCGTTCAGGATTTGGACGTGGTAACTCATCAGAGAATTCTGAAGAAATGTAGGAAACTATTTTTTCAGCACCTTCTTGTCTAACTGGGATGGTCATTGTATTTCTGTATTTTCTCGTGTATTTGTTTTAAATGCCTGTTTCAGAAGTGTATGTTTGCCGTACTGGCCAATCACAACGCACAATGAGTAAAACCAGGGGAAGTTCAACACAATTCCTAATGGCAAAACTTGTTGAGAATAGGATTGTTTAAATACACAAAAAATAAAAAAACAGTGAACCATCACGAGAATGGATGAGGGTACATTATCATGATTGGTACTTTGTCTATGTTGATGATGGAGTTGTTGTTGGTGGAGGTGGTCTTGAGACTGGACAAAAACTGCAACAATAGACTCCGACATGCAAATCTCCATCCAAAACATGATTCATGATTCACCACCCATTTACCCCATACGTTTGAACTATAAACAGACGGATGTGTACTCTGTGGAGGTGGGTGGTGGAGGCCCCCAGAAGCCATGTACGTAATGTTTACTACCTGAAGTTTGTATATAATGAACTCCATATGGCCAATATTCTGAGATGGAGATGGTACCTAAATACAACAAAATAAAAACAATACACAATGGTGCTACACGACGAATACAAAGGCTCTCTCAATAGTCCTGCTCCAAGTAGCAGTGAAGATACTAATCAAAGAGCAGCTGCTAACCTAGATGACCCTTCAAAGATTTATTCATTCATGGGCCAAAGTGGTAAAACATTATCATGGTTTGTTTCTGTTATTGCAGGTGTTGGGTTCTTGTTATTTGGTTATGATCAAGGTGTTATGGGTTCGTTATTAACCCAAGATACATTCAGACACACATTCCCAGAAATTGATACTGTTGATGATGGTTCAAAATCAACTTATCAAGGGTTTGTTGTTGCCGTTTATGAAGTTGGTTGTCTTGTTGGTGCCCTTTTCACAATGTGGTATGGTGATAAAGTTGGTCGTAGAAAGACAATTTTCACTGGTTGTTGCGTTATGATTGTTGGTGCTATTATTCAAGCTGCTGCGTATTCAACTGGTCAATTGATTGCTGGTCGTATCATTGCAGGTTTAGGAAATGGTATGAATACTTCCACGGTTCCTGTTTGGCAATCTGAATGTGCTAAACCTGATCAAAGAGGGAAACTAGTTATGATTCAAGGTTCGTTAATTGCATGTGGTATCATGATTTCTTATTGGATTGATTTCGCATTCTATTTTATCCATTGGAGTTCTGCAAGTTGGAGATTCCCAATCGCATTCCAAATTATCTTCCCAGTGATTATTGTTCCAGTTATTTTAAAATTACCAGAATCTCCAAGATGGTTATTAAAAGTTGGTAAAGTTCAAGATGCAATTAAAGTGTTCTCAGCCTTGGAAGGTGTCCCTGCAAATGATCCTTATGTTCAACGTGAATTGGAAGAAGTTGAAACCGCTATTGCTAAAGAGGAAACAGGACCAAATGTCACTACGAAAAGAAAGTTTAGAGAATTGTTTAGACAAGGTCCACAAAGAAATTTCCATAGAGTGTGTCTTGCATTCTGGAATCAAGTTTTCCAACAAATTACAGGTATTAATTTAATCACTTATTACGCAGGTACAATTTTCCAACAATATATTGGTATGAGTCCTTTAAATTCAAGAATCTTGGCTGCGTGTAATGGTACTGAATATTTCATGGCTTCATGGTTAGCATTCTTCACAATTGAACATTTTGGTAGAAGAAAATTGATGATTTTTGGTGCATTGGGACAAGCTTTCACAATGGCTATATTAACAGGTACTAATTGGGCAGCAGATCCAGCAAATAAAGACAATTCGGGTGCAGGTATTGCAGCTGCTGTGTTCCTTTTCGTTTTCAATTCTTTCTTTGCAGTTGGTTGGTTAGGTATGACTTGGTTATACCCTGCAGAGATTACCCCTTTGAGTATCCGTGGTATGACTAATGGGTTAAGTACTGCTGCTAATTGGGCTTTTAATTTCATGGTTGTTATGATTACTCCAGTGGCTTTTGAAAATATTGGTGCTTATACTTATACCATCTTTGCAGCTATCAATTTATGTTTAGTTCCTGCTGTTTTTTTCTTATATCCTGAAACTTCTGGAAGAACTTTAGAAGAAATGGATGTTATTTTTGAAATGTCTGATCCTTGGAAACCATGGGAAGCTGTTCATAATGCAAATACATTACCTCATGAATATAAGAATGGTCAATTCATGGATGTTGAAAAAGCTGAAGCTTCTCATACTGAAAATGTTGGTGTTTTCCAAGAAAATCATTCGTCTGTATAAATAATTGTAATGGCTATGTTAATGTGTGATATTTATTTGTAATTTTTTCGTAATGTGTTTTTCACTCATGATCAATTCATATATTTTTCCTTACAAAGCTCCACTATCAAATCACTGATTGTTGAAAAATAAGGCTCTATAGTTGTACTAGTTTTATTCAAGGTGAACCCATGGTTTAAGAATTCTTCATACAATCCAACATCAAATGGCAATTCATTCTCAATACATTTCATTGCAATTTGTCTTTTTGTGAGTTCCATGCCATAAGAACAAGAATGCTCTATAGACATTTCTGAACATAATTTTTCAGCTTTTTTGAAGACATCTTTTTGGATAATATAGAGCAAGTTATGAAAATAAGCCTCATAATCATCATCTTCATCATCATCATCGTCAAACGTTTCATAAATTTCTGAATCTGAATCATTCAGTTCTTTTGAGAATTCCGACAGTCTGCTTTTTGCATAAATATAGAAATCCTGTATTTCTTGTTCTTTTGCTCTTGAATGTACCGCTGCAGCGCGAAAAACTAGTATTAAAAATGCTCTTGCACAAGATAATCTTGAAGACCCCATTTCTTATTAGTGTTCGTCTCTCTGTATGCGTCTATTTGGTTGGAAATTGAAATCTGATTGTTTTTGTTTACATTTTTTTTTACATTCTCGCTTTTCGCGTTTTTGACGTGTTCTACGGAAACTCTCCATTAAAAGTATATCATATTGCAAAAACTACTTATACAGGCTGTTTCTTTTACAACTTTCCTTTAACATCCTCAATCAAGACTTTGATACTTCCCTTGGTTGGATCACTAACCAACTCAATAGCTTCATCAGCTCTTTCCAATGGGAATTTATGAGTAACCAAATCATCAACTTTGATAATCCCATTGGAAATCATATTAATAACAGTTGGCCATGAATCATGATATCTATTACTAAACTTAATATCAATCTCTGCAAATGATAACTGCATAAATGGGAAATTGTTGAAAACATCTTTACCAACACCAATAATCATTAATAGCCCAGATCTTCTAATGACATAGGCAGCAGTGATAACACTACTTTCCACACCGGTACATTCTAAAACACGACTTGGTGCAGAATGTTCAGTTGTACCAAATAAGCTTCTAATTTGTTTAGCATTTTCTTGTGGGGTCAATTTAGGATTAATTTGATAAGTCAACACATCTGGAACTAATTTTTTGGCAAATTTTAAACGACCTTCACTCAAATCAGTAATAACAATTGGAGTACAACCAGCAGCTTTAACTAATAATAAAGTAACTAATCCAATTGGACCTGCACCTGCAATCATAACACCATGACCCAAGATTAAATCAGCTCTTTCCACACCGTGATAACCAACAGAAACAGGTTCAACTAAAGCACCTTGTGCATAACTCATATTATCAGGCAATTTATAAACATATTGAGCATCATGAACTAAGTATCTTTGCATTGAACCAGGATATGGATACATTCCAATGAATTTAACATCTTGACAAAGATTGTAATCACCTTGACGGCATAGAAAGCAAGTATTGCAAGGAACACCAGGCTCAATTGCAACTCTATCACCAATTGAAACATTTTTAACACCTTCTCCAATATCAATTATATCACCTGAAGCTTCATGGCCTATAACCAAGTTATCTAAAACTTTCAAATCACCAATTTGTCCATGTTTCCAAAGATGTATATCACTACCACAAATACCTGTTGTTCTTGGATGGATTAAAACTTCACCAGGTTTCAATTCTGGGATTGTATTATCTTTGATCTCGATTCTATGATCGGTGGTGACTTGAACTGAAGGATTGTTGTAATGACTTTGACACATTGTTGACTGATGAGGTGTAAAGGAAAAACTAGTTTTAAAGGAACAAATCATTCACTATTTATTTAATTTCCTCGAAGAAAAAAAAAGGCCCATCCACTTTTCTCTATTGTTTTGTCTCCACCCATGTCTACCATCCACCACTATAATTACGAGACAAGCAGTTGTTGTTGTTGTGAGTATCTGATTTTCACCTATAACCAGAATTCCGAGACATTGGCGGTGGAGGGTGGAGGGTGGAGGGTCTGAGGCATATACGAAAGAGTTTTATGATATAAGCGCTCTTGTTTTGAATTTCTGGGGAAGGCGATGATGGGACATTTAAGGAACGAGTCTGGGGATCGTCACATTGGGACTAGAAGATGTTGTTGTGTTGTTTTATTGTTGTTGTTGGTGGAGGCATGATGCCTAGTCCTTGCTCTCGGAGTTGGTTAGAGACAAATAGTCTTGGAGACAATTAATTGGATTTCGGCTGTTGGAGGAGTCGAATCTTGTAATTAATTAAACGTTGACGCTATTTAATTATGAGAGAATTTTCGTTGGCCATTTGATTGGTTGTATGATTCCGAGATTCGACAACTAGTAAATCTAACGAAATCTGTAGTACGTTGGTGGAGGTGGAGGTGTGATGGGCATTAATGGGCGTGTTGGTTCTCGTGTTAAAGCTCGAATAAACACTGGATTATACACATGAAACAATTTTAAAAGGTATTTACTTGTGAAGTTAGAACATTAACTTCCAGTCACACCTAAAATGAATATTCTAACTTCTGGGATTTACACTTGATAAGTATATTCTGAAGTATCTGTCATCAATTACGTGTCGATAAGAAACCTCATAATGAAACACTTCTTTTCATATTTCAACCAATTCATGAGTAAATTATATATACAATATATTAAACTGCTCAGCTAAATTTAAATAATGATAAAATTAAATAAAAAGCGACAATAAATTTTTTTCACTCAATTGTTTCTTCAAATTGAAAATTAAAATAAGAAAGACATAGTCATTGACTCATTGTTTTACCAGAATTTTAACTAAATTTTTTAATAGCGTTTAAAAAGAAGCAAAAAAGAGCTTAAACCACTCCTACATTAATTAGTGGCACTAAATATACATTACAAACTATTTCTCAAAGCATTTAGTGAGAAATAGCTTGTGAAATTCAAGATTTGTGAAATTTATGATTACATAAGCAGAAATATCTCCTAAATTTCCAACGTATTTTTCGGTCAGTTATCTGGTTGTATAGTGTAGTGGTTATCACCTTCGGTTTTGATCCGGATAACCCCGGTTCGAATCCGGGTACGACCTAACCTTTTTTTTGCCGATTACCCTACCATAAATATTTAAAAAAATCGCGATTCGATCATAATAATCATCAATACGCTTAAATTATACTACACATCATGAACTTGGGCAAGAGTCTACGGTTACTACATATAATTCTCGAGAACATTAATCAAAATTACTTTTGGCACATTTATTTATTGGTAAGCGTACTGATAAATTAATTACAATTATTTCTTACCTCTCACGTGACTCTCTTAAGAGATTACGTAACATTTCGATTTTTTCTTTGACGTTGAAGTTGAAGTTGGTCTATATAAACAATTCACGTTAAATTTTAATGCATTATTTGGTGTACAATTTGGAACAGTTTGATTGAGTTAATACCAGTTTTCATTACCAAAGTAGAGGTATATCCAAAGGAACTCAAAATTGATCTCCATATCCAATTGTTATTCTATCCAGGAAATAATTTAATTTCAACAAACATCAACTTCAAAACATCATCAACATAAATCAACCAAATAATGTCACAGAATCCTCAAGTTAAACAAGAAGGTGGCTCAGTCAATAGTCCTGGGCAAATACCGAACAACAATATACGGCCTGGAGCCCAACAACCAGTTCAAGGTCAAGCTTCTAACCAACCTGGAACACCTCAACAACAACAACAAGCTCAACAACAAGCACAGCAACAAGCCCAAGCACAACAACAAAGAAGAGCAAACCCACAATTTTCGCCTGCAGATTTGAATAGAATTGTCTTGGAGTATTTGAATAAAAAAGGTTATCATAAAACTGAAGCTGTTTTACGTGTTGAAAGTTCTCATACACCAACTCCACCAATTGCACCACAACCTTCAACAAATATAAATAGATCTATCCCTGATAAGCAAGTTCAAAGTAATGAAAAATTTGATCCAGAGATTTATGAACGTGGTTATTCAATGTTGAGAACCTGGGTTGAAAGTTCGTTGGATATTTATAGACCTGAACTTTACAGAGTTTTATATCCAATTTTCGTTCATTGTTTTCTAGATTTAATTTACAAGAATGCCAAAGTTGAAGCTAGAAGATTTTTCGATAAGTTTGCAATTGATCATGAAATTTTACATGGTACAGAAATTAATAAATTAGCTGGAATTGGATCTATTGATCATTTAGAAGAAAATGAATTGGCTAAAACATTTAGAAAAAATACTTATGTTTTACATGTTACTAGAACTTCATTAAATTTATTGTTATATTTCCTACATGAAAATGAAGCATTAGGTGGTTCTATTATGATTAGTTTAATTAATAGATATATTCAACCAAAAATCATTACTGGGAGAGTTGATACACAAATTGGTGAAGGATCTTTAGATGATGGTATCAAAAGTGCAGAAGAGATTGAGAAGTTCAATAGTCAACCTGTTAAATTGGGTAATTTACCAATGGACCCTGAATATAGTAAAGAAGTTGAAGTGGAATTGAAAAGAAGAGATGATAAAGAAGGTGTAACAGAAGATACATTAGTGGAAGAATTTAGTAAATTGAAAAAAGAAACTGAAGATTCACCAGCTAGAGAAACTTTACCATTACCACAAAGAACAGCATTAGATTTGAAAAGAGAAATAATAGCAGTTAGGGAATCAAGAGATAAGATCAAATTAGATGCAATTCAAGCAAGTGCACCAAGTGTTTGCATGTACACATTCCATAACACAAATAATGATTTAACCACATTGGAGTTTAATGATGATTCCACATTGATTGCAGGTGGGTTCCAAGATAGTTATATTAAACTATGGTCATTAGATGGATCGCCATTAACTTCAATTTTGAAAAATGATGAACACTCAGATGAAAACACAAGAAAATTGATTGGTCATAGTGGTTCAATTTATGGATTATCATTTAGTCCTGATAATAGATATTTATTATCATCATCAGAAGATAAAACAACAAGATTATGGTCATTAGATACATATACTCCATTAGTTAGTTATAAAGGTCACAATCATCCAATTTGGGATGTTAAATTCTCACCATTTGGACATTATTTTGCCACGGCATCCCATGATCAAACAGCTAGATTATGGAGTTGTGATCATATTTATCCATTAAGAATATTTGCAGGACATTTGAATGATGTTGATACGGTTGAATTCCATCCAAATTCTACTTATGTGTTTACAGGTTCAAGTGATAAGACATGTAGAATGTGGGATATTTCAAAAGGTAATACAGTGCGTATTTTCAATGGACATACAGGACCTGTTAATACAATGGCTGTATCACCAGATGGTAGATGGTTAGCAAGTGCTGGAGAGGATTCCATTATTAATATTTGGGATATTGGATCTGGTAGAAGATTAAAATCCATGAAAGGTCATGGTAGAAACTCAATTTATTCATTAGCTTTTTCAAAAGAAGGTTCGATTTTGATTAGTGGTGGTGCTGATAATTCAGTTAGAGTTTGGGATATTAAAAGAGGTACTAACGAAGCTGGACCAATTCCTGAACCGTTCCCATCACAAACAGATGATCCAACAACCTCAATTAATGTTAACAGTAAAGAAAAAATGGAGGAGATTAGACGTCGTAAAGAAGTTGTTCCATCTGCAGATCATTTAGCTTCATTTTTCACAAAGAGAACACCTGTTTATAAAGTACATTTCACAAGAGGTAATTTAGTTTTAGCAGCTGGTGCGTTTAACGTATAATTATTCTGTTTATTTCAAATGATTGGTTTTGCAGGATCCCAAGGACCTTGTAGTTCATTTTTATATTTTTGTAATTCAAGGAAATATAATGGAGAAATTAAAACAACGAAAAAATGTAGTGATATCCAAACAATCAACATTTTAGCACCACTCATTTTCCAAATGAAGAAATCAACCATGATTCCAATAATTAACAATAAACACCAATGAACCAATGAGAAATTTTTCCTTACCCAAATGTCAAAAAATGGAAACATTCCATAAATCTCAAAAGCAAATAAAATAAAACAAAAAACAGAGCCAGTACTTTCTAATCTTGATGCTAATACAATGACATTTGCAATCAAGATATTCATGGAAAAGACAGGTTTAAATTTCTCATTGATATCAAAATGATAATCAGTGAATAACAAGTTACAGATTAATAACCATATTGATAAACTCCAAATTGAATCGGATGAAGTAGATTCACTTAATGATTTCAACACAGGAGATAATGTTAAAATGGAAAACATTATCAAAATTGATGATTTGAAAGCATTCAACCCCTTTGTTGAAGAATTATCATCATAAATCTTGAAAATTGTATAACAAATTATGGATAAAATAGAACCTAAAGATGAAGGTAATATTGGATCCCAATTGAAATTATAAATCCCGAAAAACACAATATGAACAATTGCCAAAGTAGATAAGTGTAATGAAATCAATGAAAAATCCTTAACTAATTTCCAATAAGAATATTTCTGTACTGTGGAGTTTCTCTTCAATTGTGATAAGAATGATGGATCTGTATAGTTATCTGGATATGGTTGCTTGATGTATAATAGTTTCCTCCAGGGCCGTACCCCTGAGAATGAGCTCTTCCTTCTTGTTCTCGGCTCATTGTTTATCTGTATTATGGGCTGTTCCATTGGCAAGAGTGTTTGAATTGAGTGTTATGCCATACTGAAGAATTTGATGATGTTGATGTTTTTTTTGACACTTGTGAAAAAAACCAAAACAAAACATAAGCATAAACATCATCAAAAATTGAGAACAATTGCACACGATGGAACAAGAAACGAATAGTATTCACAGAAGAGGGAGCAAAACTAGTCAGAAGAGCGTTGTCACGTACGAGCCCTTTTCAACGAGAGAAATACCCACGATATCAGTGGACCAGGGCACTGAAGAGTTGAAAGAGGAAGAGGAAGATGAAGACCATGATTCACTACGTCCTAGGTTCACTACGGATACTTATGGCAGCTCGTATACCAATACCAGGACAAACACGTTTGATCCAGTAGGGACAAACCAGGACAGTTATCTTTATGGGAGAAGTGATTCAAGAGAAGAAGAACAACAAGAGGCCAATGTGATGGTGCCCAATAGACTGAATGATAAAATCCCATCATCTAGGCCCAATGTCGATTATCAGGATAAGTTATGGACACAGATCGATGTGTTGGATGATGTTAAAAGAATGAGTGAACAAGTTAGTATGGATAATGACTCTTTTTTCAATGCTGAGCATAGTAAAGCTATAAATGAACTTCGATTATCACAAGTTGAATTATTAACCACTATTAAAAACTCTGAGAAGTTAGTTGATCAGAATTTCGATCATAGTGAGATTTGGGATTCCAAAGATATTGAAGATGTCCGAGATAAGTTGTACAATAAGGAGTATTTCGATAGTATAGCATCAAGTGTGGACAAAGTTCGAGATAGGCTGGATAATGTTGGGAAAAGCATGAAGAAGATTGATGAATTGACTCGAGATATCTGGCAGTGATATCTGTGGATAATGATTTAAATTTTGGTGGAGAATAATGCAATATTTAAGCTACTATCAACACGGATGATACCTGGCCGGTTGCTGGAGGTGACGTTGCAGGTGCTCCAGTTGACATCCGAGTGTTCCATGCCCAATAAACACCCCATTCCCATACAAATTATTCTATAAAGCCAGTTTCCCATTGTAAAATTGTATGTAAATTCGAATTCCGTCTGGTGAGGTTATGCTGATTACATAATCTTCACTCTCCCACGAGATGGCCATTCAACGAATGAATTTGAAAACAAGAGCCACTTTTCCCTTTATTCTTTTACTTGCTTCAACACTCAATTGTACGACTCAATTAAACTAGAAAAGGACAAGATGGCATCATCAAACACTTTCAGCGACTTCAAATTAACCACCGACTTGAAAGCCTACAAGGATTTACAAGAATTATATGATAATGGTGGTAAAGATTTAAAAATTGCAAACCAATTTGTTAAGGATCCAAAAAGATTTGAAAAATATTCAAAAGAATTTACAAATTTTGATGGTTCTAAAATCTTGTTTGATTTCTCAAAGAATATCTTTAATGATGAAATTTTTGAAAAATTGGTTGAATTGGCAAAAGAAGCTGGTGTGGAAAAATTAAGAGATGAATTATTTAAAGGTGAACATATCAACTTCACTGAAGATCGTGCAGTTTTCCATATTGCTTTAAGAAATAGATCAAACAAACCATTATACGTTGATGGTGAAAATGTTGCTCCAGAAGTTGATTCTGTTTTACAACATATTAAAGAATTTTCAAACCAAGTTCGTTCCGGTGAATGGAAAGGTTATACTGGTAAAAAAATCACTGATATTGTTAATATTGGTATTGGTGGTTCAGATTTAGGTCCTGTTATGGTTACTGAAGCATTGAAACATTATTCTTCTCCTGATTTAAATGCTTACTTTGTTTCAAACATTGATGGTACTCATATTGCTGAAACTTTGAAAAGGGTTAATCCTGAAACTACTTTATTCTTGATTGCTTCAAAAACTTTCACCACTGCTGAAACCATCACTAATGCCAACTCTGCTAAACATTGGTTCTTAGAACATGCTAAAGATACAGCTCATATTGCTAAACATTTTGTTGCCTTATCAACTAATGCTGAAGAAGTTGCTAAATTTGGTATTGATACCAAAAATATGTTTGGTTTTGAAAACTGGGTTGGTGGTCGTTATTCAGTTTGGTCTGCCATTGGTACTTCTGTTGCCCTATATATCGGTTATGAAAATTTTGAAAACTTTTTGAAAGGTGCAGAAGCTGTTGATAAACACTTCACTGAAACTTCAATTGAAGATAACATCCCATTAATTGGTGGGTTATTGAGTGTTTGGTATAACAACTTCTTTGATGCTCAAACTCATTTAGTTGCACCATTTGATCAATATTTACATAGATTCCCAGCTTATTTACAACAATTATCAATGGAATCAAACGGTAAATCAGTCACAAGAGGTAATGTCTTCACAAACTACTCCACCGGTTCAATCTTGTTTGGTGAACCTGCAACTAATGCCCAACATTCATTCTTCCAATTGGTTCACCAAGGTACTAAAGTTATCCCATCTGATTTCATCTTGGCTGCTCAATCTCATAACCCAATTGAAGATAACTTGCATCAACGTATGTTGGCTTCAAACTATTTCGCTCAAGCTGAAGCTTTACTCACTGGTAAGAACGAAGACCAAGTTAAAGCTGAAGGTGCCACTGGTGGTTTAGTCCCACATAAAGTTTTCACTGGTAATAGACCAACCACTTCAATCTTGGCTCAAAAAATCACTCCAGCTACATTAGGTGCCTTGATTGCTTATTACGAACACTTGACTTTCACTGAAGGTGCTATTTGGAACATCAACTCATTTGACCAATGGGGTGTTGAGTTAGGTAAAGTTTTAGCTAAAGTTATTGGTAAAGAATTGGATGATAAAAAACCTGTTGAAACTCATGATCCTTCAACTAAAGGTTTGATCAACAAGTTCAAAGAATGGTCTATTTAGAGCCTCGATTTAAAGTAAAAAAATATCCTCTTGGGTATATCAATTTTTTTATATTACTTATGAATGTTATTGTTTTTTGATGAAAATTTGTAGTGTGGAAACCATATTTTCGTACACGTGAAAATATAAAAAATTCGCGTCATAATTATCATCAAAATCATCAACAAACGTATATTAAAAACATAGAGAAAAGATGGCTGATGTTATTGAAGTGGATGCTAATGAGGCGATTACTGTCAATGAGGAAGTACCAACTGAGGAATTTACCCTTGAAGAAAGTGCAATTGATTTAGAGACTCAAGAAAGTATGTGAATGAATGGAATATTTCAACAAAATGGAACTAACTCTCTTTGCTAGATTACAGAAGATGGAAAACTAATGCTGTTCAATTATATGACTACCTAAACACGGTCAATTCAATATGGCCTTCTCTGACTGTCCAATTCTTTCCAGATGTTGAGACGTGAGTAAACTATAGACAGATCTAAAGAATGATGAGATTAACAAGATCAAGTGTTGAAGAAAACAAGAAGTATAAATATAGATTACTTTCAGGTACATTCACTTCGGGACAACGTGAAGATTATTTACAACTTGGAAGTTTCACGGTGAAATCAGAGATTGAAGAAGTGGATATTTCAAAATATGATCAAGATCTTGAAGGTGAGTTGAATTACTTAATTAGAGGCCACAAAACACTAACAGAAACTGATAGAATTCATAAGTTCAAATCCAATATCTGGTAAATTCAACTATGATCAAAAAATCTTACATCAAGGAGATATTAATAAAGCAAGATATATGCCTCAAAAACCTGATCTAATATCAACAATAAATAATAATGGGGAAATTTTCATATTTGATAAAACAAAACATTCATCACAACCATCTGATGAATTCAAATTTGAAATTAAACTAAACTCTCATAAAAAGGAAGGGTTTGGACTAAGTTGGAATAATTTTAAAGAAGGCTTACTTTTATCAAGTTCAATTGATGGTGTAACAAAATTATGGGATATAACAAAATATTCCAAAAATTGTAAAATAATGGATACACCTACTAATAACTTCACAACAGATTCAAAAGGTACCAATGATGTTGAATGGATACCTACACATAATTCAATTTTTGGTACAGTTGGTGAAGATAACATAGTCAAGATTTTCGATACAAGAACTAATTCAATCTTGAAGCAAAATGAACCTAAACACCACACTGGTGGGATTAATGCGTTGTCATTCAATCATGAGAATCAATTTTGTTTAGCAACTGCAGATTCTAATGGGATTTTAAACATTTGGGATATTAGAGATTTTTCCAAACCAATTTTCCAAACCTCCAAGGCACATAACGGTTCAATTTCTACTATATCGTTCAATGAGAATAAACCAAACATATTAGCAACAGCAGGTGCAGATGATAACCTGGTTAAACTATGGGATTTCTCCAAGGAGGAAGATAATCAATTAATCTTCACACATGGTGGACATATGTTGGGTATTAATGATATCGCATGGAACCCTCACGATGATTGGATGATTAGTTCCGTGTCTAATGATAATACATTACAAGTCTGGAAACCATCCAAACAGTTAATTAATTGAATACAATGAATGAATAATTAGAATAATGTTTGTAAAATCACACTTTTATTTCCTAATCGGGAAGTCTGCACAGACCGGGTAAAAGTCCATTTTTTGGTCGAATCGAATTGTTCAAAATCAAAAATTGTTGAAAATCAAAAAAAGCGTAAAACCCCCTTGAGAAATAGGTGAAATCTTGAATATTCAAACAGCTTTGATAACAGAATTCAAATAGTTTTTTATACAATGAGTTTGCGTCAATTGTCTTTGAGAGGTATGTTAGGAATTGGGAAAATGAGCTCTTTACAATTGAATGGGAGGTTGTGTTGTACGTTGTGGAGGTGTTGATGTTGATGATTCAATTGAAAAGGGTGTTTGGAAATTCATTAATGTTCACAAGATTCTAACAAAGTTTACTAGCTATTCGTCCAGCTTCTTTTGCCCTACGTTCTGCACCGTAAGTTTATCTATTATCATTTTCATCAAGGGAATTTAAATCTATTCAATTCGTATACCCATATCACCGTGTCATGATATCAATATTGGAAAATGAATTGAATGTATCCCACTTGGAGATATTAGTGAGCATATACTAACCCTTTGCTTGTTTAGAATCGGTGTTCGTTGTTTATCAACTCAAACCCCAGAACCAAAAGCTAAAGCTACTTCAATCATTGATGCTTTACCAGGTAACTCAGTTTTATCCAAAACTGGTATCTTAGCCACTGGTACTGCTGCTTCAATTTACGCCATTTCAAATGAATTATACGTTGTCAATGAAGAATCTATCTTATTGGGTTGTTTCCTTGCCTTTTCAGGTTTAGTTGTTAAATATGTTGCTCCATTATATAACGACTGGGCTGAATCAAGAATTAAATCTGTTTCTGAAATCTTAAACTCTTCAAGAGTTAAACATGTTGAAGCTGTTAAAGATAGAATTGAATCTGTTTCAGAATTAAAAGATGTTGTTAACACCACTAAAGTTTTATTTGAAGTTTCAAAAGAAACCGTTGAATTAGAAGCTCAGGCTTTTGAATTGAAACAAAAAGTTGAATTAGCAAGTGAAGCTAAATCTGTTTTAGATTCATGGGTTAGATATGAAGCTTCAGTTCGTCAATTACAACAACAACAACTGGCTCAAACTGTTATTGCTAATGTTGAAAAAGAATTAACCAATCCAAAATTCCAAGATAAAGTTTTGCAAGAAGCTGTTGCTGATATTGAAAAAGTGTTTGCAAGTGCTAAATAAACTAATTAATATTCCAATTTATACGAAAAAGAAAAACTCAAAACTTGTCATTTAACAATATCTCATATACACATTATTTTAGAACGAAAAGAAGAAAAAGGTGAAATAATTCCAAGCAGGAAATTAGTTTAGGGAATGAATTTGATTTTATTCGTTCTCTATGAATGCAATTCATGAAAGTAAAAAAAAATTAAAAGAAACAAATTATATTAGAACTTTTTATTTGCAATTGTAGTTATTCCAATTCATCAGCTTTACGTTTTCTAAGATATTCTTCTTCTTCAGATGCGTATTCTTTCATTTCATTTTCGTCATCATCATCTTCATTATCTTCTGTTTCCTTCTGTATCTTTACTGTTTTATTTCTAATTGTAGAAGGTATGAATTTTGTTGAAGCTGCACTTAAAAGTTTAACTTCAGGTGCAGATTCATAAGTTGATTGTGCTTGTTGGATTTTGAAGAATCTTGGAGGTGGTGAATTAGGTATTGGGATTGTTTCAACTTGTGGATCAATTTCATGTTCAAATGGTGTTTTCAATGGATATGTCACATTTTGTAAACCTTTTGGAGCTATTCCCAATGGACTTTTTTGTATATCAGTAAAATTGGTTAATGATAAGAGAAAAGATTATTACTTACTTCCATTCTGGATCCCAAAATATACTCTTGAGTCCCAATTCTATTGGTTTTGACTCTTTATGTTCAGGTTCAGGTTCATCTTCCTTGACCAAATTCTTCCTATTGATATATTCCAAATCTTTGAGCAACGAATCCAATTGTCTCTGTTCATTTATCAATAACCTACCATTATTTCTAGATTTCTTCCCTTCCAAGTCAGCGATTCTTTTCTTTAGTCTCTTTGGATCCACTTGTGATAATCTTTCCAATTTCTCTTTACTTCTCTGTTCTTTTGCCTTTTTCAGCTCTTTTGCCTTCTTTTTCCTCCCTGAAAAGACTAAATTAGTATAACCAGACATCAAATATTTCATAAACATACTCACTTTCTTGCTCCACTATACTTAAGTTGTTGTTTTTAGCCATTTTGTTTTGGTGTTTTGATAATTTTGTATGATTCTCTTTATGGTTCAAAGTTTTGAAAAAAAAACATTGAAAATTGAAAACATCATCAAAATTCATCAACATTTAAGTAACGAATCCATAATTAAAAAAGAGAAAAATGCAAGCAGCGACGTCTGAAAAAGAGCAGAATGTTGATTTCTCGGGAGTGCCCATCGAGGCCTTGGAATCTTTGAGATTGAGATTGACTCAAGTGAGTTTTAAAGACTGGGTTCATATCATAAGACTGAGTATTAATTCATAACTAGTTGACACATTCCTTGAACAAACTACAAACAGAAATGAAGAGTGCACAAATGTCCAATTGGTGAGTGACTTGAACTATTCAGTTGATTTTAAAACTAACAATTCCAGGGTCTCTATACAGAGTCAAGTAAACATCATTTTTACACAATTAGCTTCATTATCAGCAACATTATCAACATATTCAGAGACTCTATCCAAGACTGTTGTCTATCCATTACCTGAATTCCCCACCACTGAACAAGAAAGTCTATTAACTACATTACTACGGAAGAAACCATTACCTGAAGTCACTGATTGGATTGAAGAATCAAAGCAAAAATCAACAGATATTTTATTAAAAGATGATGAAGCATTAACACAATGGGCTTTGAGTTCCACTGTGGATCAACGTAAAGGTTATGAATTTAAAGGGTTCCATACCAAAAAAGAATTGGAAGCAGGAGATACAGAAGATAATGACTTTAATGTGATGGGGGCTCCTGGTGTGAACCAAACCACTAAATATTCGGTCGATGAACTACTGAAACTCATGTATCAAGGAACAGTTCCTGAGCATTAGAAAGCATGCTATATATATAATCTATGGAGCTTTTGGTATGTAAAAGGATGTAGAAAATCATCAAAAAAAGGTATGTACATGAAATAAAAGGGCAATAAAAACACCAACAACAAGGAAACAAAAAAAAAACGTAAACCTCCTAAAGAAAGTCTTTGATTTTCAACAACAAGTTTAGTTAACAACTAGTGTACATATGGAATCATAATCATAAATGTGTAAAACGTTAAAAAAATAAAATGCAAATGATGGTTATTCTATGATAACAACTTTATAACCAATTCCCAAGTACCAAACATAATAATACTATTTGGAACAGTTCTTAATAAATGAGGTGTTAATCCACCATACATGGAAGCCAACCCTTCTTCTTTAACAACCAATTTGAAACATTGTATAACACCAGTATATTTAGGACGACCATGTTCTAATGGAGCTTGTCTTAATCTTGTTCTAATAACTTCATGAGGATAAGTAATCATTGATGCAATGAATTTTGCAAAACCTGCAGAACCTGATCTTGCAGACCATTCTAAAAATGAATCCAATTTAGTTCTTTCACGACCTTCTTGTTCTCTTTGTAATGCCTTTTGAGAAATAATAGTCTTCATTTGTTCATAAAGAACCCATTGTAAAGTACTCTCCACAGAACCTAAATATGAAGCCATTAAACCTTTATATAAACCTGCAATACCTTCATGTTTCAAAACAGTTTTAATACAATCCCATGAGTTTTTATATTGTTTAGAAGATGCCTTATCTAATTGTAATCTTGTTTTAACCAACCAAATTGGATTAGTTGCAGTTGATGTTACCAAACCTGCATTAACAGCTGCAATTAAATGAACCCAAGCAGCTTCTTCACCATTATTGAAATTTTTACTTATGAAATCTTTCCCCACACCATAAGTGAAGAAATTTATTGATCTTGCAGGTATAACACCAACTAAATTTGGCCCTAAACCTTTAAACAAAGCTCTAAAACCTTCACTTTTGTAAACATTATTTATAATTCCAAAAGTTTCTTTAAAATGTTGACCAGCTTGTAATATTATATTTTGAGACTTCATTGTATGTAAATACGAACTTCTATAAACATCACTCTGTAATCTCGTTTTAACAACATCAAAAGGTGAAGTACAAATAGCACCAGCCATACCTCCAATACCTCCAGCAACAAAATGAACCCAAGGCTTCACATCTTTTGTATGAGTTTCAGGGGAACGTCTTGAAGTTTTCAACGTTGATGATTTTTCATCACTTGCTAAATATGATGCAGATTCTCTAGCTTCTTGAGAAAGTTTTTCAAATTCTTGTTCTCTATTACCCATTGTCTTTTGATATTATGTATTGATGAGATGAGATGATGAGTTTTGATCTATGATAGTTTCTCTTGAAAGTTTTCCAACCACGAGCAAACAAAAAAATGGATATCAAAATGAGATGAAGATAAAGGAAAGAACCTTATATATGAAACCAATATAATATTTATGTACAAGATAAACAAAATTTCAAACAAGTATTTTAAAATTTCGGTTATAACAAAATGTGATTGAAAAATTTCTGATGCAAAAACAAAAAAAAATACAAAGGGATTATATAAGCGATGAGTAACGATAATAGATAGAATTTGGTAAATAATTGAGTAAATGAAGGAAATTAAGGGTTAAATAGTTGATTGAAAGTGATTTTATGTTATTCAAATTGAGTTTATGATATAGAGCCTCTTTTCCCTCGAGAAATATGTTAAATTTAGGGTGTTTCTCCAGTGTATCTCAACAATCAATACTACAATCCACAGAGTTTTAATCATATATAACCAGCTATAGCCATAAAGCCCCTATGAATTAGAAGTGTACCAATAAAGAACTCAAATATAAGTTTCATATGGTAATGGTCTGATGGTGATTGGCTTATTACCTTGAGTGGAAACAACTCTAGCACCTCTTGGTAAACCAGGTTGTCTCTTCAATTGGACAGCTTCACCTTTTTCTTTAGCTTCCTTCTTCTTTTGAGCATTTTCCTTAACTCTAACCAAGAATTCTTTACGAGAGTCAGAATGTTGAACATGTTCAACTCTTAAATGAACTCTTTTTTCGATATAACGGTTTCCAACAACTTTATAGATAATGACACCAACTGAAGATCTTGTAACATCAAAGACAACACCTGTTTTACCGTGGTACCATTTATGTGGCATACCTTTTTGAACAGCACCATTACCTTTGATATCAACAATATCACCTTTTTTGTAGGTCTTCATATAGGTGGATAAAGCAATAACACCATGTTTTTTGAAGTCCCTTTGGAACATGTAACGAGTACCTCTTCTGTAACCGTGACTGAGGGAGTTGTTAGTACATTGTATTCGAATGAATTAATGATCTTGACCATGATCTTGATCTTCTTAAAGGGTCCAATTTTTTAGTTAAAACTTGTCGTTTTCAAACTATTCCCAAAAAGGGACATGGTGAAAAAGTGACACAATTCATGAGACATAATTCAGATTTCTCACTTACGTGTTTGTCATTTTGCCTTGATTTTACTATTATTCACTAATCAAATTGATGAAATGGATATAGAAAGTTTTAAAATATTCATCAGTACATTTTTTTTTCAAATTGTTTGGGTCTTGTGTTTGGTATGTCTGGTTGTTTAGCTCCTTGTTATGGGAACATAAGTAGCAAATCGAGACTTTTATGAAAAAAATGGCCAAGTTTGCTTTAAAAATTCTCAAGAAAAGAAAAGAGCTTCGGGTAATTCAAAGATTGTCGGATCGAGTAGGTGAATATTGGTGTTTTGATGAGAGATTCATATTATAGGTTGGGTATTTGAATTCTCTACACTTCATTATTACCCAAAATGTTTTCATTATAATATACAAGATAAACCCTACAAAACTAAATAAAACCCAAAGAAAAATGTACACTGTGTTTTTTGTTTATAAAGAATTGTGTAAAACTATACACAAATTCTCATTTAATTCAACCCAAATCAAGTCATTTATTCTTCGTCTTCAGCAGCTTCATCACCACCTTCAGATTTTCTGGCTTTGTTTCTTCTAGCAACACGACCAGCACGACCACCACCGTATGGAGAAGTTTTAGCAAAGTCAATGTGTTTTTGAGAATCTAATCTAACCAAGAATGATGGAATGTTAACAATTTGTTTACCAACAGCAATATGACGTTGAGAAATTAAAACACGAGCATGATGGATTGAACGAGCTAAACCTAATTTGTAAACTTGGGTTTGTAAACGACGTTCCAAGAAATCTTCTGGTCTTAAAGCTAAAACATAATCCAATTTCTTTTTATCTTCAGATAAAACACCAACACGAACTAAACGTCTAATTAAAGCATTACCTTCGAATAAACGTTTTGGATCTTTTTCATCTCTGGTTAATAAATCACGAGCAGCTCTTCTAATTTTAGATAATTGGAAGTTAATTCTGTAAATTTCACGCTTGTTTTTTAAACCAAATTCACCAGCCAATTTTAATTCAGCATCTAAACGAGCTGATTCATATGGACGTTTTGGGACAGTGTAAGTCTTGGAGTAAGTTCTTGGAGCACCTTTTCAAAAATTGTTAGAATATGATTCAAAAATGGAAATTCCAATGACATTTAATTCTACATAGAAGAGAACAAGGCCACATTAAGTAATCTTTTTTTTGTAGGATATTCTTCTTTATTGCAATCTATAAGCTATTTTCACAAGAGTTTTCAAAGTTTATGAGATATATATGAATCAAAAAAACAGTAGTCAACACAAGAGGGATGGATCAGATCAAAGATCAATAACCCAGAATGCATAATCATCCACCATCATAGAACATAAAAGTCCAAGATGATACCCCCATTTGGTTTCACACCATTTTGTTAAAACAAAATAAAACATAAAACTTCTCAAACTTTTAAATGAAGCAATTGTATCTGAAGTGTCGGGAATTCAGAACAATAAAATAGCTTATTCAATGATTGTAGAAGAAAATCTGGAAAAAAACCATTAAATCACCAATTAAATTGGATCAATAAAGTTCCAAAAAAGATTTTTTAATGAGGACCCGAACCTCTATGTTTAAATTCATCAAAATATAGATCCATGTAAAAAAATGAACCCATGTTTTGAATGAATCTGAATTATCCCAAGTTCCACATATAAAACAGTGTACTGATGGTCTGTCTTGTTAGTTTTGCAATGTCAACTTACGAGGCATATTGACTTGATAATTAGAACGTTAATGTTGATGTTATGAAAAGAGTATATGAAAGAGTGTTTAAATTTTCATTGAAAAGTTTATACACATTTGAAAAATTACAGAGATTTTGCGAGATGCGCGTAAACGAAGGGCTATTCTGAAATGTACGCATTACTGCCGTAACTTGGACTCAACATCCCAACACCAGAAGCAGTCACTCTCTGAAAACGGATAGGGCTGCATAACCGTTTCCCAAAGGAGTAGAAGCAGAGATAGATCGAAAGCTTTTGGTATTAAAAGTGTTGTTTTAGCATATATGAGAACATGGCAAGTATATGAATTGTATTATATAGTTATAGTATCGGATTAGATGGTACTGCCCGGTGCTGATGGGCTGTGGTAGAATGGTGTTTAGTGATCAGGTCCTTTAACTGTAATGGCTCAAGGAAGAATGAATCCATGAATGGACCGAATCACTAGCGAGGAAGAGGAATAGAGGCTGAAACGCAATATACAATGATGTGATAATGGATAATTTCATTGCACAATAATTCCATAGATCAAAGAACACCTCTGTCATGATCTCTTCGTTTCAGAATCTCCAAAGATCAACTCTCTCTCTTCGCGAAAGTGTAATTGAAGAGGGATAGTGAGCAGAGACCAAGTGGATGATTCGATAATGATCTTTATTAACCACATCATCAACAACCTGGTTCAATATCCACTTGATCACTTTTTTGAACCCTTTTTCACGTTTGTTGTTGTTTTGTGAAATTTGACGATCTGAATTCTCCGTGTTCCTGTTTTTGCCATCAACACATCAGTTTCTCAGCGAATGGCAGTTTCTGTAATTGATGAGATGGGAACAACAAGGAGAAATAGCCATATTTACACACTGAAAGTTCGTTCTTTTCATCATATATCAATAGTAGACCCTTCCAACTAGTCATATACCAGTTATTAAACGATTATCCCTTCATTTAACCCCTAAATCACTGCTTTCCAGCTTCTTCGATGGGCTTATTGACACGTTCAAAGCGCACAGAGTTGCGCCAAAGTTAAATTTTGTATAAAAAGCTGCGAAAAATCCCAATTGGCAAACAGGAAAAAAAATGAAAGAAATTCGCGGGTCCAGAAAAAAGCTCTGTTACGGGACACACAGATATAAACTGATTTGTTTTGTTTATATCCAATTTTGTTTAATTGAATTAGCATTTCCAAACAGAGCGCTAACTCAGATCGTTTAGGCCATGTCCAGGCTAGAGAGGCTAGTCATCCTCTTAGACACAGGCTCTACCCAATTCATACGGAACACCGCTGCTGACCAACTAAGTGATTTGGCAAAGGCCCATCCAGAAGAGATACTCAACTTGTTAAGTCGTGTTTATCCTTATCTAAACTCCAAAAAATGGGAAACTCGTACCACTGCTGCTAGAGCCCTTGGTGGGATAGTCAACCATGCTGAATTATGGGATCCTAATCAACAAGATGATGGTGAAGGTGTTAAAGTTGAAGAATTAGATGATGCTCAAATCAAATTAGAAGAACAAGAACTAAAACTTATAAATAATGAACATTCTTTCTTATCATTTGATCAATGGAACCTACCTGATTTATTAAAGTCTGATAAAAAATTCCTTTCAAGTTCAACTATTGATGATTATTCCAAAAATTCAAAATCAATTGATGCACTAAAGAAACAAAAAGTTTCTGTAAACAAAAAATTAGGCTTAAAGATGGATTTTGAAGATGAAGTTGAAGCTGAAGCTACACCTGAAGTTAAACAAGAAGATAATATAAAACAAGAGACAATAATACCCAATGATCCATCCCCTCCTCCATTAACTTCAAATATATCAAGTGCAAGATTAAAAGCAATGGCTAAAAGAAAAGCTAAAATGGAATCAAAAGGCGGTGGCTCTTCAAAGCATAAACCTGTTGATTTATCTCAAAGTTCAGTATCTAGGAAATTGGTTAAAGAAGAATCAAGTACTCCTATAAAACAAGAACAACAACAACAGCAACAAACACTTCAAAAAGTTGATGTTACATCTCAAGCTGGCGGTAATAAACTAGTTGTGGAGAATAAAGCCCCAGAAATCCCACCAATCCTTGCAGAACACGCAAAAGTTGCAGGCTTGGTTTGGCCTTTTCAAGGTGTTTATGAATTATTAGTTGTTGATCTATTTTCAGAAACTTGGGAAATTAGACACGGTGCAGTTTTAGGTCTAAGAGAATTAATTAAAAAACATGGGAAAGGTGCTGGTCGTATAAAGGGCAAATCTTTACAAGAGAATAATTTGAAAAACCATCAAACATTAGAAGATTTAGCTTGCAGATTATTGACAATTTTCGCATTGGATAGATTTGGTGATTATGTTTATGATACTGTTGTCGCACCTGTTAGAGAATCTGCTGCACAAACTTTAGCTGCTTTGCTAATCCATCTTGATGAAGAATTAGTTTTGAGAATCTTCCATAATTTGGACTTGCTAGTACTTCAAGAAACTACTGGTAAAGCTCCGTGTTGGGAAGCAAGTCATGGTGGTATGCTTGGTTTAAGATATTTTGTTAGTGTAAGGACTGATATCCTTTCCTCAAAGCCAGAATTATTAGATGATGTTGTCAAGATGGTTTTACATGGATTGAAAGAATCCGATGATGATGTTCAAGCTGTTGCAGCGGCTACTTTAACTCCAATCACTAGTGAATTTGTGAAGTTGCGTAAAGAAACAATCAAAACCATCATTTCCACAATTTGGGATTCTTTAACAAGATTGAAAGATGATTTATCTGCTTCAATTGGTGCTGTTATGGATTTATTGGCAAGATTATGTATTCATCCAGAAGTTATGGAACTTATTAGTACTGAAGCTTCAGAAAATGAAGAATATTCTTTGAGAAATTTGATTCCAAGACTATACCCATTCTTGAGACATTCAATTACAAATGTTCGTAAATCTGTTTTGAAAACATTAATGGCATTCTTATCAATTGATGACATCTCCACCAAGAAATGGATTGATGGTAAAGCTTTTAGATTGATTTTCCAAAATTTATTATTGGAACAAAATAAAGAAGTTTTACAATTATCACAACAAGTTTTCACAAAATTATTGAATGAATCTTCAAAATTGAAACAAGACGAATTTTCTCTTGATGATGTTTTATCAATCCATTTACAACCAATAATTAACCTTTCAATGACTCCAATTGGTATATCAAGATACAATTATCATATGAATGCAGACTTCTTATTAAAACCATCTGGTGCTGTTTTTGAAAAACAAGTTTCTGATACACCAGCTGCTGAATTATCAAATGACGATAATAGTTCCACTACTACTGATGGCTCTAAAAGGGGTAAAAAGAGAAAAACTCCACCAGCAAAACAACAAGAAGAATCATCAATTCCAGTTCCAGATAATGATCGTGTGAATATCGATGGTCCTATTATCATTGGTGATATTACATTATTGGGTATTGAAGTGTTTATAAGGACAAGAATCGCTGCAGCTACTGCATTAGGTGAAATTTTATCATTCTTACAAGAAGATTCATTATCAAATGTCTTGTTATTATTTAAGAAATATTTGAATGTCCCACACTCCACTCCAAGATTATTGACATCTATTGTTATCAAAGAATATTGTTCATCATTAGCCCAAAGAGATTTAAAACCATCACAAGTTGTTCGTGATATCTTTTTGAACGAATTTGTTAATGTCTTGACAGACTCATTATCATTACCTTACTATAGAGAATTAGTTTCAACTTTGAAAGCTGTTAGAACTCAATGTCATTCATTATTTAGAGTCTTTGTGGAACAAGGTAAATTATCTCAAAGTAAAGTTCCTGAATTACCAATTGTCGTACAAGGTGAAAATGATGCAGGTCCTGGTGCTTTTAGCATCGAAGTTGCAGAGTCAGTTGTTAATGAATCATTTGATAAATTGCTGAAATTATTGAATCCTGTTTATAAGATGTCTGCAATCAAGATTTTGGAAGATACTAAAAGTCGTGTTGTTTTAGCTATTGAAGAAGCTAAAAACGCTAGATTTAAGAGAACTATTGGGATTTTATCAAATTATGCATCTGCTGCTATTTCTCTTGGTGAATTACCAAAGAAATTGAATCCTTTTATTCGGGCTTTAATGGATAGTATTAAAAGTGAGGATTTAGAAGATTTACAAAAAAGATCAGCTTCATCAGTTGCAGAACTGATTGGTAAATTGATTGAAAATGATAAATCTAATGTTTCAAATAAGATTGTCAAAAATCTTTGTGGATTTTTATGTGTTGATACCTCAGAAGTTCCAGAATTTGGTTCAAATAGAAATGTTAAAGATTCTATCTTGTCATTGAAAAAGGAAGAATTAGATGCAGAAGCTATATTAAGACATGAGAAATTTTTAATAGAGGCTAAAATTAAGAGAAGAGGTGCTAAATTTTCCTTAGAAAATGTTTTGATCAATTTCCAAGAGAATGTCTTTATCAAGGTTCCACAATTGAAGAATTTAATATTTGAACCATTAAAGAATTTGGAAACAAGCTCAGAAATCGAAGTTGATGATGTTACAGGCCAATCGATAGTTGATGCATTAGGTGTTTTGAAGGCTTTAATTCCAACTTTTAATTCTAATGTTCATGAAGAAATTTTGACAGTGTTGCCATCCGTATTGAATGCATTAAGATCAAAATTATCAGTTTTCAGATATTCTGCTGCAAAGACAGTAGCTATAATGGCTAAAGTTTTACCATCTAAGACAATTCCATTCATTGTTAAATCAGTTTTACCATTATTAAACAATGCCGGTGAAGTTAATGAACGTCAAGGTGGTATTGAAGCTGTCTATCATCTTTCAAACACTATGGATTCAGATATTTTACCATATGTCATATTTTTGATTGTTCCAGTTTTAGGTCGTATGAGTGATGCTGATAAAGATGTTCGTGTATTGGCCACAACAACATTTGCTTCAATTATAAAATTGGTTCCGTTAGAAGCTGGTATTCCAGATCCTGAAGATGTTCCAAAAGAGTTATTAGAAGGTCGTGAAAAGGAGCGTGAATTTATTCAACAAATGATGGATCCATCAAAATCAAAACCATTTGATTTACCTGTTGCCATTGATGCTACGCTAAGAAAGTATCAACAAGAAGGTGTTAATTGGTTGGCATTCTTGAACAAGTATCATTTACATGGTATTTTATGTGATGATATGGGATTGGGTAAAACTTTACAAACTATTTGTATTGTTGCAAGTGACCATCATTTGAGAGCTGAAGATTATAAAATCACCAAGTCTATTGAAACTAAACCATTACCAACGTTAATTGTTTGTCCACCTTCTTTGACTGGTCATTGGGAACAAGAATTTAATCAATATTCATCTTTTTTGAAAGTTGTTGTTTATGCTGGTGGTCCTTCATATAGAAGTGGATTGCGTTCAAGCTTAGATAGCTGTGATATTGTTGTCACATCATATGATGTTGTTAGAAATGATGTTGAATTTTTATCAAGCAAGAATTATAATTATTGTGTTTTGGATGAAGGTCATATTATCAAGAATTCATCTTCTAAATTGACAAAATCCGTTAAAAAAATTAGAGCCAATCATAGATTGATTTTATCAGGTACACCAATTCAAAATAATGTTTTAGAATTGTGGTCATTATTTGATTTTTTGATGCCTGGGTTCCTTGGTAGTGAAAAATTATTCCAAGAAAGATTTGCTAAACCAATTGCTGCTTCAAGAAACTCAAAGACTTCATCAAAAGAACAAGAAGCTGGTGCTTTAGCGTTAGAAGCTTTACATAAACAAGTTTTACCATTTATGTTGCGTCGTTTGAAAGAGGAAGTGTTGTCAGATTTACCACCAAAGATAATCCAGGATTATTATTGTCAATTGAGTGATTTACAAAAACAATTATACAAGGATTTTGCAAAGAAGCAGAAGAATATCGTGGAACATGATGTCCAAACAACTGAAATCGCTGAAAAGAAGACACATATTTTCCAAGCATTACAGTATATGAGAAAATTATGTAACCATCCAGCTTTAGTTTTATCAGAAAGTCATCCGCAATATTATGAAGTTCAAAGGTATTTGAAAGACACGCGTATGTCAATTCATGATATTCATCATGCACCAAAATTATTGGCATTGCGTACATTGTTGTTAGAGTGTGGTATTGGTGTTGCAGATGTTGATAAATCTGGTGGTGTTGGTGATAATGTTATTAGTCAACATCGTGCATTGATTTTCTGTCAATTGAAAGATATGTTGGATATGGTTGAAGAAGATTTGTTGCGTAAACATTTACCATCAGTTACATTTATGAGATTAGATGGTAGTACTGATCCCAGAGAACGTCAAAGTATTGTTCGTAAATTTAACGAAGATCCTTCCATTGATGTTTTGTTGTTAACTACTAAAGTTGGTGGGTTAGGTTTGAACTTAACTGGTGCTGATACTGTTATCTTTGTTGAACATGATTGGAATCCAATGAATGATTTACAAGCTATGGATAGAGCACATAGATTAGGTCAAAAGAAGGTTGTTAATGTTTATAGATTGATTACCAAGGATACATTGGAAGAGAAAATCATGGGTTTACAAAAATTCAAAATGAATATTGCATCTACAATTGTCAGTCAACAGAATGCTGGTTTAGCATCTATGGATACTAATCAATTATTGGATTTATTTGATGTTGAACAACAAGGTCAACAAGAAGAACACGTTGAAGAAGTTGAAGAGAAGAAGAATGGTGGTAATCAAGATTTGATCAATGAATCCGGTTTAACAGGTCAAGCTGGTGCTGTTATTGGAGAATTGGGTGAATTGTGGGATCAATCACAATATGAAGAAGAATATAATCTTGACAGTTTTATCAAGAGTTTGAAATGAGAATAGAATAGAAATAACAAAATAATGAAGAAGAAATGAAATGAGGACGAGTGATTATGACATTTTTAAATGTATATTAGTGTAAATAAATCTTTAGAACAATGAAGATAAAAAGATTTCATGAAGAGTTTTTTAATGCATTTTGGTTTTTTAGTTGATTTTTTTTGTAGTGCTGTCATTTTGAACGGGTCGATAACAGGGTACGTAAAAAAACTACAAAAAAGCATGTCGTACTCTTTAAAACGTAAACACTTTAAAAGATTACAATCACAGCGCAATCATGTCTCTAGAATCTCAAGCATCCGAAAGAAAGAATAGATTAGCGGCCCTAAGGAATAAAAGGAAACCAAACACTTTAGAAGTGTCTGATGAACAAGCTACCAAAAAACCAACACCAGAACAGTATGTGTGAACTTATAAATGAATTTTTAGATCAGAAACTAACCAGCTGTTTTTTTAGTACAATAATCTCAAGAAATTATAATCCAGAGACCCAAGAGCCAATACTAGGCTTTAATAAACCTCCAACTACATTAGATGAAAATGCAGAAACTGTTGAAGCAGTTTCTCAAAAGATACAAGATGAAGTATTATCAAAATTTGCCAAAACTGCAGACCTAGGTTTTACAAATAATGATCAAATAAGGACAAAGACAGTGACTAGTGATTTGATGAGAGATTTGCAACCAAAATTAGATATACTTCAAGAACGTACTGATGAAGCTATCAATAAGATTGTTAAAGAAAAAGTTCAAAAACTTCGGGAGAGGAATAGTTAGATACAATCAAATACCAAAAGAGATGACAGAGAATTTAAGTAACTGTATAAAATATATTTAAAAAATCTATGAGATGAATAAATAAAAAAAGGATATGCAAATTGTGTAGGAGGTAATTCTAATTTTCAGTATGATTCAAAGCTTCAACAAAATACAAAATTGCAAAGACAAAGAAGGCAAAAGCACCACCTAAAGTGACAGTTCTCATACTGATTCTTGAAGCCAACATTTTCCCACCAATAACCGCAGCCATTGTACAAAACCCATGACCAATAACCGCACCAGAAATAACAGCCCAATAGTCTGAACCAGCAGCCATTGCAATAGTGGCGATTTGTGAACGATCACCCCATTCACCCAAAAAGATCATGACAAAACATTGGATCCAAACTGGATGTAAAACTAATCCACAAAGGGATTTGAAAGATTCTGTGATTTGATTAATTAATTTAGCTTCTTTCTCAACATTTGGATTTGAAGGACGACGTTGACGAGGGTTAGCACCACCAGCACCACCTTCTAAATCACTCATTTCATGATTCATGTTTGTGACTTCTAATTCTTCTTCAACTTCAGCCAATTCTTCATCAACACCTAAATCTTTAGACATTTCTAAACCTTCTTTTGTTAATTTGATACCAAATATTATAAACAAACCTGAAGCCAAGAATTGTGTAACTCTTTGAGAAATTAATGTAGGTAATGCATGACCGACAATACCTGAAAGTACAGTCATAACAGCTAATGAAGCAAATGAAGCAGTGAACACCAACACTCTTGAATGACTCATAGCCATCAATGCAGAGATTAAGAAAGTCTTGTCACCGATTTCACTAACAACAATCATGGAAATTGCCATTAATAAAGGAGATTTTGAAGTTTCTTCATCTGGTATATCTGATGTTGATTTCTTTGATGAATCAGTTGATGCAATGTTCAAATTTTCCTTTTTAGATAAATCTTCAATAGGAATGGAGTTGGAATCAACAACACCGTCAATTTCAGCAGGGACATCTCTTTTGAAATTTATTTGAACATTATGTGGTAATTTTTGTAAAAGATTGATATCATCATCATTAATAACTTGAGTTGCAATTGATCCCAAGATATATATGGATGGCAAAATTGTGGAAAGTTTCATGATCAATCTATGACTATGTAGTGAATCTCCTTGGTGAACACAAAGCTAAACTCGTAAGACCAATGCTTGAGAAAAGAATTCAAAGATACTTTTTCCAAAGTTTTATAAGTCTCCTAAAATTTGTAGCACACCGAATTTACTTTTTTTTTCCAAACGTGTGTACATTTTTTTTTTAAATTTTAAAGTTTCGGTGGGCCACTACAGCTATATCTGCCAGGGCCATACGTGTCATTAGCCTAAGAATTCCCGATTTGGACCAATGAAAAGTTTCAAATTGGTCAACAATGAAAAACGTTTTTAAAGAACGAACAACGTGGTGAAGTCACTCGTAATTGTAGAGGATAGACTAGAGGCTAGAGAGTGTACTGATTGATACCACTCTCGGGTATCTATGGGATTCATTATACAATCTGGCGGTCATTGAGAATTACATATACGTGTATTGAAGGTGTAAGGCACGAATGTGTAATTCAAGGTTGCAACGGTTTCAATTTGGTGGAAAATAATGCTTGTCTAGCCTTTTGATGCTGATGAGATGTCTTGTGTCTTGTGAGTGCTGATCTGCTTCCCGTAAAAGTCTTTAATTGAATGTTTTCATAATAAATAGAAATGTGTATCTCTAAACCAGTCAAGTGAACAGGAGGTACACTATGTATGAGTCTTGATGTTTCAAGCATAGAAGAGAAGGAAGAGACTCTGACGTCTCTATTTAATAAGTTACAACTTTAGTCTGTTAAACAACCCTATTTCAAAGTGAGTCAAATGTCACCGAAATATTAAACAGTCAAACATTTGTGTCTTACTACTACAAAAGTCAAATCAATTTTGGAAAAGAGTAAAAGTTGGCTTCTGCATTAATCATGTACTTCAATATTCAATAGAACATCAGAAGTTATAAATATACTTAATCATATCCAGCTTACCTAAAGTACAGGCCGATTATGCAACATTCATAGAGCTTCTCAAGTATATAACTCTTCAGCCTAGCTCTTGAACTGCTTTCAACGAAAAGTTAATCAGAGTCATTTCATGAGACTCGACTAACGCACCATTCCTTTGAAAAACAGTAAAATTCACTGTGGACCTAAAGACGAGGCAGACTTCTCAAAATCTAGTTAGTACTGAAACTTGAATGGTACCTTTAGCTAATCGCGTGGAATATTAGTTTGACTTAATTCAGCAAAATGAGTTTGTTTGTGAAACCAGTAATAATATACTCACGAATAACCCATAACAAACTAACAATTCTTGATCATATTTATATGTATCTCCCAACTTGGTATCATCAATTATATTAAATTACCCAAGAATTATGTACTGTCTGTGAATTTGTTGTCTTTGCATGAGATTCATTCATAAAAGTTATTAGAAGTTCAAAATACTCACATCTGAGTATAAGAAGTTCAAATATTATAGATGTTGAATCAGAATTAAAAACTTTCTTCCTTTCACATATGATGGACAGAATTGCCAATCAGAAAACCAATGTTAATAATGGTAATTAATGAGATTAATACGCTTTTGAAATTAAAAAAGACAGCGATTTGTGGATACCTCGACTTTTTTATACACCACCAGCGCCTGAGCTCAGCGGCTTATCATCGTCATTAAAAGAGGAGAGTGGCGTTAATATTGAGTCATGATCTGCTAATTGGTTGAGTATCTTCATGATGTTCTCTGTATTTAATTTGGGTCTTTCATATTCAAACAATGGCAAAAAGGCCTAACAACCTAGACTTCATACAGCAACCTATAATAATGTTAATATCGAATCAATACGAAGGGATCATGTCCCTAGTCTAGACTTACGCACTCTTTTCGTGAATTCAAAATAGCAACACCAACCAAAGCTGAAATAAAATTGGAATCCAACTTGTTTTACATCAATACCGAGATTTCAATGCCTCAACTAGACTATCACTATCCCCTGAGTCCCGACTAATATAAACTGCATCATTTGATCATTATGTGAGGCATTGATTCTTCAAGATCCCTATAAGTTCAATAATGGAGTAGCTGTAATCCTTGTGTTGTAACTCTAGAGTAAAAGAATTACATAACCTCACCTGAATAGTATAGCCAATTTATAGAAAATGACAAATGTGACTTTCTTGAAATATTTATAAAAGCCATTCCAAATGAATAAAACAGTTTTGTAGCCAAATCCCATCATTGCCAATCGCCAATTAGAATGTTTCGCTTTCCAAACAATCAAAAGCCTTATTAAATGGATAATAACAACATGAACAATAGCAAAGTCTGTAGCCATCAACATTGAAACAGAACATCCAAACAGGCTAATATAAAACCTCTCAATTGATCTAGAAGATTTAGCATATGGATTTTGGCTCTTACAACCTTCCTTATTCAACACATATTTGTTGCATTTGACTTGATAGCACCAGTTGAAGCTTGGGGATCATCAGAAAAGAAACAACATTAGCAACGACAACAATTTGATTTTGTAAGGTGTCACCTAGAACATTGAAGGGTAGAGCTTGGATCCATTAAAGGAATTTGGGCCCTTAGAAGTTACTCAGACTTTACATTGGCTCCATGGTATCAATCAATCTTGAAAGCGTGCCCTGAAGAATGAATGTTGAATTGAATAAGCGTTGTTTGCTGACTAGACAATGAAAATGTGGGAAACTGAAGAGCATGAGCTGTATCATAAACCCTTTTCATCTACTAACAGCAGGCTTGATCTGTGTGAGCCATGGTTTGGTTCAGGAGACAATCAGGATGTAACGTCCTCGAAAAGGAAATGAAAACAAACAAGTGTTGAGGCCATGGTGAAGTTGATGGTTGAAAATGACTTCTTTTATCTCTAACAACTGAATTCCAATGCTCTGTGGATGGTTTGGATGGTTGATTGGTGTTGAGTCGAAGCTGAGTATCATGGATGTTTTTGAAAGAAATGGTGATTTCTTATATGGAAAATTGTATTTGTGTCGCAAACACAAAACACAAAGACCGAGCCATTACGTTACTACAACATTCAAAATACACGACACAATAACAACGGTCACATTTTAATTGAAGATTTCCAGCCTCTATCTAATGTGGCTCTTGTTCTTAGACCAACAAGACAGACTGTGCTGGCAAGAAGCAAGACACCATCGTATATAATCGAATTCTTGTAATCTCGACTCAAGCGACCTCCATTTGTGATCATCAGCCCAGCTAATGGCGAGCCTAGTAGTGTACCGATACCTCTGCTGAAATACATAAGTCCACTTAATGATTGATAACGAGCAGCTCCAAATAACTCCACGAGACAAGTTGGTAAAAGTGAGATGATTGCACCAGAAAACACTCCATACAAAACAACAAATGAAATAAAAGTATCCCTTGAAGAAACCATCCATAGTGTGAACACAGTGATTGAACTTAATACACTGCAAATAATAATCATGTTCAACCTTCCTATTCTATCAGCAACAAATCCCAAAACGATCTTGAATACTGCATTGATAGCATTATTAACACCAATGAACATTGCACCTTGATTATCTGAAAATCCCAACGTTCTTCCATATTTTGACATATATATCAATGGGATCAAGTATCCAGCTGATTGTAATAAAGAAGCTGATAATTGCAGCCACACTTTCCAAGATCTTAATTGAGAAATACTAAGAATCTTTTTACTATTGAATTGAAATTGTTCATTAACTTGTTTTGGTATCTTCACCAACATCCCTGAAACAACACCACTTCCCAAGACAATAAACCCCAGGATTCTTAAACACCATTTCCAACCAACCTTATTAATCAAAAAACTTGACAAATTTGCAATACCAAACCCACCAAACCCTGTACCACTAAATAAAACCCCCATAGCAATAGCTCTATTCTTATTGAAAAACATAGGAGCACAAACAACAGGTGGCATGAAAATTAAACTAGACCCAGCCCCAGATATAAGACCCTGAGTTAAAATGAACTGATACATTGAAGTGCAAAAACTTGCGCTAATTAAACCAACACCCATGAAAAATGAACCAATAAACATAACTTTTCTAGGACTCAAGTAAAACATCAAAGTCTTGTTGAAAATACCACCAAGATAGGTCAACGCACTGCAAAGAGTACCAATCATAGCAACTTCTGAATCGCTATAGTTTGATAAAGGACCATTTGATGATGTATAATATTCTTGGAAAACACCAAATGAAAACCCTATCCCAAAAACCATGAAATTTGCTAAAAACCCAGCTACTATAATCCGTAACCCATATGAACTATTCTTCAACTTGGATATAAATGTTTGAGGTGTTCTACTTTCAATATCTTCAATAGAAAGGACTTCAATCGACCCATTGTTAGCAATGTGGGTGTTGATGTTTGTAGAATTCTGTGAACTCATCCTTTCAACTTATAAACAACTCTTATACTCAATCCTCCAACCTTGTACTATGGGACCTATGTGCAAACTCCAGGTAGTTTATATATCTAAATAACCATGAACCTAGCTTCACCAAAGCGGATTTAAAATATAAAAGCCGCTTAATGACTTATGAGTTTATTGTGATTGTGTAGTTTTTCATGGGTCTCCATTCGGTCTTTGACATGTACCTACATTATACAACATTTTACTAATAGTCATTTCGCGAAGACGGTAATATCAACATATAAGGCAGCGCAACAACCAACAAAGAAATAGACCTGATTTAAAAATACACTATGAAACACTTAAAGACAGATTCTTAAAACCAGCTGCACAATCACCTCCATATTAAGTTGAGGAAGCTCTAAAGAATTACATTAATATAGCGGTTAGGCCAGCATAAATGGTTTGGGACACATATTTTAAACTCCGAGGTAAGCACGTGACTTTGAGGTCTACTTCCGGGGTTCTGAAAAAAGTTTGTCGAACGCGTAAAGATTTCAGTGTTAAACGTTCAAAGGGATGGAACAATAGCTTGTAAAGTTTAGACCAATTGATTTTGTTTGGCCTACATCCATACCATGGGTGTCCGTCAGAATATCTATTGGTAAGGAATTTCAATAAAACCACGTCAATCCAGACAATGTTTTCACTTGACAACCAAACATACTCTACAATAACATGAATACTACAGGATGACAGAGGGAGACCCATGAGCAAAGTGGTATGATTATGGAAGATAGAGGTGGAAATACAACTTCTGGAGTTGAGATTGGAGTTGCAGAGATACTTTTTGGAAAGTTATGGCCGAAACATGGAAGTGGTGAAAGTGGAAATTTTGGATAGTTTTGTTGATATTTTTGGGAGCAATAAAGATTTTGAGGAGATTTGAAGAGATTTAGGGAGCTAAGCACATGGATTTTCCATATCCAATTCAATTTCCTTAATACAAGACACCTTGCTAACAAGTTTTCGGGCAAGAAGGGGGTCAAGTGGTGAAAAGGGGGTTTTCAAACCCGATAAAATGGGACTTAGAGCCATAACTAGCCAACCAAATGAGAAACTAAGAGTTTTATTGGAATCTACAGGTCGGAATACAACATCTGAACATGTTTTTAGAGTACCGCTGAGGTGTTGGAGGTCCAATTTCAGCTGGTATGTACCTCATTTTCTCTTGATTTATTCCCTGATCCTCAAACCCATCCAAACCGTCCCAAATT